GACATGAAAGAAAGACAAGCGACGATCAATCAAAACGACGGCGAGTTATGCAAGTTTCGTGTGTTTTGTCTCTCTTTTCCGGCAGTTGCATCAAGATAGTACCCACAAGAATCCGCTTGGAGGTCTGATCATCTCTAGACATTCCCAAGATTGTCACAATGCGAGCGCGCTGCTGACAAGACGACGGCGTCATAAAGGGCCGTCATCAATTCTCGTCGCTGTCCCGTCAGACCTCCCTGCAGCACCCTACATCACTGCCACGGCGCATTCCGTAGTTGCCGCGTGACCAAGGAAAAAGGTTGACCCCAAGACGGTCCGATGGATGTCTCATAAGGGGGGGGGGGAAAGGGGGTGGGGCGTGCAATCTGATAACCCTCAGCTTTCTTTGTTTTCTTTTTATCCCTTTTTTCATCCGCCTTCCTCCGCCCTGTCCACCGGATGATGAGCCTGCACAGAATATCATTCGGCGTCCGTTGGTGGACTTGGGACTCGGGGACCTTGAATATTGACCGAGGCCTGGCGGTCGGGGCTCAGGCCGGTCAACGTTTGGCATTTGGTGGAGAGCAAAATCGTCAATGCGCAGTCCAACTCAAATTTCGAGGACGCCCGGCAGTTGAGACGGGTTCGTGGGCCGTGGCGCAGCAGCAGCAACTGCTTTTGGCGTGGACAGACCGCACGTCAACGCGGCAGTGGCTTGCTGCACCATATTTCTGGTTGATCATATAATCATGGTTTCAACACTCTCACGGGCAACCATGGTTGACCTTGTTGGCAAGCTGGCTCGTATCATTTCTCCATGCGCTGGAGCATTCGGGGGGGCCTCATGAACTTGACGCCGGACACGGACATGTGGACAACTTGTGACCCCCTTCTGCACGTCGTACACAGTGGGATGGGCAGGATCAAAATCAAGCAACGGAGCTCGGGCATGACCACGGAGTACTAATATCGAAACAGCGTCACTGTCCCCCAGACACACTAGTGAGTGACTGGGTAAGAGATTCCGAGCGCCTCATTTTCACCACCATGCCGCGGACAGGCCCACAACAGCACCAGCACCTCACCCTTACTACTACATACCCAACAACTACGGGGTCAGGTCAAAGTGTAACGATGGTGTTGGGACGTCCATATGTACGGCATGCCATGACTACTACGTACTCCGTATTACGACCAGGACCGAGCCGCATGCCCTCTGCAAAGATTGGCACTCCAACGCCCCTTGCATGAAGCGCCGCTGCCTGTCTGGAGTCTCAATCTCGTGCGTGCGGAGAATAATGTACTCCGTACGCATGTTATTATTACAGAGAGTCAGGAGTGGACGGGAGTGAGCAACTTGCCCATCGCCCATACGCCGCGGATTTTTTTTATTCTTTTATTTTAAAAAAGATAATACACACCAGGACTGTTTCTCTTCACACGTGTCGGGATCCGTGGTTCGTTTACTCCAACATTGTGTGCCGACGCACGCATCCCTTGCATCGGTCCACCAGTTGGAAACGCCATGCCCGGTCGCAGGACAGGCAGGGAGGGGACAGGCCAGACGGTCAAGTTGCCGGTCGACGGTATTGCTCGAAGCGCCCTGTGAGCAGAGGTGGAAGCGCCGCGAGAAACGCCTGAGCGGCACCCTCGGTATGGGGTCACGTCCGGCCGTTGGAGTCGATGTTGTCCGTCTCGTTCACGCTGCTTGGCGAGTACATCATAATTACTCCGTATGACGAACGGGGACGCGTTGAGAGCACGCACGCACCCAGAAAGCCCTCACATGCCTGCCTACCAAGGTCCAAGGAACTCGGTACATTTGATAAACAGAGGCTGCCATTGGCGCACACGGGATCAGAGGGACGACAGGCATGCCAGCCAACCCTGCAGAGGAAAGAGTCCAGCGCAGAATCGGCGTCCTCCGTACGCGAAGATTGCATCGAGCACAAGGCCTTGGTCCGGTATTCTCCGTACACGATACAAACGTCATCCAGGGCGGCAAAGGGCACAGCAAAAACACCGTCTGTCTTGGACAAGCCTCCCGGTAACTACCAAGAATAGCCAAGACAGTGTCTTCCGCCGCTTGATTTGTATGGGAATGGAAAGAAAAGGGGGGAGACGACGCTGCGCCACTCGACAAGATGCCAACCAACTGCTCCAGGGCTCCAGACGTTTCGTGATGTGCCAGGATGCCCGGATAGGCAGATTGCCAAATAAGGGAGCAACTTACGGAGTAGCATTAAGTATTGGACAGAGCAGAAGTGAGCACGTACGGGAGTACGGAGTACGGAGTAGTACCGCATACATGGCGACATGGACACCAACAAACTTGCCGTCGTCATGCGGCCAAGTCGGCGACCCGTCGTCGTTGCCGGTGAATGGTGAAGGGCTCACTCCGAACACAGGGGCCTTGTGGTGTTGCATGGTCTTTTCCAATCTCAATCTCACTGCTCCGTCACGACTCACCACGTAGTTATGTACTCTGTATTTCTTCTTTCTCTACGGAGCGCGGAGCGGCAAGGCAGGCGATAGCCGGCAACTTACATTGGCTGTCGGGCCCACGAACATCAAACTCGAGCCACTTGACGCTCCGTGCGATGTGCCAACGAACCATTCGAGGGGTAGAGCTTATGGCCCACGACACCACTCGGCTGTCAGATGTGATTCCTTTCCTTGTTGAGGGGGGGGGGAGGGGGAAACAGGTCTAACAGGCGGGCTGGCGGGAGCTCAACTCAACCGAAACCCGCGTACGGAATACGTCTTGTCAAGTTTAAAGGATGGACCTTGAATCCTGATCAAGCGCGTCCTACTTCCCACTCCCTACTCGGCACGTACTTCCATGCGCATTGAGACCAGCCCCCAAATACGGACCACCAATGTCCGGGCCTCGTCGCAGAAGGTCTTGTGGTCTTGGCTGGGCCTGTCACTCGGCCAAGGTGATGCGATCGACGGGAGCCATGACATCAACGCGGCATCCAGGCAGGGCAGGGCAGGGCAGGGGCAGGCTGTGCGTTGTTTTTTATTATTTTTTTTTTCCAACGTCTTCTTCTCATTCCCTTGCCTTTGCGACAAACAGTTCTGGTCACGTTGGCCATTCTTGGCCACGGCAGCAGCGACAAGTCGCAAGACAAGACAAGACGCGACGAACCAACGCTGCTGCATCCATGTCGCCGCTCGATCCCTCGTGCATCGAACCGAAGGCGATTCGATCGGGGAAAGGGTCTAAGAGGGGACACACTACAAGATGCAACCCCGTCGGTCCCGGACCGCCGCCTCAAGCTCGACGGCCCCTTGTGCGCCACGCAGACCTGGGCTGAGGCTGCTGCTGCCGCTGCCGACGCCGATGCCGATGCCGATGCCGATGCCGTTCTGCTCAGGCGTCGTCGCCGTCCTCTGGTCCGCCGGCGGAACTTTTCCCTGGACCTTTTTGTTTCTGCCTTGGCTCCCTCGCCTCGCCGTGGCGATCAACAACACCGTGTGTCATATCTGTACAACACATGCGTCGTTTCGTGTCGACCCGAGCGCCCGGCCACGCGACCCTGCGACATGCCAGCGTCTGCCGTCCGCCTCCGTCTCCCCGACCTCATCGCCATCGCCCGTCAGTCCTGCGCGCCAAACCACCACAGCCATCACCCATCAATCAATCAACCAACCAGCCAACCAGCCAACCAACCAACACGGCGCCAGAAAAGCAGGCCCCCATTCCCGCCCGCGCCGCCCGCTGAAAGCACTCGCTCAGCCTCGCCCAGCCCCCAGACACACACACGCACACTCGCTCATCGTCGCCCACCGTGCGGCACCCCTTGCATCCGCCCAGACTCAGATTCATGCCCGCCCTAAAGAACGCGATCTCGGCCTCCGCGTGACCGACAACCCTTGCCCTGGCGGCCGCAGGCAAGGATCGCCGCATCTCTGATCTCGGGGTGTGCTCACTCTGTAACCGTCAGCAGTCAGCATTGACTCGTGCAGAGACAGACGCAAAACGCACTCGACATCCGGTGAGCGGCACACGTACGCGTATAGGGTAGAGCGCCTGCCCCTCGAGTGCCCGCATCCCCCGGCCTCGTCATCGCGAGGTCACTGCGAGTCTTGAAACAGCTTCCAGGGGAGACGAACAGGAACAGCCCACCTCCCCCCCCCCGGTCTCCGTCTCGGGACCGTCTCGGGATTCTCGCGACGAGAGAAGAGTAGGCCGTACGGTGCCCTGGCCCTGGCCCTCACTCCGGGCCACGTACGCATACGCATACGCATACAGGGTAGCGGCATATCCCTGGACCCTGCGCGTGACACGGCCTCACACCAGCGAGATCATCTGCATGCGTGCAGGCAGTGCCGTGCCACCCAGAAAAAGAAATAATAATAATAAAATGGTAAAATGATAAAATGACCTCATCATCGGCTTTACATGTGTACTATTAATTTCTCGTTGGAAAAAAAAAATCACCAAAATGCCGCTACTCCGCAATCTGCCAGCTCCCGTGCACTCGCGCCCGCGGGCAGAACCTCATCCCGGCTCCTCCCATTGAAGCTTGGGGGCGCGGCCGGGGAGGGCCCTCGCCCAGGTGGCCGCCTGCCCATGCCGTGCGACACGAGTCTTCATCTCGTCCGGCGTGCAACCACCTGTTCGCCTGTTCCGGCCGTGGCTGCGTCTTGCGTCTTGCGTCTTGCGCCTTCGAACTTGGCCATGTACTCCTACTCCTACTCCGTACGCAGCACGTCGTGACGGTCAACAGAGTCCTCTCACCTCCCTCACCTCCTCGCCGTCGCCCGCCGTCGCCGACAGCGTACAGTGCAACGTCCATGCTCTCTGGCTGCTCCCGGGCGAGCGAGCAGGCAGGCAAGCTGGCGCTTCCTCACTCACTCACTCACTCACTCACCCGCCCACCCCCGGTCGGTATGCGCCTCCTGTGACTGCGAAGCCACTCTTTAATTTACATCCCTGCATCACCACACCGAAACGCCTGCCATGCCATGTTGAACCTTCCCCCCTCCTCCGCCGGGGTGACAAGTCAAGAACCCTACCGCCTTCCGTTGCTTGCCGCCGTCTTGAAACCGAAAAAGGGATGCTTCAGCGCCTCGCTCGGCGTGATCCTCTTGTCCGGGTTCAGCGCGAGGCACTGCTCCAACAGGTCGATGAAATGATTGAGATGCCTGGCCTCCGTGTCGCTCATCCCTGTCGATGCAGCGTTGAGCCGTGTGCGCAAATCGCGCGTCGGCTTCACCACTGCCAATGTCCTGACGGCCGTCTGCGAAACGCACATGTCAGCACTGCCGTCAGCAATATTTGCAAGACAAAGCAAGTCGGTCCCGGTCCCATCTGGCCCAACAAAGGAGATCTCCTCCCTCCTCCTCTCCTCTCCTCCCCCCGAGGCTCAAGGGTCGCGCGGTACATCTCCGCCGTGGCCAACCGTCTTGTGCCGGGCCTGGGGGCCTGGGCCTGCAGCCCAATATGCGACCGTGAGGCTGGCGCTTTCTTTACCCGCCCGGCTAGCTAGCTGGCCGTCACCTTATGCCCCCCCTTGGCGCAGATGAATGCAAAATCTAGCATCGCCAGACACCCTTTGAGCATGCCCGCGGCGCAGTGCATCGAGACAGCATCACGGCGCTTAGACAAGGCGACTTTGTTGCCAACCACGCAGTCTCCACAAGATGGAGGGACGCACCCGAAAAAATTAAAAAATTAAAAAAAGTAAGGGGGACAAGAATCAAAGGACCATGATATTGTAAACGTGCAAGTGAATCTGTTGCCCAACCCCCCCAACTACACGACGGGAAAAAAAACCGAGTTGCCACACGACAAGAGAAAGAAAAAAAAATTAAAAATTCAAGACGCACCTTTCCCAAGACCTTGTCACGCTCGACACTCACAAACTGACCCTGTTCGTCAAAGTGTGCCGCCGAAAGCTGTCCCCGACGAAACAACTTCGGCGTGAAGCGGCCGCGTATCTCCATGATTGCCTTGAGCATCTGGTTGTTGCTGTCGCCAGTGAAGAGAATCTTGCCGGTATACAGCTCATACAGGGTACACCCGATAGACCACATGTCGACTCCGTAATCGTACGGCATGCCCAGGATGATCTCTGGCGCCCGATAAAATCGACTGACCAGGTACGGCGTGAGTTGGTTGTGCGCCGTCGCGGCATCCGACCGATCAATCGCCGTGCCCAGGTCGCAAATCTTGAGGACGTTGCGCTGTTCGTTGACCAGAATGTTGTCCGGCTTGAGGTCGGCATGGATGATGCTGCACTTTCGCATATGCGCCAGCGCAACAAATATCTGATGGGCGTAAGTCCTCGTCGCCCCCAGGTTGATGCCGACGTTGTTGCCAAACTTGCGTAGGACCTCGCGTAGATTCATGCTTAGATTCTCAAACGCCATGCACAAGTGGCCGCGGTAGTCAAAGTGTCGCTCGAACTTGACAATGTGCTTGCGCTTCTCCGGGTCTGCGTCGTTGAGTTTCTGCAGAATGGCAATCTCGGTGTATCCGCCCTTTCGCAGCGCGTCATTGTTTCTCATCATCTTGATGGCCACTACCTGCTTGGTCGTCACGTCGACCGCGCGAGCGACCCCGGAAAACATGCCTCTGCCGAGCGTTGCCTGCACTTGGTATCGACCGTCGAGGATTTCACCGATTCTGATCTTGTAATAGCCGTCTTTGTCGTCGCCCTCCAGAATGCCCCCCTTGTCGTCGGCTTGCTGCGGTGCTTGGGCCGGACCGTCCGCACCACCCGTGGCGGCGGCAGCTTTGGTATTCTTGCTGGCATAGTTGTCAACGTCAACATCGTCAGCAAACATGTCAAACTCCCCGTCGTCGGCTACTTCTGCTGCGCTGGCGGCGTCATTTTTGGTGTTGTCATCGTTCGTTTCAATGGCTTCGGCTACGCTCTCACCGTGTATGACTGCATGACCATGTCTGAGCTCGTCTCGCCGTTCATCTTCCTTCATGTCAGCCGTCGGGTCATAATCAGCAGCCGAAGGTCCATCCTGGTCATCGGCTCCGGCATTGCTGTGAGTGTTCATGAGTTCCTTGTCGTTGAGCAGGTTGATGCCGCCGGGTGACGGTTCGGGCGAACGAGGGGATGCAAAGTCTGGCCAAGTTAGTCATTGTCAGCGAGAGAAAGGCATTCTATTCCATTCTGGTTGGGCACGTACCGGATCGGGGAGTGCGAGGAGTTTCACCCCCAAACGACGATATCTGCGGCGTGTCCTGCTGTGTGGACGCAGGGGAGGCCCCTTGAGCGTTCTTCTCTGCAGCAGCACCGACGGCATGAAGGAGAAGGGGCGTGGCCGAGCTAGACTTTGCCAGCAGCTCTTCTCGACGCCGGCGGCGACGCTCGATTTCAGCGTCCTCGTTTATCGGCTCGGGCTCTTCGTAGTCGTCGGGTTCTGTGAACGTGCTGCTGGGTTTGAGAATTCCCTTTGGTGGTTTCGCAGGCTGTTGGACGGCATCGTCATGGGCAGGGGCGCATTCCGTTACCGCAGAACGTTGAGGCGGCTCTCTGTCAACTCGACAACGTCGGTCATCGTCGTAGTGCAAAGTCTTGGTCGAGTCACGATCGTAATTCTGGCCTTCTTGTGCAAATCTTCTGTTATCCGACCTACCAAATCGTTGTGGCGCACGGGGCGATCGACTTCGAGGCCGGCCCGCTCTGTCGGGATACCGGGCACGATCAGGATGCCGGTCGCGGTCCATGTCGCCATCATAGCGCCGGTCGTAGTTGCTTGATGTTGCACTCGGTCGATCTAGATCGTCGTAAGAGATGCGCGATCTGCGATAATCACCTCTGATGGAATCATCGAAACGAGCGCGGACACGCCTGGAGTCTGGGTCACGTCCTCGGGTGTACTGCTTCCCATCGTCGCGAACGCGCTTGTATCCGCGAGGCGAGCGGCTTCGGCGGCAGGAGCCGCTGTATCTTGAAGTACAGTCGCGATCCGGACACGAATGTCCACTTCGGGGTCTGTCTTGGCGGTCAATACCGTTTCCTGAATGGTGTGCAAGTGAAGTTGCCTTCAAATCCCCATGTCCCTCCTCAATGATTTCTCCCTCATCGGAGCTGGATGCCATTGTATGTATACGTGCTGGATCCTCGCAAGGACCTTGATAATGAGCAAAATGAACAGTGTCAGCAAATGCGATCAGGAATGGCCAACGCGTAGACAGGAGAAAGAGTCCAACCAGATCAGCGTTGACTCGTGCCAGGCTCAGGTCATTTGGATGTTGTTTTTTTGGACCACGAGAGCGAGGGGCTAACAGGACAAGAGAAGCATTCACGAGGCGCGAGACGTAGTCTCGGACTTTGCAAAGAGATGAAACGGATGGTGAGAGAATAAACGGAGACAATGCAGAGTGGTAGCAAGGCGAGTTTATAGACTGATTGATTTGCCATCGAAACTTGACGTAGTTGCTGTGGGAGGGTGGAGAATTTTGAAGAGACCGTGATGCGCTTACATAATCGTCAATCCCCCATTTGGATACAAGACCAGTCACTCGCCTTATAGTTCAACTTTTGAGGATGCTATTGTATGACAGCCATGAAAAATTCCCTTGCCAAGTACTCTTACGACCATCTGTGTTCACAGATATCAAATTGCAGCCAAGATATACTATTTCACTCGGTCAATATGTCCTCGTCCCCATACCCAAGGATGCTGAGTGTGCGAGCGCCTCGGAGCAAACCCCAGCGAATGTATACTTGATGGCCCATTCAATATTTCCTTTACGACCATCACTGCGGGGTTGAAAGCGCCTGAATCAGTCGACTTGACACACGTATCTCAAACCTCTAGTTGGTGGACGCTCCACTGCCATTCCAAGGTGGCCGTTGGTGGCTGGTATGAGGCCTGTACAACATTGATCCGCATAATGCCATACTCGAAAAGCAGTGACCATGAACGAAGAAGACTACGTCCCACTTGTCTTCCACCCGAGATGTATCCGGCTTTTCACGAATCACCACGGCCCAATAGCCGCTGGCGGTAGTCCGGAACCTATGCGATTACGTTGCTGACTACCTGGTGCAAATGTCTGTGCTTAATGTCAAGCGAATTCGCAGGGCGGAAATCAACATGGAAAGGCCTTCTTCGTACACGATCTTCTACCTCCCATGCCCTTGTTGAGAAAAAGTCCATCCGATCGTCGTCCTGTTTCTTGCTCGAGGCATTCCTCCCAGCTTGCTGTCAGTGTTTCTGTCTACGTTGTTTCATGTCCTCTACATCGAACTCGAAGCTGATTCTTTGACCCATTTTCATTGCGCAAGCGGAAAAATTTATTCTCGAAAAGCTCGTATTAAACTGCACATGATGCCGAGGGGTTAGACAGCCATCACACCTCGTCGACCGATCAGAAGAGCAGGCTGAAACTGCGAGACGTAGCTCGGAAGCGAAACACTGCGGTCACTGCGGCATGAATTCTTTCTTCTGATAAGATTCAACAACTGTGTGTTCTTGCGAGCGACCGCTTTCCTTTCCCTTCACCTTCTTGTTGAGCCGTTCAGCAACGCCTTGGGGACTTTTGTGTGCCAAAACACCGGGAGGAGCGGCGAGCCCGTGACCGTGGAAAAATGGCTGCTCAGAATGGGATATCCTGGACAACCATGCCGGTCCCGAAGCCGACGAAGCCGCTTATTTCTTGCCGCTCTTCTTGATGCCCTGGGTTCCGGTATTGAGAGGCCCTTTGCCACCGGCCTTTGCCTTCAATGCTTCCAACTCCTTCTGGTCTACTCGGGACGTTAGCACAGCTTGATTCGTGTCGGCGGGTATGTCCCGGGGGCGAGAACGTCGCCCTGTACGTCACCAACTTTGCTTCTGTTTCTGGAGGAAAGCCATGTCGTCTTCGTCTAGTTCCTTTTGGGCCTTCTTCGGGGCCTTGTCGGGCTTCTTCTTGCCACCTGTCAGAACCGACGTGTTAGTCCTTGTTGGAGTGGGTAGTGATGGCAGCGACAAATGTGCGCCAGAGGACAAAAACTGGAGCGACGGCAGTACGCACCCTCTCTGCCCTGGCCACCCATGGCGAATGAGTGTTTCGAGTATTCGCAAGGAAAAAGAGGCTACGATCCTTGCACAGTGGTGACTGCGCTCTCAGTACGGCTGCTGGTTGTATGATGGTTGCGCAGGAAAATGGGATGGAAGAAAATATCGCGGCTCTGTCGCGGGATCGAAAGGACGAGGCGGGACACGGAGTCGAGATTCTCCACCGGAGGGGGGGGATTCTGTTTTGGGCTTAGCTCACCAACACTTCAGTTAACTGAATACCTGGGCAAGGAACGGAGTAAAGTATTGACCCAGGCATTTCTATACCCGGGTGCACAAGTAACCAACTACCACACAGACGCTAGCGGGCAAAAGGTTCAACAGCCACGACGAGCCTTTATGCCGAAGCGACTTCCAACTCTCGAGTGAAAACACCGCCCCGACGCAAACACAGATGACTGTGCTGCCATCGTCACAACTTACAAGGTAAGTAGTTTCCACCTTGACAATCAACGCGCAACTCTCGCCTCGGCAGCAACCGTCGACACCAGCACCACGAGCATGACTGTGGAGAAAGAGCGCCTAGGCCCCCCCGGCCAACCGCACGGTTCAACATGATGCCGTCTTCCACGTGCTAGTCTCAACAATTTCGGCACCATCACCGCAACGCACCACCTTGGGCCAGGAACCCGTTCATCCCCCCCCGTGTTGCCTCAGTCTCATACATTCCAGCGCAAGCCTCGTCAGGAGAGCTGGCCGTGACACGCTGCAATGTCCAACCTCCGTCAACGCCGGCCCTCAACCACAGAGTCCCTCATCACAGCCCTACAGGCCCTCGAGAAGAAAGCTGGATCCAAACTCCTCCTCCTGTGGGATGATCTGCCCCCCTGGCGCCGTGACAACGCCTTCATCCGCTCAGGTTACCGCCAGACTTGCGCCTCCTACGCCCGCTCCTTTCAGTCCCTGTTCTACCTGCACAATGAGTCCGTCAACATCTGGACTCATCTGCTCGGCGCGTTGGCGGCCATCACCGCCTCCGCCTACGTATACTACGTCGTCCATCCGCGCTACGAAGAGGCAACCTCCTCGGATGTTCTTGTCTTCTCGTGTTTCTTCGGCGGAGCCATCCTGTGTCTGGGCATGAGCGCCACGTTTCACGCGCTTTTGGATCACAGTGAGGATGTGGCCAAATGGGGGAATAAGCTGGATTACACGGGCATCGTCGCCTTGATTGTGGGGAGCTATGTGCCGGCCTTGTATTACGGGTTTTTTTGTAACCCCGCTCTGATGTCGGCGTATTTGTATCTCGTGAGTTTTTCCCCCTTCCTATTCAATCTGTCGTGATGCAGACTGACCAGAGGCAAGATTTGTATATTGGGCATCGCATGCGCAATAGTATCCTGGGTAGAGCGTTTTCGCACTCCCAAATGGCGAACATACCGAGCATCCCTGTTTATCGGCCTGGGGCTTTCGGGTGTCATTCCTGTTATCCACGGGGTGTCGGTATACGGATACGCAGAACTGGAGGAGCGCATGAGTATCAGCTGGATTGTTGCTCAGGGTGCCATGTATATTTTCGGCGCCGTTTTATACGCTGTGAGTCAATTCTCCACCGCATCATGATGATGTGCGCCATTCTGACCTGGTGGCAAAAGGTCCGTTGGCCGGAGAGGAGCTTCCCTGGATCGTTTGATATCTGGGGTAGCTCGCATCAGATATTTCACGTCTTCGTCCTCTTGGCTGCCGCTACGCACTTTTACGGCATGGCCAAGGCGTTTGATGCCCACCACCGCAATGGACCACCTTGTGTTTTGGACTAGACGTCGATGCCGACAAGGAAAAAAGCGCCTCGTCTCAGCCGGCATTATCCAACCCGAGATCCAATACCCTGACCAATCCCGACGCCATGGCCGCAGCAGCCCAGCATCCAAACCCTTCGTTTGGATTCCACTCCACGACCGTAAGCCTCGACAAAGGCTCATACACAATGCCTCTCGATGGATCCATCAACCCGCCGGCCTCATCATCCTCGATCCCCTCGCCCGCATCCAGTTCAGCCTTTTTCGGCCGCCTGGCCTTTTTGCCCTGCTGCGCCTTCACCTCGCCCTTGGGACTCCTCCCCTTTTCAATGGCGAATCCGTGAACGATGCGACATGCACCCCGTGCAGGAGCGGCCGAGTCGGCAGGGAATAGTTCCTTGGGCCGGTGTTCGTGTTGAAACAGGCGAAGCCGATTTGTAAGCTCTCTCCGACTAGTGAATAGCTCGACTTGCGGATTTAGGCACCACAGTGATCCGTCACTCGTGCCAATCAGCAGAAAAGGATGCGTTTTGCCAGAAGCGAGACAGGAGTTGTAGCCTTCGCCAATGTATACCCTCCGCACAATAGGAAAGAACCGCTGATGCAGGAACCCGACCATGGTGTTGAGCGCGTTGGCGGAAGGGTACACGGAGAAGAAACCCTGGATGTGGCTGCTATAGGCAAGCATGTTGGGCTGCCAGCTTACCGCATTGGTCTGCACTTCTGTCGTCTCGTATGTCGGACAGGTCAGATCGACCAATTTCGTCGTGCCGCCTACGGGCGTAGATGCCACGAGGAACGGATGAGAAGGGGACCCTGTAGCAATGTCGACGACTAGGCTGTGATGCACGGCGTGCCTTGAGAGCAGACAGCTTGGGTACAGGGACCACAGAGCGATGGAGCCGTCCGAGTACCCAACAACAAGTCTGTTAAAGGTCGCCCATGCGAAGGCTGTAGCTTTGATGGAGTATTCATCTTTCAGTGTGAATGATGCAAGAGGATGTTCGACCTTGTCTGTAACCATCATTAGCATAGAAACGTTGGAGTGTCGTAGACGGACGCACCAAACGAGCCGGTTTTATCATCCACCTCGATCACATGGACGCCTCCATCGCCACATAATATCGCAAGGTGATTGCACGCAGGACTCCATCGCACTCTTCTCGCGCGCCCATAGTCAAGACACACTGTTCTGCGCAGAGACGGCACATGCGCCGATGGCCTGCGCACGCCATCTGTGTCGTCGCCTCGAAACCCCCACAGCTGCACGGTGCCGTATTTCTGAAAATCAGGCCGCTGATGCTCCGCCTCGTAATCGTAGTCCTCCTGATCCGAGTGCGGTATGACCGCCAAAGCCAGCACCTGCTCGCCCTCCCGTCGCGGCGCCCAATCCATGCCCGTGACGATGCCGCCAACGTCCAACACCCAGCCCGTAGGGATCTTGCCCTCGTTGTCATCGGCATCATACGGGATCCAGCCCTGCGACAGCGCATACGAATCGCCGGCCTCAATGCTGATTTCCCTCTGCACCTCATACGGCCCCATGATCAATCTCAACTCCCTCGTCGGCATCGCATACAGCGCCGCCTCGTCACCACCCAGCTCCCTGTACTGCGTCGTCTGAACGCCGCCGTCATTCGCAAGTCGCGCGCTCCACTGCTCGGCATAATGCGCCTCCTTCTCCCTGTACCCCTCCGCCGCCCACGGGGCTACGTTCGAAATGCCATGCTCGGCTCCGACATGCCGCGGCGGCAGCACCGTCCACGAGATCCAGCGGTCCAGCAGCCGCTGCGCAAGGTGAATGCTTGCCGTCCGCGGCCCGTACCACGTGCTCACCAAGGTCTGTCCGCGCATGCTCCTGTCAAATGGCCCCGTGTAACCCTTGAGGTGAGTATCTGTGGTGACGGACTCGAGGTCCAGGTATCCTGCACCAGAGACGTGCTTCTTGGTCTTTTTCACGCGCCGGCGGGGGGGCGCAGCGGCGACGGGAGGCAGCATTCCTGATTCGGAAGCCTCACTTCCGGCCGCATCTTCCTCTTCTGCTTCTTCTTCTCCCTCCGAGGGCATGTCGTCATCCACGGCGGCGGGCGACTCATTCAACGCTGATGCGTCAAAGTTTTCATCAGCATCGTCTGTGGCGCGGCGCCGGCGAGAGGGCTTAGCTGGGGGGTTGGGGGCGACATTTTGCTCGGTTTCCGAGGAGGAGCTTTCGAAGTCGTATTTCTGGACGGCGTAGCTCTTTGTGCGATTGGATCTGCGGGTTCTCATTGCGCATTGTGGTGAGGGTGGGGTTGGCGGCGAGTAACGCTGAGGTGTGAGTGATGAATCGACGATGATGAGTCGGACTGGAGCAAGTCAAGGCTGTCCTGAAAATGTGAAGCGGCAAGAAGAGCAGGATTGCCGCTTTGGGTTGGTGGGTTGGTGGTGGAGCTGAGCTGAGCTGAGCTGCGCTGCGCACATGGCAGGAGCTGCGCTGCGCTTGCCCTGCCGTTGGGTGGGGTCCAGTGGCATTTCGCGCTTTGCCAGACGTGTAAAATTCGAAAGACTTCCTCTGCAGCCACAACTGCTCAATGTCTTCAACCTCTTTGGCACAAAATCCCTCGAGCTGGTCGACATTCTTGCCGGTAGTGGCTACAGAAATTCCCTGATTCAAGCACCAATTCTCTGCGACATCACCGTCCTCGACGCCATACGTATCCGCCAACTCTCCGTCCTCATGTTGCTCGCACGCATGGTACTCGACTTGATTCACCGCTGGCCGAATGGTCGCGACTCCCGGAATGCTGTAGCTGCAGCTTGGTAAAGTTGGAAACGCCGATTGACTTTACGTGACAGCTTCTTTGGGCTGTCTCCATCTCATCAACTCTTTCTGCAGCTCACTGTCGTTCTTTGCACAGCGTGGGCTGTGACTCAAGATGGTCCATTTCGCCCAGAGAATTGTTGAATGAGAGTTCGTCAAAGGATGATGAGCCCGTTGGTGCCGACAAGGTCACGGCGCGGGGCCGGCAGCAACTTTGGCGTCCCTCTGCTACCCTGTACTGCGGTCAGCTGCGCTCTTGTGAATAGGTGCAAGTCTGTCCTGCTACTTGCGTTCAACGGTGTCGAGGTGGCGAAATCCAGGTTCAGAGCGCCGATGACGAGTTGTGTGCTGTCAAGAGCGGGGATACCAAAGACTCGTCTGCATTTTGGACACGTGCATGGTTCCGACGCCGTATGCGATCTGTTTCGTGTTAGAGAAACCGCTTAGGTATCACGGACTGCACGTACAGCAGGCATTTTCCAGCCATCATCAAGGTAATCATCTTGGATGCCGCCATGATATCAGCTTGACCCCAGCGTTGGCAAGAAGGATAATTGGCGAACAACTAGGATTTCAAGTTTGTCAGACTGGACGAAATGTCAACCCAGCCGAGTCCTCCCACCATACACCAAACATAGGGGCAAAACCGGGCTATAAGTTGACCTAGAGACACCGAGACATGGGGTGGACAACTGAGCCATACACACTCGGTGAATCTTATTATACGCCACCTTGTCAACTTCTATCCATATTTTATAGATCCCAGATGGATAAGATGATCAGATAAAAAGAAAAAGAAAGCTGCACACTTCACCCATCTTCAAAACCACGGACGACCACGGACGATGTGTTCTCCGCCATTCACAGCGGCCAGCCCGGAAAGCCCGGAAACACGAAAAGCGGCTCTGACCATCGGAAGCCTTCATGCCTTGTCTCTCTTCTCCCCGCCGCTCAGGGTATTGGCATGTCGACAAAGGCACGCCACTGCCACTCAGCGACAGCCTCGTGGCTTGCTCTTGTGTGCTCGAACACGGTCTGGTCCGGGCAATCTCCATACCGACGCAGAACATGCTTCACCACTGTCGTCATAGTTTGCCCGCGATTTGTCGGACGGCCAATCCCCCTTCTCGGTCGGCTCGGGTGGCCGTGCGACGTTGCACTTTTCGGTTCCCAGTACGCTGCAACAAGTTGGGATGAATAGGCGCACTAGTTGTTTATTGTCTTGCATTCAGATACGTCCGCGCGATGTAGAATGGGTGCAGCTTCTCCTATTGTTCATCAGTGCGACACCACGCCATCGCCATTGCACGTCCCCAGACGTGGTTTGTGCTTGAGTACCGGCTGCGTGGCACCACGAGGATCTCACGCCCAATGTGGAAGAGAGGGAACTTGGCTTTCCATCTGGCAGAACATAGTCAACATTCAAGCCTTGCGTTGGTCTTCTCTCCTCCAATCAGTATGTGTTCCACGAAAAAGCAGCTGCGTCAATGGCAACTTGGACACGGGGGATCTGGCGGTCGTGTGCGCTCACTCGGTCGGCCGGACCAGAAATCCAAACTTCACCCCCCCAGAAAGATGCAGACAAACCTGAAGCCCAAATCCGTAGGTGCCTATTAGTATATTCAACACCCGGCCCCGGACGCCTCTTGTCCCAGGCGTGTTCTAGTAGCTGGAAATCGACAGACTCTGAGCTTACGAGCCCACGGCAGTTACAAAAGAACCTGACCCGTCTTGGGCTACCTTCGAAGACCCGTTTTCACTCACTGGTGGCAGTAGCTTTGTCGTTGAGAGAACTGGCTGGACATGGCCCAGGGCCCTCGTTCCAAGAGGTTTCCGGATTTCCCGCCCAAGGGATTCAAAGGTCGGACGCTGCGTCCCGGGGATGCGGGCTACACAGAGGCACGCCAGATACCCAATGCACGGTACGGCAACGAGCCGGCTCTGATCGCACAATGTCTGGATGCCCATGATGTCGTGGCGGCAGTCGAGTACTGTGACGCGCACAGCGAGCCGATTGCCATACGTAGCGGCGGGCACGCCATCGACGGGCACGCAATGCCGCAAGATGCCTTTGTCATCGACACGACGCTCATGAAGAAGATCGAGGTAGAGCCTTCGACAGGCATCACCACCGTCGACGCCGGCGTGCTCCTGGGCGAGATGGACGCGGCAACCCAGAAACACGGCTACGTGGTGCCGTCGGGCACCGTCTCGGCGACGGGAGCCGCAGGGCTGACGCTGGGCGGCGGCATGGGATATCTGACGCGACGCTTCGGCATGACGGTCGACAGCCTGCTCTCGGTCCGGGTGGTGACAGTCAAGGGCGATGAGCTGGTGGCTTCGAGGGAGCAAAACGCCGAGCTGTTCTGGGGGCTCTGCGGCGCCGGCCACAACCTCGCCATCGCCACGTCCTTTACCTACCAGGCGCACAAGATGGGGCCCGACGTCATCAGCGGCCTCATCATCTACCGCATCGACGAGGCCGCGGGCGTGCTCTCGCAGCTGGACGCCATCATGCGCCGGGCGCCGCGCGAGCTGACGATATATCCCGTCACGCTGCCCGCGCCGCCGCTCCCCGGGCTGCCCGAACAAATGCTGGGCGTGCCCGTGCTGGTGCTCATCATCGTCTACACCGGCCCGCCGGCTGCGTACCACGAGGCCATGGCGGGCGTGCGCGCCCTTGCCGCCCAGCCGCTGGCCGACATGGTCAAGCCTTCGAGCTGGCTCGAGACGAACTCGATCCTAGACGTGCTCGCGCCGCCGGGCCGCCGGCAGCACACCCGCGGCGGCTACCTGTCGGCCATCACTCCCGAGGTGGCGTCCGCGATCGTGCGACGCGTCATGAAGGCCCCGGCCCCGACGAGCCCCGGCCCCAGCGTCGCCATTGCCTTTCCGTGCCTCGGCGGCGCAATCTTCGACTTTGCCGAGGACTCAACCGCCTACTCGCGCCAGGGCGCCAACTGGATGTGGGAGGTGCTGGCCATGTGGGACACGCCCGACAAGGACGCCGAGTTCGAGCGCTGGGTCGACGCCGTCATGACGGCCCTGACGCCCTTCTCCCTGTCCAACGGCTACGTCAACCTGTCCGTCGACCGCGGCCCCGAGTGGCTGCGCAACCTGTACGGCTCGCCCGACAAGTGGGCGCGCATCTGTGCCCTCAAGACCAAGTTCGACCCGCACAACCGGCTGCGGCACAACAAGAACATCGCCAGGGCCCGCGAGTCCTTGGCCGCCAAGTCCTGGCCGTGGCCGTGGCCGTGGACGCCGACCCGGGCGCCGACCCGGGCCCAGACCCGGACCCGCCTCCGCACCCGGACCCGGGCCGCCTCGTGGCTGCTCAACATCGGCTGCGCGCTGTCTCTGCTTGCACTGTGCAGAGTCGGCCTCTACCTCCGCCCAAACTGGGGGCTGCCCTTGTATCTCCTGAAGCGACTTGGCTTTGGCGGTCGCGCCGGGGGTGCGGCGATGTAATGACCGGCGCGGCCCTTTGTACCACCACCGTCGTTTTGACGATTCCAGACTGTAATTGACCCCAAGTACTACCTTTTCTAATGACAAATGAGATTCCGTGCCAGAAACAGCCGAGACAAGAAAACAAGACGGATCATCGCGCCGAAAAGGGGGCGCCCCCAGTTCGAGAGGTTGCCCAACGAACAGTCAGCGGGCGGCCTCGGTGCCGCAAGCGGCGCAGGCAGACAGACGGCTCGACGGCGAGCGCGCTGTATTCCGTCGCGGCCAAGCGAAGCCGTTCCCAGGAAGCAGTTGGCTGCGGAGGGCGTGCGATGACTCGTTATGCGCTCGTTTGCTACGCTGGCACTTGCCAGGTGCAAGTCTCGACGGCGGCATCTTCCCCACCTCGCCGAGCAAGGTCTCTCCGTATTCAAATACATCGTCTTTGTGATTGTCGTGCTGAGGATCCATCGCCGTGACTGTGCGTGTCGGCCCTTGCCCTGTTACGCTCATGTCGACACCTGCGTCGTGCCATGCGACTGCGTGTTGGCGAGAGATGCAACGAACGACGCCATATTCACCGCCTGAGTGTCGGGGGTCACAAGACACGGGTAGTAGTCAATCCCGTACGGGTACTCCGTACAAGTACTCCATACCGACCAAAAGGACACTAGAAAAGGCTGTGACTTGTTTATCAACGATTGCTGCTGTATATATATTCTCATTACATACATGTGACGTCTCACACTCGAACCTCGTGGGATCAGTCACATATCACTATACAACTACTGCACCTTGAGAAACCGGTCAACCAGCTCCGGCCAACCCTGCAAGCCCAGCAGCACACCTCTCAGGTCCTGCGGCCGAGCCCCCTCACCAGCATCATCATCACCACCAGCCTGCCAGTCCGCCTCAAAGTCCTGCAACTTGCGCGTCAAAGCATCCTGATCCAAGGGCCTCGACTTGCTCGCCGCCACGAGCGCATCTACAAAGATGGACCACCGACCCTTGTAATATGATCCCACGAGACCCCCCCACGCCTTGGCCGCGTAGTCGTTGAGATTCGTTGCGTTCACCTGCCACACCGTGACCTGACTGCGGGCGTTGAATGCAAAAAGATTCTGGTTCCCAGTGTCCCTGCCCCAGGAGCGAGCGGCGTCCACCCAGCTCCGCAGGGTAAAGTGCCTGCTGGAGAGGAGCGTGTCGTCGAGCGTTGACAGGAGGGAGAGGAGCTTGCAGCCGGCGGCCTCGAGGTCGCATTCTGACGCGTTGGAGTGCCGTCTCTTGCTTCCAACAGAGGTGCTGCATTCGTAGGCTTTGACGAGATCGACGTAGAGAAAGTCGAACTGGTTGCTCAGCATCTGCCTTGTTACGTCGATAAAGTCCAGCTGGAACGCCGGCACCAGCCACAGCGACCCCTGCCGCGTCACGGCTTCCAGGAGCAGCTCCCACGCCGTTTGGAGGATGACCGGGTCGTAGTGCACGGCTGTGGGGTGGGGGAAGTGGCCGGTCCGGTTGACGATGCCAGACAACGCCGGGCGAAGCTGGTATGTCGCGACGGCGACCTGGGGGATATCGGCGCGCGTGTTGCTGTAGACGTGAGTGCGGAGGATCTCCCACGCCTGATACAGCTCTGACGGGATGCTGGAGACGCCGGCGTAGCGTTTCGTGACCCACGATTCAAAGTACGTTTGCGTATCGAGCGGCGTCGGCGACCAGGCTTGGTCGAGGAGTATATCGTACACGATTTCGTTGCCTTCGTATGCTTCGGGCGTCAGGCCAAACCCAGCGAGAGACTCTGACTGCGCAAGCGCGTCAATGGGCGCCGAAGTCAGCGTTTGGACACGCCCCTCGAGAGCCATGTTCCCCCCAAAGTCATGTAGCTGGCACCAAATCCACGGCTTTCCAGAATAGCTGTTTGTCCGCTGCCACTGCGGATTCACCTCCGAGTACAGGTCGAGAACCAGCATGCCCTGATCGTCCTCGACGCCGCCCAGGTAGGCATCGATGCGCGGCTGGGTCCAAAAGCTACGGCTCGAGTAGAAAAGCCATCCCTGGAGGAGCCAGACGGCGGCAGGGTTGGCAGCCGTGAGCCCGGCGTAGGTGTTGCGCGAGATGCCCGAAAGGTAGGCCGACTCTCCCGACATGGGGGACAGCTCGTTGAACTGATCGAGGGTGTAAATATTGGTGACGTTGCCAAAGGCCTCGATTTGCTTCGAGACGAAGAGCTTCTGCAGTTCCGCATACGTGTCGTCCAGGGGGTCGAGGAACAGGTCCCTTGTGTACCTGTCCGGCGCGGGCGCGAACCAGTTCGGCGAAACGGTGAGGTTGGCGTTGGGCCGAACGTTTTTGATGCTATCTGGCACGAAGCCAGGGAATGCAGGCAGCACTGGTGTGATGCCGAGCTCGACCATGCGCGCGACTATCTTCTTTTGCAGATCAAACTGCTGCTCGATGAAGGAAAGCGGTACGTCACCCTTGCCGCCCCAGGAGCGCTGAATATTGCCGAACCGATTCCACGCCTGGAACGCAGGTCCGCTGAAGAATGGTAGAATGTCCTCGTTGGAGAGACCTAGCTCCCGGAAGCTGTCGAGGAAGATCTTCTCGTAGCCTACCCAGGCGAGCTGGAGGTTGACGCCGCGCAGGGCAGCCCAGTCGAGTAGTTTTTCCCAGTCCTCCCACTGATACCAAGCAAAATTGTACGAGAAGGTGACTTTTCAAACAGGTCAGCTGATGTTTCTAACCTAGGCCTTGGTTCTTCCGGGGCTGCCAAGTTTTCAGAACCGTACCTGTGTTGAGATTATACCTCCATGGCACCACACTGGCCCCAGACAGAGGCTGCTCCGGGACAGGCAGATCCTGTGGAATTTTCTTATAAGTATCAACGAACCAAAACTCATCAACTTGTAAAACTTGATTGGCGTAGTGCCGCAGGCTGTAACTGGTTGTTAGCAGTAGTTCAACACGGAGACCTGCCGGCTTCCTCCAACACGGACGATCGGACCAGCGTCATTGGAAACACTGGGCGTGGAAACACCAAATGCGACTGATTCACAAACTAACCCTCTGGCCAGTGCATTCAGGGTCGTTCCCTCGACGCGGATCTTTCCATTGGCATTCTGCACCGTGTAGCTATCATTGACGGGCGGGTTCCATCGCGACCAGTTCCCATGGCGGGTGGTGAGAACAAACTCAAACGCGCTTCCCTGGCCGTTGAATAGGCGGTCTGCCAATTCCGAAATACCAGTCGTTGTAGTAGTAGTAGTTGTTGTTGTTGTTGCTGCTGCTGTGTCTGCTACTGGCAATGACAGCACGGCAGCAATCGTAAGGCGCCGTAAACAAACCATCTCGACACACGTCCCCCGACTGCGACAGCCAAATGTATACAGTGTTGGTAAGGGAGAAGCGGGTGATGGAAACCCGGATGCGAAATGTCTTCAGTAGTCATGTCCCTCGCCTTGTTGGGTCCGGTTCCTCCACGCGCATCGCCAGCAAAGAAAGGCCAGCGGAGGCGCAATCGGAGCAGTACGATATATGTATGTCTGCTTATCAGTGCTCAATAGATCTCCTGTACCTTGCGACACAGTAAGGCCAGGAGAAGTTAAGGCCCAGATCAGGGAAAGGCAACGTGGGGAATGCACGGGAGCGGAGATGAGCGCGGAGAGTCAAGACACTAAGTTATAAGTAGCTAGAATGCCGGTGTAGGGTCAAAGCAAAGATGATACTACTAAGAAGCGAGGTTGCGATAGAGCTGGAGTCACAATTGCACGGTAGAGTGTTCGGGGTTTCCTCAGGTTTTCGGAGATTTTTAGTTGCCCCAGTTGACAGTCAATCCGGTCTAGACGTGATGGGATGATGATGGTGTGTTACATTTGGCCGAACCGTCTCGTCTCGTCCTCGTGAGGGGAACTCTGCAGCATGACCAAGCCGGTCCAGGCACTCACTCTCCATCTGCATCAACAAACAGCACCTGACGATGGTCAGCCAGCAGCCTGGAGAGAAACAACTAGAGGGGGGCATACCTGTTTGTTCGCTGCCTACCTTGGTGCTCCATACTTCGTGGGCAGACGATTGTTTACGTCGCACGCAACACAATGCCATTCTCGTCGATCCAATGCGGGAACCGGAATGTAGGCTCTGGACCCCTGGCAGGAGTACCCCAATCTCCACTCGTGGGTTCCCGCGGCAGTGCCATCTCCGAGCCTCCAATGAAAGCGCATAGAAGGGGAATAGGGCCATGCTAGTAAACGCAGAGGGTGCCACCAAGACGCTCTGTTGCCGGAAGGAAAAACGAGTTGTGGCTGGCATCGTGTTGTGGTGGACATACAGTGTATGAGACAGTGCGACACGGTCAGCAAGACGCGGGGGGGAAGCACGAAGCCGGTGGCCCATTGACGCAGGAATGCGCAAAACTCGGCACTACGATTCACGAGGCTCAATGTCAAACGCATTACAAGCAACATCTTTTGAGGAAGAGCGCAGGGAGACCGTAGTCTTGTCCCAATGCAACACAATGTGCGCTTCATTGTCACTGTCGCCTTCTACCTTGGACGTGCTACTCGGGCGACGAGGATCATGACAGCACGCAACTGACGCGAAAATGAACGACCAGCATGAGCTGCAAATAATCTTCATCGTCCCGAAGCTCATCAGGTGCATCTTTCTCAATATCCTTCGCCACGTCTTGAGTCTTCGTCATTCAATGAGCGGCGGCCTTGTAACAAAAAATGCGTCCCAAGCAACATTCCCTACCCTCCCCGTCCGGTAGACAAACACAGATGCACCCAAATCCATCACTCTATATATCCCAACGCCCTAAACGCGTTATCCAGAATCTCCCGCAACACCTTCTCCTTTCTCGTATTATACTCCATCATCGACTCTCCCCTCCGCCTCGACTCCGCAGCCGATTCCCTCTTAGTCTCGGCATACCGCTCTCTATCGCGGGCATTCTTGACCAACCACTCCCTAAAAATCCTATGCCTCTCGACTTCGGGACAATCTGGTCCAAAAACATGCAGGTTCACCGGCGTGGGATCCCATCCCATCCCGAATAGTCTGTGCCCGTGCCATGGCTTCTCTCGGAGCAGGAATGTAAACCCTGCCGACTCGAGCTGCGGCACGTACGAATCTTCATCGCCGACGTCCTTCACAGTGAGGTCAATATCAATGATGTTCTTGGCAGGCAGCCCGGGAACGCTGGTGGAACCGGTGTGTGCAATGGCGAGTGCAGTGCCGCCGAGGGCATTCTTGATGCGTGCCCTGAGCTGCTCGAACTGCCGTGGCCAGGATGGATCTGGCTCGACGATTTCGAGGATATTTGCGAGCTTGCGCGTGCCAATCCACTCTACGCCATCAGGATCCTCTTCGACGCGCGCGACGATTTGCTCTGGCGTGAGGGGCATTGTGCAGCGACGGCATGCAAAAGACGGCTGAGCTGGGGATACTTTGTTGAAGAAATCTTGAGGGCTTTGAGGGAGTATCAGAGTCTTTTATGTGAGTCGTGGACATGTTTAGATGCTGACCGCTATCCACACAGCCGTCATTCACGTCTCGCCGGCTCGTAGTTTCGTATTCAATTTTTTTCTTTTGCACGCCTGGTACCATCAGCTCACCTAGAGCATGGCGCTTGAATGAATAAGTGCTGGTGCCGGTGCTGTAAGACTTGCCGGTGAGTCATTTTTCCGGTCGCACCTCCAGGGGCCCTTGAAATACTAGCAGCCTTATTCGGACGAGAATTGTGCTATTCTGCGAGTTGAAGCTGATTGAACGGACCAATATGTCCGTCTCAGAAGTATAATACCACTTTCCGATCTACAGAGACATGTTATAGGACCTGACGGAACGTAGCGAGTCCAGACGTGCCATGCCGCCCCCAGAGACTCACTCCTCCAGCTCCTCAAACGATGGAGTGCGTTCCATGTTTCCTTTTTCGGGCCTGACCAGGCGCGCTGCTGGTGCTCCCACTACCAATCACCAGCCCAAGACCGCTAGAGGTTTCTGAAGCTGGACAGACCCGGCGCTATTGTACGCGGTGTGTTTGGAACGCTTCCAAGACACCACCGACACCGTTTGTGCTCTGACGACTGGATCGTCCCTCTTCTAATGCCAGTAGCTGCAGATCAGTCAAACCCGCGTCGGCATAGAGTATCTACAGGCGTAAAAGAAACGTACGGCATAATTTTGCACCCAAGGCAAGATCAGGTGTCAACTTGGCAAAGGGCAAATATGGCCCATGGTACGGGACATCAGTTCATGACTGTCGGCCTGGAAGTATGTGGACTCCTTTAAGATGTACGAAGCGGCGTATGCTTGCCAGAGACCGGTGGAGTTTAAAAAATGAACGAAGCGAGAGATAGTATTCAATGCTATAGAAGAGACGATCCACGCACTACCACCGAAGAGCGAGAGCCGCCAAGTCCAGAAGATGCGATGTATCGATGTTGTCCGGCGGCGGAAGCCGAGTCGCATACACCAAACCGAGTAACATCCTGACTATCTTCGGGTCTTCCTCTAGCATCAATACCTCCTCATCCTGCCCTGAACTCTCTCCTGCTTCTTCCTCGCCTGAGCGTCTGTGAATCAAGTTGCGCAAGACGGGCGATATTTGCTCGAGAGCCCAGTAGTCCAGTGCAATTGTGGTTCGTTCGGATCCTACGATAAGGCGCATCTCGTTCCGTTTGGGCGCTCTGAATGGTTTCAAGACCGCGCTTTCCGCTTCTGGAGAAGTGTTCTTTGCGACTGGGATCTGAGTTCCTGGTGTCTTTGGTCGGCCTCGTTTTTGGAGCCTGTGCACGTCCTCTGACGCTTTCTGCTCGACATGGGGTCCTCTATTTCTCTTCGAAGTATCCGAGGAGGAGAAACGAAACTGTGAGAGTGGACAACTTCTAGAAGAAAGAAAGGCGTGAAGACCAAACTGGAGTTGTGCCGGGAGTTAAAATTTATCAAGGGCTACTCGTGATGCCCGCTAGCTGACGAGAGGTGCCGAGCCTGCACAGCCAACCAAAGCGACATTATATCAGCTGCACAGGTGGAATGCCGTTGACCTTTTTCACAACAATTCATGTTCGACATGTATGTAGATTTTATGTATTTAAATCCTGGGAAAGCGTAAACGGCTCTATATAAGCAAGGGAGGTATAGAGACAATCCCAATGAGGAGGCGACACATACAGACCAACAATCGAACAAAATTCACGTGCTCACAATATGCTCATATTCCAAATGATGCAGTACATATTGGAAGAAAAGAAGAAGAAAAGAAGGGAATTGCTTCCTTCACACGCCGTCGTGTGAGTGGTCTGCCGTGCTCCCCGTTTTGCCGGCGATTTTCCGCCCGTGAGCCCAAACCTCGCTCATGGCTTTGGCGACAATTTCACCTCCGAGGTCGCCGTCCGACGCTGCACACAGTTGACCGAAGCATCATGAACCAACCTGAGAAGGGCCCTCAAAGGAGCCATTCAAAGAACAAGTCGTCAGTTTCGCGCCGTGAGTCCCACCTGCATCGTCACCCAGCAGTTTGCGTGATCGCTTCAACACCAAGTTGTCACCAACACCACGCAACCATTACCATCAACCCAGAGCCAATCCGTCATCAAACTAACAGCACCCCAGCTTCGCGACCGCGTTCCTCTACCAAAGGACCCCTAGATCCAGACGAGCAAGCTCATTCTATATCGCCTATCACCCATCATCAGCTAACCCGCCAAGCAGTTCTCCATTAAGCTCACCATCTAGGCCACAGCCCGAACGACTCCAAGCTCAGCTACCCCAACGCACAGCGTCCCAGCACCGTCACTCAACGGATTCGCCAATTCCCCAAGTAGGCGAATCTCGCCCAAAGGACTTCTCATTTCTTCTCCGCCCCGAGATCTACCACCCTCTTACGCCGCTCAACGTCCCAGTCGCGTTCCGCAACTCCCCAAAGCAGCCTGATCCCGCGACGCCCCTAGAGCAGCTCCTCGCAAGGGGACACTTCCGTGCCGCAGCCATCGCGTCAGTCCAGGAACTAACAGGCTCTGGGGCTCGCGGGGCCGTGGACCCGACTGACTCACAGCGCATCTTCACCCTCCTGTACACCCGGCTTGTTTGCCTGACGCTTATAGACGCCACTCCGCTGGCAGCTCAAGAGGTGAAAGCGCTGGAAGACCTGAGCAATGTGCGAACCTATGTCGACGACAAGACAGGTGAACACCTCATTCCCTGGGAGCTGCGGGTGCTCAACGTGCGATTGCAGGCCCTTGGATTCGGAGACCTACGACGGGCTATCATGAGTTATTACGACCTGGCAAGAGAAGCGCGCGAACACATCGGCAGAGCGATAGCCAAGCACGATAACTCTGCAAGCGAGCTGTGGAAAGCCCGTCTCCACGAACTGGGGGTCAAGGTTGCAGGTGCCCTTATTGACATGGATGATCTCTCCGGCGCCGCCCACCACCTGAAGAGTCTGAGAGACAAGGGCGACGGCAAGATTGCGCTCTCAAAAGCCCTTCTGTGGCTGCACCTCGGCGACGCAGACGAGGCGCGAGGCTGTGCGGAACAGTGCTCCAAGACGGCAGTCGACACAGAGAAGCTCATCCTTGCCCTGTGCGACTTGGCTGACGGTGATTACGAATCCGCCTTGTCGAGGTGGCAACACCTGAGGGAGGACATGCCAGACGACGAGATGGTGGGCGTCAACACAGCAGTGTGTCTGTTATACATGAGCCGAATGCAAGAGGCACGTAGCTACACCTCGGTGCACATGGTCGAACCTCCTTACTAACCGTGTCAGGGACGCGACATCCTCGAAAACCTGGTCGAGTCGGGCTTCTCTTCGCACACTCTCTTGTTCAACTTGTCCACCATGTATGAGCTATGCACTGAAAAGCACCGCAATCTCAAGACGAAGCTCGCCGAGCGAGTCGCAGGAATGGACGAGTCGCCAGCAGGATGGGAAAAGTTGAACACCGACTTCAAGCTATAGCGATTTATGTAGCTTCAGACCGTGCCATGCCGGAATGATTACCATGAAAGCTACGGCCTCGAGTTACCTCTAATCTGCCGCACGACATCCTCGCCAAGCCCCAACCTCTCCCTCAAATACCCCTACGCACTACCGTACCGCGTCTTCAACGCCTCCATGAATTCCACCATGACCTCAGCGCGGCTGCCCAATATCTCCTGCACCCCGGGGACCTTCAACCCGCCTCGCGTCTCGAACGCTTCATCACCGCCCTCCAACGGATTGCCATCAGTTTGGGGGGGGGGGCTGGCCTGAAACGCCCCCGAGCACAACTCACCCTTGCAGTGGGTAAAAAACAGCGTGGTCCATGTCGGCGCTCTTCAAGGGCCCAAATATCCTCCTGTAGCCCGTCGTGTGCCCTTCCAAAATAACGCTGTACATGTCCCTGTCCCCTTTGCCGACATCCTCCCCATCCTGGAGTGCAAAGGCTGCCAGGTCGACGTTGATGTCTCCTTGGCCGTCCTAGAACGGACACGAAACGACTTGTATGCCGTCGACGTCGCAGAGCCGCCTTTTGACTTTGTGTCTACGCCTGAAGTCGAAGATGGCGGAGACGCCGAGCTGACTGCGGAGCGAGGATTCCGGGATAAAGACAAGGGTGCCAGAGCGGCCGACGAGCCCTGGCGGGGGATAGGCGCCTACGTCACGGACGTTCAAGGAGCCCAGAAGAATGACGAACGGCTGTTTGGAGAGGACCGTCTCGAGGGCGTATAGCTCGACAGGGTCCCCGAAGGGGATGGCGGCGAGGGATGCCAGGAGTTTAGGGTCGGACACTTTGGCCGGAGGGCCGGAGCTTGCGCAGCGGTCAAGCTGGTTGGGTTGTATTAGAAGCATTCACAATAAGCGCCCTGGTGGTATTTCCTCTCTCCAAGATGGTACTTGTCGACGAACATGGGTGCTGTACGTCTCCGGCATGCGGCCCAACGTCATCAGCAAGCCCGCTGACCGTGGCAGTGACAGACTTGCTGGGCTAGACGTCCTTTCTATGGCCACGATTCGATCGCGATGGCCGTGGCGACCTTCTTGTTCGGCAAGTATAATGGTCGCGTGTGCATGGCCGTATGCTATCTGCCAATGACGCGAAGCCAGAGTCGCCGGTGGCTCACGTCGAAATGATTGCTTGTCTTGGAAAAGAAAAAAAAGGTTACGCCGTCTCCACGCACATAAAATGGACGCATCTACACTCAACTATCGCTTGTGTGGAGAATTGGCAAAAATTTCATCTCGACAAGAGTGTGATTCGAACACACGCGGGCGAACCCAAAAGCTTTCGAGGCTTTCGCCTTAACCACTCGGCCATCTTGCCTTCCACGACGGCGCCCCTGATTGCACTTATAACCCTACGATACTGCGCCATGTGTGCCGCGCCGAACCCTACAGGCTACTTACTATAGACACCGTTTATTAACCTTGAGATTTATCGTAGTATCAAACATGTAGTCTTGCGATTTTTCTCCGTTCCGTGACGGTCACGTCTCGCCGAAGCCTAGTGGAGAGCCCCGCGACTGTAGGACACAGCCAAATTCACTTCTGGCAACCCTTTCCCTGGGGTTATTCACAGCGGCCCCTTCAAGCAGGGAATCGATCCGCGAGAGCGTCAGACGTTTTTTGTTTCTTCGCCGTTCCCAGAATTCTTGACTACTTGCACCTCCAACCGGGGCTTCAAGGTCCAAGGAAGCCGGCCTGATGTGCTTGGGTCCGTCGACCAACTGACAAGGGTAATCACCCCCCGGACATGTTTAATGCCTCCCTGGTCCGTTTGCAGCGTGGCCGTGACCCATGACCAAGGGCTATGATGGTCCACGGCATCGGCATCGGGAGTCGGGACGCGACCGACGCTTCCAAAGCCGGTGCGGGGCCGCCGGCACCATTCGACCTCGGCACTTGAGCTCATTCACCAAACATCAACTCGCCACGCATCATCATAAAGCGCACCGGCCCCCCAGCCCAGATCGCGCCAGTTTACTCTCACAGTCCAAGACAAACCGAGCCAAGCAGGGGGAAATTGGGGCAAAAAAAAATGACGGACCGCGTCGCCCAAATCTCACACCACCTCAACTACCCGCGCGGTCTGCTCGCCAACCAAGTGGCCATCATCACCGGCAGCGGACAAGGCATCGGCGCCGAAACAGCGCGGCTCTTTGCCAACGAGGGCGCCAAAGTCGTCGTCACCGACATTGACGCCGGTATGTTCTCCTCCCTCCTCCTCGTCCACCACCACCACCACCACAGCCAACCAAAACCGGCATCATCTGACAAGGCCGCCAAAGCAAAAAGCGATGCCGTCGCCGAATCCATCACCAAGTCGGGCGGCCAGGCCATCTCCGTGCCAGGAGACATCATGTCCCCGGGGTACGTGGACAGGCTCGTCTCCAAAGCGGCCTCCTTTGGCAACGGCAAGATCCACATCGTCGTCAACAACGCCGGCTACACGTGGGACGGGGTGATACACAAAATGACAGACAAGCAGTGGGACACCATGATAGCGCTGCACTGCACGGCGCCCTTCAACCTGGTGCGCGCGGCGGCGCCCTACTTCCGCGTGCGCGACGGCGAGCCGCGGTGCGTCGTCAACGTCTCGTCCACGAGCGGCGTCCACGGCAACGCCGGCCAGATCAACTACGCCCTCGCAAAGGCCGGCATCACGGGCTTCACCAAGACCATTGCCAAGGAGTGGGGGCCGCGCTTCGGCGTGCGCGCCAACGCCGTCGCCTTTGGCCACATCGCCACGCGGCTGACGGCGGCCAAGGAGGACGGCGCCTTTGTCGCGGGGCCCGACGGCCAGCGGATTGCCCTGGGCATCCCGCAGAAGAACAAGGCCGCAGCCGCCGCCGACGGGCCTGCGGCTGCCCATCCCGACATCCCGCTTGGGAGGCCCGGCACGCCCGCCGAGGCCGCCGGGAGCATCCTGGCCGTTGCGAGTCCCTTGTTCTCCTACGTCTCGGGGCAGACCATCATGGTGACGGGCGGGAGGAACATGTAGACGGTTCCGTTCCCTAAGCCCTGGGAGCCCGCTGTTTGCTGTGTGTTTGGCATGCGTGTCCCGTGCCGCTGTCGGCGTACCGCAGTTTGGTCTCTCTCTCTCTCTCTCTCGCGCGCGCGCTCTTTTCCCGTCCTTGGTAAACGGTGTATTGACAAGTAGCGTAACGTAGCTTCCTTCATCATCAATCACCCACGTTCACGTCTCTGCCCTCACAGATACATGATGCAATTCGCCTACAAACCCCACCTACACCTTGAGCCACAGTGAAAACACGCCCCTGGCATACTCGACAATTTCCGAACCGCCGAGCTTGCTCTCGCCGTACAGCCTGTCGACAAACGAAATCGGCACCTCGGCAACCGTGCACCCCATGGCCTTGGCGCGGACCATCATCTCCATCTGGAAGCTGTACCCCTTGCTCTCTGTGCTGCCAATCACCCTCTCCAGCACGCTCTTCTTATACAGCCGAAAACTGCCCGTCAGGTCGCTCACGCCGGGGCGCAGCACCGTGTCGGCGAACAGGTTCGCGCCGCGGCTGACAAACTTGCGCTTCAGGTCCCAGCCGTAGACGCCGCCGTTGCCGGCGTACCGCGTGCCCGTGACGATGTCGTAGTTGCCCGACTCCTGTAGCGCGACCATGCGCGGGATGAACTTGGGGTGGTGCGAGAAGTCGGCGTCCATGATGACGACAAAGTTGCCCGTGACGAACTGCAGCCCGTGGACGTAGGCCGTCCCCAGACCCAGCTTGCCGGCGCGGGTCTTGAGGACTACGTGCGGCGCGTAGGCTTTGACGAGCTGGTTGGCGACTTGTTGGGTGCCGTCGGGCGAGCCGTCGTCGACAATGATGAGCTCCCAGTCGAGGTTGCTGTCGTCAATTGGCGTCAGTCTCGGACAGCGCAAGCGGGAGACTTGTGAGAAGGGGGGTTGGGGGGGCTACCTCTCGGTAAAGGTGCGGTTCAGCAACCACGTCATGATGGGCAGGTTTCGACGCTCATTGTACGTGGGCAGAATCACCGAGTACTTGTTCTTGGAGGCTTTGGCGGGCGCCATTGTGGGAGGAGGGGCGACCGAGGGAGGAGGAAAACAAGGGAGACGAATCGTGCGGCGGACGACACGGTGCGTCGGCAAACCTGACAAGGAGCGTGATCAAGCTGCGGCTGGTGTATCGCGGGATAGTTAAGAAAACCCACGGACAAGCTTCAAGGTTCAATCCCCTTGGTGGCATGTCACGATGTTTGGGTCCACATTTTTCCGGATGACTAAGCGGGCGTGTGGCCCTGCCGACGACGCGGGCGCTCTTCAGCAGCGGTGGGGTCATTTTGACAGCTCGAATTCCACGGAATCTGGGACACAAATCATGGACGAAGTGATTTCATGACGGGGTTGTGTCTGCGCTCCTCTGCCTTGCGGGGTCGATTTCGATTTCTGGATAGCTATCGTGGTGTAGGCTACTGCACCCTGCCAAGAGAAAAGACCACCCGACTCCATACTCGCTCACGTCAGGAAGACGGCATCGAGATTGGCCTAGGCCTAGCCCTGGGGTCACAAGCGCCATTCCCTTCTCCCCGGCTTGACGCTCCAGCCTCCAATGCTGAGCATACATACATATACTCCGTACATGCAGGTAACATGCCTGGGGTAAGACTACCTACCTACCTGACGTAGCTGACCTTGGAATGCGTACGAGAACCGAACAAACGCCTCAACTCATCAGCCACCAACTTGCCAAATCCTCGAGCAACATGAGCCGACCCGGGAGCACCGACTGATCAACAACAGCAGTCTAGAGCATCATCAAACGACCAAGGTGCCTGGGCACCAGTGCCCGCTCGAATGCAGATGGATGGCCCACACTCATCGGCTCATCGACCCATGAGGCCTCTCCCCTCACTGCCAACTGCGGCGAAGGAATCTGCTTTTCAGTACCGCTATTGGACGTAGCTGGCAGTTGAGCCATGTCTGAAGATCGAACATGAATGGCTTGCGCGATGGAGACGGATGTTTGCGGCCCACCACCACCACCATCTTCTTCCTTCTCCTCGTCCTCCTCCTCGCCCTTGCGGCTCATGTCTCTCTGCTGTTTGCCTTGTGGCCTATCAAGCGCTGTAGACTGAGTCCGAACGAAGCAGGCCTAACTTTTCGCTTCCCCGCAAATGGATCCGCTACGAGGTATGGACGACCCCAAGTGTCCGTCTCGTCCTGGAGCATCCCGTGGGCTGGCCGAGTTAGTCGCAATCATCTTCGATCGCTTCCTGACGGCCCCTGCCCGGGCCCTTGCTGCACCGACCTACTGCAGCGGATTCTCGTTTGCGTGCGACGACTCCGTGCCAGAAACGAGGACAATTTTTTTAAGCTCTCGGTTGCTCGTGCCACCCCCATGCAACCGCCTCAGCAAGTACAAGGGAGCCCGCGCTGGCCGTGGTGGCTTTCGATGGCCGGTCCACCCACGAGGTGGGCGTGGCACGCAGTTGAAGTGGTAACTAGTAGATATCTGAGCCTGGTTGACACTGTCAGTGACGTGCGCGTAGACTGTGCACGGCGTACGAGCAGTGCCGCAGGTATCCAAGGATATAGCACAAACTCCCATCCAAGGTATCTCACCACCCCGAGTGTGCGGGTGAGGAACGCTCGACGCCCGTTGTTCCGAAGCTGCGGAATAACAATATTGACTAACTATATCCCGTTTGTGGAACCTGCCGCGCCCTTTCTTACTCTTCACGGAGGCATGCATTGGCCGGTACCCAGCTCCGAGGCCAGCCTTGCTTAGCCCTGCCTTTGCCTTTGTTCCCCCGTTTCGATGCCAGTCCCAGTCCAGAAGCAGAAGCCTGGAGCCAGAGTCCAGACTCCATCTGGTTCACTGCCTTCGCTGCCTTCCCTCGACCTCATCTCTCCCTCTCAAACGCACTTTGCCTTGCTTTCGACTCTTGCCCGTAGGAGCGCAGCATCCTCCATAATACGTGCCTGCTGCATGAGAGCTGTCATCCTTGGATTCCCGTCACTCATCCGTCTCTTTGCCTGCTTTTCTGACGAGGCTCCCTCCCTCAGCCTCGGAGGCAAGCTTCATCGCTCGCCGCAGCCGCTCGCGGTGCAACCAAACCCGCCTTACGTCATCCAAGCTCACCATCCGGGTCTGCCACCGCAATGGCCGACACCAACGTCCCGGCAGTTGACAAAGGTGAGAATCGCAAAAATATCCATCGCGCAATGCTGTTCTCTGGGAATACTGGGTCGCTTCAGATTGCCGATTCCCCATATGCCTACCAATCACATCAATTGATGCGTTTTGCGCGTATTGGGTCGTTGCCGGCTCTTCTCCACGGCAACTTACACGCGTACCGACAACACAAGTTCTGCTGAGTGACTGCGGTCTCGTCATCATCGCAAGCTAACCCGTGGCTCTGCAGCATCTGGTCTTGGTCCAGGCGGGAACAAGCCGCCGGCTGGAGCGCCTCCCTCAGAGGGCCAGCCGTTACTCGCCGTCGCATCAGCCGAGGCCGGACACGCCGGCAAGCCAGCTGAAAGATCGATGCCGCCAACAGTCGCGGAGAGCAAGATGAACGGCGGCATGGGCCATAGCCGCGGGCCCCCAAGGCCCGTCGAGGTCATGTCTGTCCCAGAGACTCCCGTCAATGGGTCGACGCCCGCCGGAGGAACTCCACGACCGGAGCTTCCAATCTCGGAGGAGCCAGCACCTTCAGCCCCGGAGCCTCCCCGTGAGCCGGCCATCGAGCCCGTCGAGATGACGGGCGTTGAGGAGACAACGTCGATTCCCGCGACTCGCGTACCTGACAAGAAGCCCGCTTTCTCTTCGGAAGCACCTAAACCCACGTCATCTGGGTCTGAGCTTGCGTCGGCGCCTCGCGAAGAGCCCGGGAAACAACAGGCATCCGGCTTCAAGGCCCCCGAGCCCGCCACGGCCGGTTCCACCACCACCGAGGGCATGGACATTGACGAGCCCGAGGAGAAGCAGGCCGTGCCAGTGACTCACACCGGACCCGAATCAGAGCCCGTTCCTGCGCCGGCCCCAGCGCCTGCCACGGCACCAGTCGCAGCGCCGCCTCCCATCTGCGGCGAGCAGCAGCCTGCGCTTTTCCACGGCGGGCCAAACGACAACGCTGTCGGCGAGAAACGAAAGCTCGACAATGCCGTCCCGCCAGTTGGCGGCTCATCCGCGACGGCCAGGCCTCCCGCAGAAGACTCAGCGGCCCCGGACTCTTTCCCGCCGGGTAAGAAGCCCAAGCTCGACGAGAACATCAGCTCAGACGGGGACGCGGCGCAAACGGCCGCGCTGGTCCCAGAACCAGATGCTGCTTCCGCTGCCGATGCAGCCTCTGACCCAGCACCAGCGGATACTGCAGACCGGCACCCGCAGACGTCTCCCAAGAACGGCAGGCCCAAAAAGGAAAAGAAGCTCCCGCCGGTCGGCAAAACGGCGCGCAAGACCAGAAGCCAGGGCCCAGCTGACGCTTGACCAGGGGACCGGAGACGGACACACGCAGTCAGGCTGTACACGATGAAATGAAATTTCGTCTACGTTCGAGGGAGGGACGGAGGCAACGTGGTGTTTTCGGACTCATGGACAAGAAGGCTAACATTGATTGATTGAGCTGGATTGGATGGTTTGTGCGGCTGCAGAAGATACGGCGTTACGGGTGAATTTTTTCTTTCTCTTTTTTTCCTCTTAGTCGTCCAAGTTCATCCATCAGATGTCGTTCAATACATGTCGACTTGGTAACCGCAGCGGGCGCTCCTTGCTTGAGAACCGTTTCCCATCTCTCAACTTAGGGGGGAGGGCGATGACAGGCCATGGCGCGGCTTGGAGAATCGGCGTCTTCTGCCAACTTTGCTACCGTGTGCTTGAGAAGTTGGACGCGAACCTCGTGCGCCGGTCGTCGGAGGATGTTCCTCGCTCCAGGACGACACGCACATCAGGAACCTTTTACGACGATGCCCATGGGTGCCCGTTAGGACTCGGGAGGCGTCTTCCCTTTCGGACGTGGTAGCAAGCAGGGAGGGTGGTTGGGGCAACCCGGCCTCGGTCTACGACTGAAGAATCTTCAGAAGGGCCTCGGCTCATCGTGCTGATGCTGACTTTACAGAGCGAGGAAATGTGTCCGACACAAAGACCGCCGCCGTGAGTGCTCGTCCGGCTCACGTCGAGCGACTCCATGATGATTGATGAGGGAGGGCGATCCGCAGCAGCGCAACGACGTTGTAGTTCCTCTGTTCGCAGCTTCACGCGAGACACCTGGATAAAAGCACGACCGAGTTGTATTCACGAGACAACGCAACCTTCACAGCCTGTCCTGTCCGCCAAAGAGGTGGCCGCCAGACCAGGGTGCGACCTCGACCGCAGAACCACGGCCGTCCTGCAAACAACTTGGACGCACGCTCAAGCATATGCGTGGACAAAGACCACAACGTCAAATCAAACTCGGCGCCGAGGGACACGTCGTCGTATCCGTCACCGAGCGCCGACGAGTTTCCCTTCCTACCCTTCCTACTCTTCCTGGCCCTCCTGGCCGCCGCACACGCAGTGCCCACGGCCCAGCGACAAAGGGGAGGAGGCGATGCACGTCCTTTAAGAATCGGCCAGGAGCTCCTCGCACGCCGCCTTGAACTGTTTCTTGACCCTGGTGCACTCCTCCCAGGTGCAGTGCGCCGTGATGCACGGCTTCAAAACCTTGTTGACATTTTTGTTCCTCTCGCAGCTGCACCTGGTGTCGGTGTAGACGCATCCCGAATAGTCCATGGCCTTGTGCATGCACCCGAGCTGGAATTCGACAACGGATCAGCCTTTTTCTTCTAGAATGCATCAGAGTGACTGGGTGCCGGGACATCTCCTCACCGCACACTTGGGATATCGATCCAACGGGTGAGGCGTCGCAGGATCTGGCGCGTAATCCCTGGGCGTGAACAGCGTCGCGGCAGCGGCAAACGCGGCCATGGAAACGAGGACAACCTTCATGTTGACGATGCTGCGGGCGGTTTACGTCTCTTTGCTTTTTTCTCTTCCTTTCCTTGCTGCTTTTCGAGTGTGCAGGGTGGCGCGGGGGGCTGGATTGCACAGGAAGAGAAGAATCGAGGGGGACACTTTGCTTATATGCCCGGACCAGAGTCGAGGACGCGCTATTTGCAAAGTTTCCTCCAGGGCTGCACTATGCTATGCTTGATACAAGCTCTACGCCTATGCTTCTGCAGAGACTTGTATTGTAGTCTAGATCCGTGGTCTGAACCTACGTGCGTAGTGTAGATGGTAGCACGGCCCCGGACCCGTGCGGACAGTCGCTCGGGGGGGATAATGCGACTACCTAGCCAGATTGAGTTTGCCCATGTCGAAATAGTGAGAGTAGCATACTTGTTTACCTGTAGCGGGTGTCTTTTCCAAGCATCGAGACAGCCACCGAGTGCTGATCAAGGTGTTCTCATTGACATGCGCGTTTTGAAGGCCCTGAAGACTCGGGGATAGACATTCTAAATTGATTATTCGCAGTGTGGTATCAAAGGGCCGAGGTTGATACTAGCTCTGCCGTGGCTCGGGTCATTACGTACCTACTTAGGTAGCAGGTAGGTATTCGACTTGTTCACTTGCGAAAATCCCGTGTGACGTCTTGTCACCAGATCCGAATTTCTTCAACTGGATAGCCACGCGAGCGAAATACAACCAAGGGCGTTGTGGAAAAAAACACACACACACACAAGACACCACGCCGTCAAGTCAGTATGCGCGTTGGTGTTTTTTCTACTCCCTCATCGCCTGACACTTTGACATAGTATAGCAGATGAGCTGAAAAAAGCTAGTCAGAGGCATTCTCATCCCCACTATTCACGTCTTTGTCGGGAGCCAATGTTGCAGACTAGAAGGAAGCTAAAGGCTTAGGACCCCTGGGCTGGGATCTGATGTGCGCTCGGAACCTTCATTTGCCCTTGGCGTCAGCTGCAATAAAAGACAAAATATACACACAGACAGTCTGGAGATGTTTTCTTCTCGAAAACTCCGTGCCGCGTGGTACTTGATGCTCTCTTGATCGGTTTGTTTAGTCGGCATGGGGATGGGGTGGGACTTGGTGAGATTCCATCATGTGTGGCGACACGAGAAGATTTTGTTTCGTCATTCCCGTGGCTTGCAGAGGCCCGCATGGGCCAGCGGTCAGCGGTCGCATGACATCTCTTGTCGCTCGCACACTCCTGTATTCTTTTGAAAACTACTTGGAACTCGCAACCACAACGTCATGTGTTTTTGGTACGTAGGGCTGCATTTCGCCGGGCTGTACCAAGTATCCCGTGCAAGTCTTCCGTACTTGTTCGTGGACGGCGGGCGATGGTCTCGGATGATGGGTCTGTAGTCAATCGGTGGGCTTCAAGGCTAGAACGAGAGAGTACGGAGTCGCAATCCGACTGGCCATTTCGTGTTTGGTTTCTTAGCGGCATGGAGAACGGGGACACAAAGGTTTGGCCACGGGCTCCTCGGGCATTACTCACCCGCATTTCATTGTGTTTGGCTCCCGAGGAAAGAACTCGTATTCTTCATGCACTGCCAGCAATTGATTGCGCTCTTATGCGTGACGGTGGGAACCAACGAGGCCCCAAGTCGAGAGGCCGGGCCCCATCGAGAGGAGGCGCAGGGTCCGTCAACAATGAATGACAGGTGGTGACGGCCCAAGAAACGCGCCAAGCGGGTTGTGGTCTCGGGTAGTTTTCCCATGAGGCCAGCGTGCGGTCAATGGCCCTGCCTTTGAAGGATCAACCGAGCAGATGTACGGAGTAACCATCGAGGTATTTATCCACGGTGGAACGTTTGACCCACACGCCCTCGGGACCTTGCCATGAATCCTCCGTACGTATTGTCCTCCATGTCTGCTCCCAGGTTCCACCGTGGCTGCTGGCCTAAAGGTTTCAGTGCTGGTAACGACTTGTATGATTCTGGTTGGCTCGACACTTGATGCCGCCGTGAGGGTTTCAGCCCCGTCCTGTCCAGAGAAAAAGGGGGAGGCGTTGAAGGCGAGGCGGGCGGAGACAGGCGAGCGTACAATAGAGGCGAGCGTTGAGTTGTATTGTTTGTTCTGTCTCTGGGTCTCTGGACATTGTTGGCAGCCAGGGGCCATGGCGTCTGCCCAATTCGAAGCATCGACGCGTCGACAATGACACGGGCACTTGGGCTTTGTCGGGTCTGGTGGATTTCCCCACACCGTGTGCACTGTGCCTCCCCTGCCCGCCGCACGCTGCGAGTGTATGTACGATGATCAATCCGATGTCGTCAACTGATCACTTGGCGGCCGTGTCGGTGCTGTGCTACCCTACCAACCTACTCCGTACTCGAGTAGGCTCTGCCAAGCTCACGTTCGCTGCTGGGCTGCTGCTGTGCTCCTCAGCTCAGCTGCTGTGCATGCACGTCCAGGCTGCAGGGCATCGGAATGTGCGACCCGATCATGGCATGGATCGTGGGCCTTGCGGCGCATGTGGATGGAGATTGATGGCACAGGCACAGTTGACGTGGCGTTTTCTGCGGGCCCAAGCTAAAAACAAGTAGCGGATACCCGTGCCTGAGCCGCAAGCACGCCGTGATGCACGTACTGTCTACCTCGTCTGTTTTCTCTCTTCGACTCTCCAATCCAAAAGCGCAAACCTCTCTCGACGGAGAAGAACACGGCCAGCTTCTGTGGTCGAATGCAAGGTTGACGAGACAAGAAGACCCTGGTCGTCCACCCATGTCTTTGCCTTCGGTCTCCTCTTGTCAACCTTCTTTGTTCTTCATTCGTCCACTCTCTGCTCTCCTTGTCGTCTTGCCCTCGCCTGGCATTTCCCTCTTTCTTTCTTTCAACCAATAACCAACCTACTACACTCCGTCCTTTCTCCTGTCACCTAAACCGCAGTTTTTCTTCCTTGTCTTCCCCGTGAACAGGAGTAGCCGCTCGTTCATCTACATTGTAGACCTGTCGACTGCTCACCTTGCAGATCCCGAGCGCCGTTGCGATTCCTCGGCGGCTTCTTTCGTCAACCAAGGCTGATGTTTTTCGACATTGCATTTTTACAGCGAGCTAGTCATCATTTTCCCCTCTTTCCTTGTTCTGTTTCCGCCTGCTGAGGTTATTTTCACCTTTCTGGATCCCGAAGAGAAATTCATCTGGTCAGCCCGCCGATCCTCTCCAATTGCTCTGGAGCACGAGTCATCAATTATCACGAGCCTTGCTTCCAAGGTCGACCACAGCGCGATCCTACCCGAACATCCGACCCGAACTCGACCACGAGAACAGACTTGTTGGCGACGGATAAAATCTGTATTTGGAATACTCGCGTGTTGTTCAGTAATACCTTTGCTCTCCCATCGACATCTAATACCAGAGTCTCGGACTTTTAACCCGTTGATACGGCGACGGGTCCAACGTCGACAATCCTCGCGTGCCATGCCGCTTCACCCCGAGGCTTTCGGAGCCATGCTTCCTCGGGATAGTAACCAAAAAGATGCCGGCCAGGAGCTCATCGACCTTCTGAAAAACCCGTTCGTGGCTGACAAGGTAGAATTCACCGGAGGGCGTGGTTGATAAGACATGTTTCTAGTCGCTAATCATCTCATCCCGTAGCTTGCCACGACCTCCGTATACTCTGCCTTGGCCACATCCCTTGGCGTAACAGCGTTCATTGCCATATGCTTCTCCTTTATTCGTCCATATCACCAAGCTATATACGCCCCAAAGTCAAAACACGCAGACGAGAAACATGCGCCGCCGCCGATAGGAAAGGAGCCGTGGGCTTGGATCACGCCTCTCTTGAACACGAAGGAGGTGACACTCATGAATCAGATTGGCATGGACGCGACTATATTCTTGCGCTTTACCCGTATGTGCAGAAACATGTTCTTGATGTTGGCTCTCATTGGTGTGGGCATTCTTGTCCCTGTCAATTTGACCAACTTCAAAGATTTTGGGACTGCTTCGCGTCCCGATACAACCGAGTGGATGTTGAGGATCACGCCTCGCAACGTTTTTGGCTCGCCTCATTGGGCCTTGGTGGTCGTTGGTTACTTGTTCAACGTTGTTGTCATGTCTTTTCTGTGGTGGAACTACCGCAAAATTCTTGATCTGCGCAGGAAGTATTTTGAGTCGGAGGACTACCAAAACAGCTTGCATGCTCGTACCCTCATGCTTTTTGACATTCCTCCCCAGGGACGTTCCGACGAAGGAATTGCGAGAATCATCGACTCTGTCGTGCCCAACTCGTCGTTTGCAAGAACCGTGGTGGCACGAAATGTCAAGGACCTGCCTGAACTGATCGAAGAGCATGAAAACACCGTCCGCAAGTTGGAAAAGGTCCTCGCCAAGTATCTGAAGGACCCGCAGAACATACCGGCAGCACGGCCAACCTGCAAGGCTTCCAAAAAGGACAGGTCCTTCGATACGTATCCGTCCGGACAACGACTGGATGCCATTGACTACCTCACACAACGCATTCGGGAACTTGAGGTTGAGATCAAGGAAGTCCGAATGAGTGTTGACAGGCGCAGCACCCAGCCGTATGGCTTCGCCAGCTATTCGGAGATTGCCGAAGCGCACAGCATTGCGTACGCCTGTCGAAAAAAGAGGCCCTACAAAGCGACGGTGAGGCTCGCTCCTCGACCAACCGACATCATCTGGCGCAATATGCCTCTTTCTCGTGCCACACGCAGTCGAAGAAGGTGGATCAACAACCTGTGGATTGCCGTCCTGACTATTCTGTGGGTTGCGCCCAACGCCATGATCGCCATCTTTCTAGTCAACTTGAGCAATCTGGGCAAGGTGTGGAAAGCTTTTCAGACGTCGCTCGAGACGAACATTGGTGTTTGGGGTATTGTGCAAGGTATTGCCTCACCTGCCTTGACGTCGTTGGTTTACCTGGTTTTGCCCATGATCTTCCGTCGACTTTCAAGCAAGGCCGGTGACCAAACAAAGACGGGCAGAGAACGACACGTGCTGGGCAAGCTTTACGCTTTCTTCGTTTTCAACAATCTTGTCGTCTTTTCCTTTTTTGGTGTCTTGTGGACCTTTGTTGCTGGGGTAATCAAGGCCACCGAGGGTCAAAACGGCTCAAAGAAGGATGCGTGGTCCGCCATCGTCGAGGCGGATCTCGCGCAAAACATCCTCATATCGTTCTGCAACAATAGCATCTTTTGGGTTACTTACTTACTCCAACGACAACTGGGCGCGGCTGTCGACCTCGCCCAAATATGGCCACTCATTGTCGCCTTCTTCCAAAAGAAATTCTCGAGCCCAACGCCCAGAGAACTCATCGAGCTCACAGCCCCGCCCCCGTTCGAATATGCCAACTACTACACATACTTTCTTTTCTACTCGACGGTCACGCTTTGTTTCGGTACCATTCAGCCCCTTTGTCTTCTCGCAACCGCCATGTACTTTTCCATCGACTGCTACCTCAAGAAGTATCTGATTCTGTACCGATTCGTCACCAAAACAGAATCCGGCGGGTTGTTCTGGCGAGTTATTTTCAATCGCATGATTCTCGGAGCCATCCTCGCTAACGGCGTGGTGCTTCTCACAACCTGGGCCCGCGGGGACGGCACTCGGATGCAGTTTTATGCCGTGTGCCCGCTACCATTCATGTTGATTGCGTTCAAGGTTTACTGCTCCAGGACATTTGACGACAAGATGCGATACTACAGCACTCAATATTTGTCGCGGCACCCGGAAACTGGAATGCAAGGCGAGTCTCGAAGCCGTGGCGACAAATTAGCAAGTCGTTTCGGACATCCTGCGCTCTACAAGCCCCTCATTACTCCAATGGTGCATCAGAAAGCACAGAACCTCCTACCCTCCGTGTACCGCGGCCGACTGACAGACGGCCGCGACAGCGATTGCGCCGATTTGGCGACTGTCAGCGGTTACTCGGACATGTATGCGTTGGATAGCATGAAGGGCGGCAAACGGGGTAAAGCGGCAAACGCCGTGCCTGGCTTTGAATACGTCTCGGACGCGCAGATGGACTTCCAGTACTACAAGAACCGAGCAGAATTCGCTGACGAACACGGCGGAGGCGAAATATACGGCAAGGGAAGCGACATCATGCGAGTAGGGACGCCAGGGTCGTTCGATGACATGGATAGTATCCGTTCCGCCTCACGCCCTGCCTCCCCTATGATGAGCGGCCTCGGCGGCCCATCAAGCTCGGCTTGGCTTCTTGGGAGCTCCAATGCCTCCAGATATTGAGGAGTGTGCCTCCAAAAACAGAGGAGTGCAGCGATAGGGAATCCCAACGTCAGTTGGCACGGGGAAGGGGACTACGGTCTGCGGCCGTGTTTTACGTGTCTGGAGTGGAAACAGACATTTCCTCCGAGCAGGCCTTTCTGCCCATCACCGCCAAGTTGGATCAAATATCTTAGCCTCGAGCCCGCCCACGAGCCGACCGCCGTCTCGGCCAACCTGGGCAGGGCAGTGTTGTACACGCACAGTTGACGCATCCAATCCAAGGTTTACGTGACTCCCTCTGCCCTATCCGCCCGGCCTTGTCATGGCCTGGGCCTTGCCCCCCCCTTGCGATGGATCGGCAGCGCGGCCCAGGCGACCTATGTAGCATCAATTGAGCAAAAAATGCGCAGCTTGTTCAGTTCGCACCTACTTGGCCCCGGCCGTGCAGTGGTCAGAGAGTTGGGCTACACTGTACGACCGTGCTGGTATTCACGGTGGCCCTGTGGACTGGTCCGCAACGGCCTCGTTAATGATACAGTCACGGAGCTTATGTGGCATATTACTTGTGGTGAGCTTATGTGGTGTTGGTTACATGGCAAGCGCTCTGATACACCCAAGTATGGAAACAATAATAGAATATAACAAAAGTCAACATTGACACCTATTCTTTTGGCGTCTTTTCTATGAAGAATAAATATAATGATGGTGCAAGCACCCCAACATCAACCCGAGCGAGACAACCGCAACAGACCACGTACTATGCCATCAACGCATCGCGATACGTCAGATCCCAGCAAGACGAGTGTATCATGGCGCTGCGCCGTCGCTAGATGGCCACTGACGGGGAAGCAAAATGTAGTTCGTGAGTGACTCGCTCGAAAACCTCAACGGCCGCGTGTCATATATTTACAAGGTCTGCGCGTGTCGGTACTTCACGAGCCTCTTCCTCTTCCTCCCGCTCTCCGTCACCTGTTTCTTGCAGATGTGAGCAGCCCCGCGGGGGTCGCTGGCAATCTCGGAACCCAGCCGACCTCGTTGAGTGTCGGTGATGAACAGCCGATTGGGGTCACAAAGGACGTCGATCTAAGATGGGCCAGAGGGGAAAGAAGAGAATAGAAATGAAAGTTGAACACGACATGGACGCAAACTTGCACAATGAGCAAACAGGTACTCGATTATTATTTCCTGCTTGCAAAGTGTTCCGTGAGGTATATTCAGGGAAAGAATGGACGCGGCTGGCCAAGAGGCAGGCAGGTAGGTAGGATTAGCACTGGGCGAGATTGTCGCAAGGCTGGGTCACTCGAGGCTCCCCGTCACGCAGGGACAAAGGTCAACTTATCACAAACGAGGCACCGATCCGAGAGGAAGGCGACCTGCGGCTCTGGCTGCGGCTCATATCACGCACGACCTCACCTAACAGGCAGGTCTGGGTCCCCGGCCAGCAACCCCGCCGCGACATGAGCAGCATGTTCGTGTCCGACACGGGGGCCGTCCAGCGTGGCGCATGAAGCTCCCGTCTCCCGCGACGGCACACCGTCACGTTATTCATTGCTCCGTCAAGCTAGGCTTACCCCATGGCCCCAAACTCGCCCGTGTCGTTAAACCTCGTCACCGAGCGTGCCAAGTCTCCCGCCAAGCCATCCATCAAGGCCTGATCAACTACGCTTTCCTGCCACGAAAGGGCAACAGTCAACGGCCCCCCGCTTACACTGGCGAGTCCCAGAGACAGCGGCGAGCCCGTCACCATTGCCCCGTTTGTAAAGTACATCCTTGACACGGTGAAGCCCGGCCCCGAGGCCGTCTTGAAAACACCAATGTTGCTGACTTCCCAGGAGGCGGGGCGCGGCTGGCCGTGTTTCTTATGGAAGAAGCCGAGCCAGTCGGAGTTGTACTTCATCAGGCCGCCGACGTCGTCTCTAGGCAAGCTGGCCAGCCGTGTGTTGAGATCCTGCTTCACCTGCTGGGCGATGCCCCAGATGTCTTGGTCTGGGGACTTGGAGGTGCGCAGGTGGTCGATGAGCGGGGCGGGGAGTTCGTGCTCGTGGGCGGTTACCAGGACGCGGAGCGAGTGTTTGAATTCCGGGTCGGCGGAGGGTCCTAGGAACGGCCGCAAACTGATGGGCGTGGTCGCCACGAAGGACGACGTTTTGGCTGCGGGGAGCCGAGCGCAGAGGGAGGCTGCGGTGAGGGCGTGGAAGAGGCCGGTGATCGTGGTGTTGTGTAGTCTGCATGCCTTGAGGAGCTTTGCGACGACGGGGCCCTGGAAATCCACGGCCTTGGTGAGGGTCACGTAGGGGATGGAGAAGTCTATGGGTTTGCTGTGCCAGGGGACGGGTTTCTTGCCGCGGAGTCTGGCAGGAGCGAGTTGGTTCCAGAGGGCTTTGGCGAGGTACAGCGGGGAGTTTGAGAAGTCGACGATTTGGTCCTGGGCTTCGGGGAGTTTGGGGGCATCCGGGAAGTGGAGTGAGGAGGTGGTGTTGGTTGTGTTGGTGGTGTTTGCTGGCCTTTGCTGGAGTTGGTGGTTGAGCTCCTCGAGGAGGCGCTCGTGGAAGAGCTTTCCGCTGGTGCCATCTAGCAGAGCGTGGTGGAAGGAGAAGATAATGTCTTGGATGTTGGATAATGCCCGTGGGGCGGTTGGGCTTGGTTTGATGACGGCAACTCGCCACGGGGGAGTATCCTCGATGTTCAACCAGGCCTGGCTGTGGTGCCAGCCTTGCTGAGACGCAATGTGGTCGTTGTACTGGTCCAGAGTCTCGCATGAGGCTTCGAGTGTCTTGAAAGAGACGTGGTTCGCCAGATTGATGGCTTTGACGTGGCAGAAGGCCGCCTCGTTGGTATCTTGTTTGCTTATACCAACCTTGAGCATCGGCTGGGCAGAAACGACTCTGGCCAGCGCGGGATACAGCAGCGCGGCATCGATCTCCTGACCAGGCGCGGGTGCGTTGTAGCGAGAGGTTACTGTTACGCAGAGGTACAAGCGCATGTAATGACGGGCAGAAGAATACAGCTCGCCGCAAGGGAGTCAGCACGGGGACATGATGGCTTGCGGCGAGTGAAAGGATGAAGCGTCATACTCACATTGGTGCCAGTCGACGCAAGGCTGTTGAGGTCTCGGCGTGGCGGTCCATGATGCCCGGAGGTTGTTGACCGGTCATGATTGAAGTCGTATTGTGCCGTCCGGCCAGGCGTTGGTGTTTGCCAGCGGGACGGCAATGCAATGGGTTTTTATATATCAATTGTCATCCATGGCTTCGAGTAGATCATGCCGACACAAAAGCCGTCTTGGTATATCCTTGACGCGGTGAGGGGTATCTCGTTATAATCAACGTTGATAGGACTGCTCGTTCTGGGCGCGTTTCCCAAGAAGCATTTGGGGCACGATATACAGGGAACAATCGCCTCGAACAATCCTGGCGAGCACGACGCCTTTGTCAAGCAGGTGCGAGTCGGCGGGCGGTGGTGTCCCATGGGCACAGCCGCGGCGGCGCCACCACTGCAGCGGTGATCAACGTGTGAGGATGCCGTGAGTTGGCGCTGGGCTGGGTTTGAAGTTTGAAGAGGGGAAAGGCTTACATTTGAACTGGGCAGCCGAGCACTCGGGTCTTGAGCCAATCAAAGATGATCATCAGAAAGAGGCAGTTAAGTCCCGGCGATTGGCCCAAGCTCAAGCTCGAGGGCGGGGGAAGGAGCACCCGACCCTTGTCTGTCGGCGCTTGCGTCTGTCTGCACAGTGCCGCGACCCGTCGGCGCCAATGGCCAGCAACACGCGCCGCCGGAACGGCACCTGCGGCCTGCAGACCGCAGGCCATCATCGTTGACATTTGAAACGTCGCCAACACTGACCTCGTCCGCCACTTGACAATAACCCAGCCTGTTTGACTGCTCAGGCCGTTCAACCAGACCTCACCATTGTGGCGCCTTGATGCAAACGCGCCCGCGACACCCACTGATATCGCCAGTCATTGACCAAAGTCATTGTTGTTGCATGTACCAAGCTACACCACGAGACACCCCGTCGCGTCCCACGCCGCAGTTCCATACCGAACCATTGCCACGAGCCACTGCGCCCAATGCTATGCCGGCAATCGCGGCTACCGACCGTCTCAGCACCTAGCAGCTTGCAACCGGCGTCCACGACAAATATGCAGTCGCTTGCTGCCGCTGCTTGAGGCGCGCGCGTTACCGAGTACATCACATCCAACGCCGCGGGCAAAAGGCGGAATCACGCGCCAGACGTACCCATGGACCGTGACGCCGGGGCGGCGGCATTGCGGCCGAATCAACTGCATGTAAACCATGAGACTAGGAAACCGCTGTTCTCCAACAATGTCCCGCGAAACACGGGCAATCGTGTTGAATCCTCTTCTGCTTCCGTCGGTACTGGTGCCAGGCCCGGCGTTCTCGGGACAGCAGGACACGCTGGGCCAACGCGACGAGCGAGATCTGATCCACAGAGCACCACGTCCGGAGCTGGAAAAGCTCAACAATCCTTCGATCCGAACGCCAGCACCGCCAGCATACTCTCCTCGGGCGGCAGCCGAATACCTCGACCCAACATCTCAGGCCTCCAGCACCGGCGACCGATTTCCTTGGCAGAGGCTTTCAAGCTAGCCCGGGAGGAGGAGGAGGAAGCCGACCGAGAGCGACAACAAGGAGGTTCACCGAGTCCGGCGCCGCGGGTTTGGCGTGCGCGGCCTGGGCCGTCCCAGGACGAGACTCGGGCACGAAAATCCGTGGCCGAAGATCCTCTCGATAGGAAAGCAGGGGCACAGCAATTTACTGGCGCAAAACTATCGGGTTCGCAGTCGCCCATCTCGAAACCGAGAGCTACAGAGCCTGGTGCCGCCACATCTCAGAGAGGCAACGGCCCCAGCTTACAGGACCGCATAAATGAATGGAGAACGAAGTCGCGACCCGGCACCGACTGGACTGAGAAGTCTCCAGAATCCCTGAGAAATACCACTGATGAGGCGCGCCTTCCTGAACTGGTACCTGGAATCGAAGACGTGCCCTTTCGATCCGTTGAATCACCAGGTCGCAATGGTGCAGTCACAATCGCGTCTCCGTCAAAAGATTTTACATGGCAGGTGGACCACGATTTTACGGCTGGAGATTTACAGGTGTCTGATAGCCCACGAATAAAGATAGGGAATAACAGCAACAGGCCGTTTGCAAATCGTCCGTCGCTATTGGAAAGAATCGATATCAGGCCGCCTACACAGCTTACAAGTCCCCAGACAAGAAATACCAAGCTTGATGAGATTCGAGCACGAGAACTCAATATCGAAGGGCCCATCTCGGCAGGACAATCAACGTTGACACCACATCATCCTCGAAAGTATACCAAGTTGGACGAGATCCGGGCGAGAGAAGCTGCGGCCGAAAAGCAAATACCTATTCCTGATCGAAATCAACTACGGCCCAAGAACACCAGGCTAGATGAGATACGACAGCGAGAAGCAGACGGCTTGTCAAGACGTGCACTTGCCGCGGCCCGTCTAGAGGAAATCAAGGAAAAGAACGCTATGGCGAGGCCGTTTTCGCCGGAAAAGGGCAAATCACGAGTTGGCCACGATAATTTCGTCGCGATGCGACCGCCCACTCGCCCCAGATCAATGCACGAGGATGGAGGAGAACGTATTCCAGACACCCCAGTCACAGTGTTCAAGGGTCGTCGCCCTAAGCAGGAGAACATCAACCCTGATGAGACGGGGACTGTTCATGGCAATGGCAACAGCGTAGCATCAGTGAAGCCGGAGGTTGATGAACGAGACTTGCTTCGAAGGCTGGCACGGGCCGCCAGCTCGAGCCCAGCAGCAGAGCCAGTGAATAGACGTGCTCCTCTCGCAGAGCGACAGAAGGCAAACGAAAGTGAGAATGTCGGGACAAGGCCAATATTGGCGGGACGTTTCACGAACAGTGGACGGAAACCAGCCCTCATCTCTCACACCAAAGATGCTGAATCCCCATCCCAACGACCAACAGTCGGATTTGCTGGCCTAAAACGCAGCTCATCAACCGAATCAGCTAAGAGCAAACGATCAAGTATGCATTCAGAGTCGGATCCCACTGCTCGGATAGAGGCCGAGGCGAAGCTGTTTGCGCCGCGTGACGATTATTCTGAGCCAGGATCTGTACGAGCAGCATCGCCCGAGTCGGACAATGACGAGGCGGAAGACGACGCGGAAGACGACGCGGCGGAGGCTACCCCTAAACCACAAAAGCATGAGTTTCCGCATATGGAGACCCCGCGGGTCACCGGTGCCTATGTCGAAACGCCCGCAACGGCCAGAGTAGAGAAAGTCAAGGAGGAGGGAAGGGAGGACATCAAGTCATTGGGGGAGAAGCTGACGGGTTCAAGAGGCGTAGCGTCAAAACCAGATGCCGCCACGTTATTTCGTGATAAGAGAACGAGTCTGGCGTGGCGGAGCAAAGACGAAGACACGGCCTCTGAGCCTGGTGCCAGAGGGGGGAGTGCAGATATATCGGCAAAAGCACATGCGGCAAGCAAGAAGGCTCGGTCACGATCACTGCCTCGCAGCCGACCAATAGTAAAGAATTCGGCCAAACCGCCGTCGGTCCAGGAGGATTTGCGCGAACTGCAGCGCAAGCACAACATTGAAGACTCGACCATAGATGACCTGGAAGACATACTGAGCGGTCGAAAGCAGGCATCGCCAAAGCTAAAGCAGCTGCTGGAGGAATTACCCGTCAAACCGGAGGACAAGATGGATGACGAGTTACGAGCTGTTGAGGAGGAGATGCAGAAGATGAAGAAGGGCGATTCAGAGGACAAGGACATGTCGGCGGGCGAGATGGCTCTGTTTGACAAAATGAGCAAGACGCTCCGCACGGGATTGTCCAACATACATACTGCCAAGCGTGGCATCGAGAGACTGGAAGGCCAGGTTGCCAACGCCGACAAGCAGTCAGAGGCAGACGAGGATGATGAGCCTAAACCGCCCCGGCTCCAGAAACACCAGCATGCAAAGGACCACAGGCCTTTGACCGATGAGCCGTGTCCAAAATGCACGGCAAAGCCCGATCCCACGAGCCTTGCCTATTTTCCTTCCCCGGCGCCCAAACTGTTGTATATCAGTCCTCGCCTTCTTCGTTGGTGTTACATCGGTGCTGCCATTGTTTTACTCTGGTGCATGGCCGAGTGGGCTGTTTGTGGCAAATACTGTCGACCAACAGCGTGTACAACTACACCGTGCGTGTATTCCTACGACGACCCAACGTTTGGCAATGCACTTCCCGTGAAGCTAGACCAGTGGACGACGGGAGGAAACGGCCGCAAACTGGCGACGTGGGTGCTGGAAGAGCTTGAGGACTGGGCGGCAGACGTGAACGACGCTGTACGTGGACGGTCGTTGGAAGACATAGCAGTCGATCAGCTGAGCGCAGCCGAGAGACGGCGACACCGACGTAGACTCCGAAAAAAGGGCCTCGTCAAGCCGCCGACAAAGGCGGCGCCGGACCAGACGGCGAAATGGGAAGCATGGAGACGGTCAAGGCTGGAAAAGGAGAGACTTGACGACATGGGATATGAGACGGGCGATGGCTGGGCCGGAGACGGCATGGGCGGAGACGAACGGGTGTGGTGAAGGATATTCGTCGTGTTTTTATTTTAATCTTGAGCGAGGGCATGAAATGAGTTGCTTTGCTAGTTGGCGTTGGGAATTCGTCGCCACCGCGGTATTCCGGTCGCAGGGGGGGCGTTGAGGAACAAAAAGTTGTATTATATATATCCATGCATATCTTGTCCATGATGGAGGAAAAGGAAGCAGCTTCTTTTTGCCTTGATGCAAACGCCAAAGAACACCCAGCTTTTGCCCTTTGCCCAGTGTTGAGGGGGAAAAAAAACCAGCAAACAAAACAGTCCAATGCCACCGCCGAGTATCATCAGTCCTCGATACCATCCCAGGCCTCATCCTCGAGGCCTACTTCTCCGTGCCCCTCGTCGTCACTCCGCCTCGCCCCCCAAGGCAGCCTCTCGTCGGCATAGCTCTCCGAGGCCCTGTTCCGCACGCTCTTGACGGGGCTGGCCCTCAGGGCGTCCACCATGTCGCCGACCTCGCGCACCCACCTGTCCCTCGCGGCCGCGGCGTCGTCGTCGTCGTCCTCGTCCTCGTCCCGGCCCAGGGCCCTCTCCCTGTCCAGCTCGTCGACCCACAGGTCCAGGACGTGCAGCCTCAGGCCCAGCGGGGCGCCGTCCTCGTCGTCGGCATCAAAGGCCCGGCGCCTCCACAGCTCCAGCATCTGCTCGACGCGCGGGCCGAACCAGCCCTCGCGCCTGGCGAAGCGCACCTGCGCGGCGAACGCGCGCCGCACCAGCAGCAGGAACTTGTCCATGCGGAGGGCGTCGATGGACGCCCACTGCCGCGACATGACGTCCCAGAAGCCCGTGGCGAGGGGCACGGCGCACGCGCCCGGCGCGTCCAGCGGCAGGCGGGCCAGGTCCGACGCGAGCGCCTGCTGCGGCCGCGGCCCGTCCGTCATCCACAGCGCGTAGTAGAGGCCCGTCCAGAGCTTGCGCGCCTCGGTGGCCGCCAGGCCCGTCCGCGTCGACAGGTACGTCTGCAGCGCGGCGAGCGATTGCGTCCGCAGCTTGCGGTCTGTCGTCGGGTCGGGCGTCAGTCGGGCAGCCGGCCTGCCCGGGCTCGCGGGGGCGTGGGGAGAAGAGGAGGGAGGAGGGAGACGTACCGCTCGAAGCGAGGTTCCTGATGAACGGCATCTGGGCTTCGGCGCCGGCCATGGTTCTCGGTGCTGCGTCGTCGTCGGCGGCGGCGGCGATTTTGCGTTTCCAAATGGCCCGTGGTGAGGTGACGCCGTCGCTCGCTCGCAGGTTGAGTGAGGTTGACGAGAAAAATCGAGGGTTGGTGGCCCCGCACGCGCACGCACTTGCATCCATCTGGCTTATCTTATCGGAGCTGGAAAAGGCCGGCAGACGAGACCGTCACATCCAGCCGAGGTGGAGGATGATCAACACCACGCACACACCACACCCTTGGATAGTACCGACACACGCCCGTCCGTACTCCGTACCCGGTGGGAAATGCCCCTGAGCCGCGCAGGCCGCGCAGGGATGCCTCCAGCAGCCGCAGTCGACGAGCCGGGAACGAGCGGCTCAGCTCAGCCCAGCCTCCATCTCCCTCCGCCTTGATGTCCGCACCCGAGGCCCCACGTGCGACGATGCCTGCCCGTTCCCGCGAAGCTGCCCCGCGGCAAGACTGACTGCCAGCCGCCAGCCGCCAGCCGCCAGCTGCCGGCCCCGCCATCCATCCCTCGTCCTCTCTCCCCATCCTCACCTCCGTCCATCCATCTGGCCGTGGCTCGACCTCGACGGCTTCAAAATCCCCCTCCATCCGCCCCCCCTGGAACCGCCAAACGTCGTCCGTCCCGAGCCAGCCATGTCCACCAAGCGCATCAGCAAAGTACGTCCCCTTTCCCCTTCCCCCCTCCCCCTCCGCTTATACCAAGAACCCAACCCGGGCCGGTTACTAAAGACCTCCCCCCAACCAAACAGGAATACGCCGAAATCTCGAAATCACCCCCCGAGGGCTTCACCGTCTCCCTCCCGCCCAACGAGTCCATCCACACGTGGCAGGTCACGCTCGCGCCGCCGCCCGCGTCGCCCTTCCACCCCGGCAAATACGGCATCCTGCTGACCCTCCCCGCCGAGTACCCCTTCAAGCCGCCCGCCGTGCGCTTCACCACGCGCGTCTACCACCCCAACGTCACCAACGACTCCCTCGGCAACGTCTGCCTGGGCATCCTCAAGCCCGAGAACTGGAAGCCCTCGACCAAGATCGCCGCCGTCCTCGACGCCCTGCGCAACCTCCTCGTCGAGCCCCAGCCCGACGACCCCCTCGAGGAGAGGATCGCCGACGAGTACCGCAACGACCGCGCCGCCTGGGAGCACAATGTCCGGATCCACGTCGAGAAGCACGCCCGCGCCGAGCCTGTCTTCCCCCCGCTCTCCTCCAAGTGACGTGGCCGTGGGGAGGGGCGCGCCGCGCCCGTCAACGAGCAGAGCAGAACAGAGCAGAGCAGACGGACTAAACGTTCGCCGTGAGAAACGAGCGCCGCGAGAGGGGGCAGAGAATCGGGACACAAGTGTACTTTAAGCCAGACACCTGCATCAATTTTTTTTTGGTTTGTCTGTTTGCCGCACTGAGCCGCCCTTGCGTGCGTCTGCATCCAAGACGGCCCGTCCCGTGAGCATGTTTCTTGCACAGCCTGCCTGCCTGCCCCCCCTTGCTTGCTTGCCTTTGCTTCGCGGGCCAACATTTGAAGCTACGGGCGCGGGCGCTGGGCACGGGGCACACGGGGCACGCCAAACCACAAAGCCGCTTCTTTCGAGGGCATTCAAACACCAGACAGACACCGGCCCGTCCACGCCTCAACCATTACTTTGCTCATTGACAGCCCTGTCAACTGGCCCCCTTCTACCTATGTAAAATATGCTGCCTTGGCGACCCCTTGGCTACCTTGCCAGATGCCTTTGTCTATCCAGAATTGACAAAATAAAAGAAAAAGAAAACAGAAAAAAGACCAGACGATACATGATCCCAGTACCCATCTATGCACGCACATCACCAAAAACACTTTGCATGCGCACGCCTCCAAAGCAGGCCGCAAGGTGTGCATTTCAACGTCGCCCCATCATGCCCATGGTCACTCGCCATTCCCATACCGACATGCCAACTCCAGCCTCACACTTTGACGCAGGCGTAAAAGGTCATGAGGTATCAAACACCGCCCACTTGGCCATCGTGGCATCCTTCCCTTTATTTACTCACGACAGCTCCTGGTAAAGTGAGTTGTGGTGGATCAAGAAAAGGACAGAGGGAAAAATAAAATCAACAGGTATGCATGTCATCCGGAGTAGAAATCGCAACGCTTCATGGAGGAATCATCAATTATTCCGGATAAAGGTCCAAAAAAAATTGAAAAGAAAAGAGGGGTGCGTAACGTCGATGGGCCGTTGGAAGAACCGAGAAGAGAGAAAGAAAGGGAAAAGAGCAAAAGATAAAAATAAAAATAAATAAAAATAAAGAAAGAGGGTATCAGTTGAAAATTTGCGATTGCCATCCACGTGTCTCGCCACGGTTTGGAACAGAAAGAAAACATGCCAAGAAACAGAAAAAAAATTATAATGCCTCCTTATGGCGCAGTAGACTGTCGGATCCGTGTTTCAAAACACAGTCAAACCTCTGCAGCTCTCAGAGTGGCGCTCTTTTTCCTCCCAAAGAGAGTGCCCCTGCGTGATATGGTGCCCGACTCTACTTCAGTCAAGTTACCGCAGACATCCGCCATTTCGCGCTCTTGCTTGGTTTTTTGACGCCTCTCCTGTCGGCGTTCGTCAATGGCTCCCTGACTGAGATGTCCAAATCCGTTTCGTCGCTTGAAGCAAGCTTCAATGAGAGCATTGGCGTCGAGCATTCGCCGCGGGATTGTCTGGACAACTCCAAACATTTCCATTGGATCCTTGACCGCCTTGATCTCACCCTCGCCGCTCTTGAAAATCGCCAGTGCAATGCGGAAGAGCGTCTTGGAACCCTCGTAGAAGAAGACATCCCAGACTCTCAGCGTCGTTTCAATCGGCAGCGTGCCAATATAGCAGCTCATGAACCAAGCCGTCATGCACAATGTAATCGGAGGTAGGCGATCTGTGGACAACCTTGGCTGTTCCCGCCGTCGCAGAATCGGCCTCGTTTTGAGTACGGATTTACTCGTACTGGGCCGGCCTGTCGAAAGATTCTCCAGTTCGCCACCAATCTTGTCCCATACAGAGGGCATCGTGTCGCGCAGCTCCGTCATGAGCACACCCAAGTCCACTTTTGATCCTTCCAGGCTCATGTCATGGGTGCCCGGCAAGTAGATGATTGTGATTACATTCAGCAGCCAAAAACATTGTTCTTCCGTCTCTACGAACAGCAGCAAGAGTCCGGCGAGGAAATTGAGGCTCTGGCAGTAGCCGATGCGTGGATTGTAAATGGAAAAGGCGTGCAAAACACGGCGAAGGGACGTGATGATTGGTGGCTCATTCGAGGCGGCAGGCAGCGGTCCCGGGGTTCTCTCATCCCCAGAGGAGCCCGTCATGGTCGATTGGCTGGTTCGCTCGCTGTTGGGCACGGAACTCAAGTTTGCTGACGGCCTGAACTGAATGTTGTCCGGGAACGTCCTGTGCAGGTCCCGCTCGATTGCCTCGACATCCACCTGTTTGGCCGACTTATGCAGGAGCCTTTCGTATAAACCGGCGTGTTTAGCCAATATTGCCGGCCCGCCGGCATAGTAAAACCACGCTGCTCCACGCCAGTCGGGCGGTATCCCTTTCCGCACAAACCTCTTGGTCTTGGCATTGGGGGAAGGGAATCGAATCGGACGGTCAGTCATCAGGGCACAGTCTTTGAGGTAAGCTACCCACTTCCGTCGTCTCCGAGCAATATAGACCGAGTATTCCGCATTCCAGGCATCATACTGTTCTCTAGTAATGGATTGGTTGGCCTTCTTAAAGCCATATCGGTCGCGTGAGCCGGGGTCCTCAGGCTCAGCGGGCATCAAGGTGACCCTGGAGAGTGTAGGAACAGGAACCGGAACCGGAGACGGGGTAGCAGTGGTATCAGCTGTTTGAATTTCCTTGGCGGTAGCAGGATCTGATATGATTGACGGCTCCGAGTCAAGTGACTTGGCCGAATCCCGTTTTTCTGGCATGTACTCGTCGGCCTTTCCAGCGATGGCTGCCACAGATGCTGTGAAAGCTGGGCTGGTAAAGATCATTTTCGATTGACGAATCTCGGCGTCCAGCGTGGAACGCGCGGTCGGTAATGGTGGTTCGAGACTGTTCTCAGCAGCAGAGGCGCTGAAGGGAATGCTCGGAACAGCAGGAGGAGCGGATCGACCATCTGGTTCCGATACAGCAGTCATAGGTCTCAAGTCGAAGTTGCCTTCGCTCTCGGGATCATCAAAGTCACTTTCGTTTTCATCTTCGTCATCCGCAAAGCCCTTTTCGTACATGCCCATAACATCTTCCAAGCTGGGCTCGTCGGGGTTTTCGAGTGAGGTGACAGAGCTGTCTTTTGTAAGAACACTGCTGCGCTCTGTAACAGCGGTACCAGGGGTTGTCGAGGCCGTGAGCTGGGATCTGAAACTGGACCGAAATTCATCCCCGCTCAGCCAGGGAGCGGCCCCACCCGCAACTGGGCTTGTCAGAGGTGTTGAAACGGGATACTCGGGGCGGCTAGCAACAGCAGCAGTCCGAGCGTACGTAAGAGCCGGCGGACCTGTGGCATTTCTGACACGGTGATGCCGTGGCTCAACGAACTCGCTGTTTGCATAGTGTAATGGGGAGGCGTGGGCGGAGGCCGACTTGACAGAGGAGGCTGAGGGACGTCTAGGCCGTTGCAATGGGGGCGTATGTGGCAAGGAGTTGGCGAGTTCCAGGAGGCGGTCTGTGGGATTTGACATATTAGCTAGACGTGGCCTGACAAGATCTGAACTGTGAAGGCCTTCGGGTGGTCCAGCTTGGCGTATGCTCTGCTTTCGTGGTCTGGAAAAGTTCTCGACCAAGGGGGTGCCCTCTGATGAGCGCATATTTGCCAAGGACGTTTTGGCTCTAATGGAACGAGATGGCGATTCGTTTCGAGGTTCTGGGGTGCCTATCCTGAGACTGCGAGGGCTTCGACGAGATGGAGACACAGCAGTTTCGGCTAGAGGGGGAAACGGCTGGGGTGGTATAGCTTCAGGTTGCACAGTCGGTGACGCTCTCGAACCAGAGCTTGGACTACAATTCAGCAGGTGCAGTCCATGAGAAAGCGAGTCCCATCGTGGCGAGACGGGTAATGGAGGTATGTCAGGTAGCCGTGGCACTTCATCTGCAGCAGATGTATCGACGGTGAGCGGCTTGATTCGCGATGCATACAAGCAATACTTCCGATTGAGACTCGTGCGCTGGTCAGGAAGTAGAAGATCTTCATCAGACCGAGGATGCGCCACAGAGTCCATTGTGCCAGTCCAGAGCGCCGGGACGGCGGGAGATGCTCTTGTGAGGTCTCGTGTCTTGCGTATCGGAAATGCATCTATATGAGGTGTTGCCGCACCTGCTTCCGAAGACGGGGGGGTTTCGATTCGAGAAGTGGGAGTAATCGGTCTGTATTGCATGGACGCGAGGTGGTTCGTGTACCAAGAACAATGGAGCCACTGCTTCAACAGTCAACGATGATTGGAAGAAGAAAGACGCAATTCGACATATCCGGGAAAATGGTCTGGCTCGTTGCTAGAAAGGAGCTGATGAGACTGGTTGCAAGGTTATCTGCCGCAATATATGAAGCCGATATTCTCATCGAATTTCGAACAAAGTGTGTGAGCGTCAAGCGGGAGAGCAAACGCAGAAAAAGGAAAGACTTGGGGTCGGTCAAAGGAGGGTTCGGGTGAGGGTTCGGCAATAGTCGTCAGTCGAGCCTTGGTATGTTGAACAAGCTGCAAGGTTAGGAAAGAGCGCAAACCAGGATTTGCTTTTTGCGCTGTGCCTTGGCAAAAGCCACGATGGCTAGCTGTCGAAGGGAAGGAGAGAGGGGAGGTATCGAGGCAACGAAGCATGTACAGCACGGATCGAGGTGAGGATTGGGAGCATAGACCGGCTGCGGAAAGGAGTGATGCGGGAGAAAAGCGAGGAATGCTGTGCCTGGATGTTGGAGTCCAAAAAGGTTTACGCTTTGGCCCGAATCGACGTTGTTGGCTGAGAAGGTTGAGCAGAGTAAATTTGGTTGGACAGAACGAAGTCGGCCCGTCGACGGTTGAAAGTTTGCAGCGGCGGCTGGCGAGGTTTACAGCTCCACAATCTCGCAGACCCAGAGCCAGGACCAAAGCCGAGGGTCGGTAGTTGAAGAACGGAAGACGACGATGGCTTGTTTGTGAGACTGGCCACGAGAGGGCTGGATATTGTGCGAAAAGTCAACGTGTTGGAGATGTCTCGTCGTCGTGGCGTGTTGCGGCTGCGGCAGGCCGAGACGGCACCTGGGTTTGGTGCCCTTTTTTTTTTTTTCCCTCCGTCGGCGTCGACGTCGCTCGACTCGAGGTGTTGTCACAGGCGGCGCGGTCAATTCAAGACAATGGCAACGAGCAAGCGCCACCAGAAAAGAAAACAGAACACGCAAGCACGGCTAGCGTGCTATCGGCGACGCTATTCCAGCAAAGAGTCGATGCTCGAGCGTGGACGACGAACGGCACGGGTGGAGGGAATGCAGGACGAATCCAGGACAACCACGCTTGCATGCCGAGTCGGGCTCGATTCCTCGATAAATCGTTGGTGCTGCACAAGCGCACGAGTTGGTCAAATGATCCGTCAGCGCTGACCTTTTGCCCAAACTGGCAGATATGGGATGGAACAAAATGTCAGACCCAGCACACAGCAAGACAAGTTACAACTCCAAGGACAGAGCGAGAGTGAACGGCTGTGGACACCACTATGGATACCAGCTACTCCGTACTTATTAGTACGTAGTAGGAATTCCCAATGTGCTGTAACAATACGAAGTACGGAGCACTCGATACGGATGGATCGGGTGGATGGACGAGATTGCTGGACAGGGACAAGGGCCATGGGCCATGACAGGCGCACTCCGTACTCCGTAGACGAGCAAAAAGCAATCATGGTCTGGCTCATCAAAACACACACATCACATTACGGAGCAAAGCCGGCATCAATGTTGATGCCGTCGACACCGAGCGTGAGAGACACGAAAACCTGCTGTAAGGGCGGTGCTAAAGTGAGGAGAATTTGGACGAGGCCACCATTGGGGTGAGACGAGACGAGCCCGTCCTGTCCGTCCGCCCTCGAGTGATTTCCATCCAGCCCGAAGTCACGTCTGGTTCAAATTACTCGCTGACCTGGACCCGGCACCCGAAGCATCGCCGACTGATACTTGCCATAATCCAAAAAAACAAGCCCCGTCGCGCTAGACTCGCGCTGCCGCGACCCGATCACGCCGCGCGCGAGGCATCGAGCCCTCACCTAAGGTTGTTTTCCCGGCACGCCGTATTCCGCCGCATGGCCCAGTCGCGACCTGAGCCGCCGAACAATGAGAGCACCAAGACCCGTCAATGCACACGTCTCACGGCTCATCTCCAACAAGTCGTGACTCGTGACGGCTGCCCCGTGCCGTGGGCAATTTGCGTACCTTGCTACCTGGGTACATCGGCGTCGCCTAGCGGTACTTTCGAATACCCAAGGCCATGATGACCAGGCAGCACTGGCCAGTAGCGCAGGCGAAAACCAAAAGTACCAGCCCGTAGCTTGCTGGCACTGGCAGGTTGAAGGGCGGCCAGCCGAACGGAGCTGAGCTACTTAAGGAAGCAGCCCCAGCAGCAGAGAAGCAAGCAACTTTGTTGGGTCTGGCGTGATTCTCCCTGCCAGCAACATTGAAACATTCAAGTTGCCCATCCAACCCAACCCCAATGCCATGGACGGCCTGCAACTGTCTGGCATCTTGCCTTGTGCCCAAACTCAGGCCATGTCGACGAGGCTACTGCGCTGAGCACGCCCCCTGCCGCTTTCAAGAAACAAAAACGTCTGCGAGCTGCGACGCCTTCCATGGACCTGTGACAGCGTCTAATTTCACACAATGGCGCCAGTCGTTTCAACGGTGGCACGGCGGCACCACGGCAAACCTTTTCCAAAGCGCAGCCCATGATGAAGTTGCAAGTCCCTTGAGCACATCCTCCGTCGTACAGGGCCAAAGTCGGCGTCTTTCAACGGGGATGCAATCCCTTCGGCCTCACCGTCTGACACTCCCAGGGCTCAGCTAGCCCCAGCCCTGCCTGGTATATCATCCTGCCAAGGCCCTCTTCCTTCGAAGCACCGACACCTTGCTTTCCTGGGCAAGCCAAAAAAGCTCGACAAGGCCAATGTAGCTGGCTTCGGCACTAATAGTAGTGCCGAAAGATTGCTGCTAGCATGCTTCTAGGCGGCACCTGCTATTACAAGCAGTTCCCTGACTGACGCCATCAACGCGAGGAGAGCAAACGGAACAAAAAATGCACAGCACTAATGGAGTCCGGAGTACTGTTCGCCGGTTTTTTTGTTTTTTTTTTTTTTTTGAAAATTTGGCCCCCTATACTCCGTACTACCTACGTCGGCTATTGCTATTGGGGCTACCAAAATTGCTATTGGGGCTACTATCGCCCCACCACTATCTAAATTCGGTCTAGTAGCGAGCTTCCTACACCTCTATATACATTTTTACATATACCTATATAGTTGCAGCCGCCCTTAATTAAATATAAAAGTAGTTAATTAATATTAGTAAATTTTTTAATAGCGCTAGTATAGGCAGGCTCTAATTCGCTTAAAAACGTGATTTCTAGTGTTTTTGTTTAATGTATTTACTTTCTAGCTTATTAATTATTCTAGGGCAGTTATAGCTGCTGCCTTAGCTCCTAAGGGGTTATTTATTAAAGCTGCTGCTGCTCTTCTAGCTGTATTTAAGGGATAATTTCCTTAATATCTAGCTTAATTGCCTATCTCTTAATTAATCCACCTTAGCTGTTATTTATATAGTTATTTAATTGCTGTATAGACAGAATGTTAAGTCTTTAGCGGCATTATTAACTTGCAGCTTGCTCTGCAAGGTCTGCTTGTATTGCAGATTAACAGATGCTTAGATTAACTTAGCGGCAGTAGCTGCTTCTTTAAGAGCTTAGTTAAGGCAATTAAGTAAGCTATTAACTATTATTTTAATTTATATTTTAGTGTTTTTCCTTGTTATTTAATATAGGCAGGCGCTGCTAAGCTTAATCAACCTTATAAGGATGTTAGATTTAAAGAAATTAAGCATTAGAATTCTATAAGTCTATATTAGCAATATTTTCTATAATAAATTGCAGGGAATAATAACACTGCCTTACTAGCAGCTTTATAAGCTACTAATAAGAAGAAATATTGCTCTTTATTAGCAGCTCTTTTGCTTGTAGCTTAATAATAATATTATATATATAAAGCAGTATATATTATTATAAAAAAGAGCCTAAGTAAGGTTAAAGCTTTTATTTATTGCAATAGTTAGCATTAGCAAGCTTATGCTAATAAGCTAAGAGATTAACAGCTTTATAGAATATTTATATAGGCAGCACACTAAGCTATTTGCTATACTTATATAGGCTATACTGCTTTAACTTCTACTTAGCTGCTTATTAATAATATTTACAATCTTTTTTCTTAAGCAATTAATTAAGCAATTTAAATAGCATATAGAGATCTTCTATGCCTATATATATATAGAACTTTGTATTGTAATATGCTGCTTTATAAGAGCTATTAGTTATATAACTAAAATTCTAAAGATATTATATATAGCAGCAAGCCTACTGCTGCTTTTAACTATAGTAGGTCTTTTTAATATATTTAATAATATTGTTTTGCTGTAATTTATATATCTCTTTTATTCTAGTCTAAATTAAATTAAACTTATCTACTTAGGATATATAAATAAAAGCCTTTACAGCTTTAATTATTTTATTAAAGTATTTATTAAAGGCCTTTAGCTTATTAGAATTATTATTATTAGCAGAAGGCTTCTAAATTAAATAAACTTTAGCCTTAATATTTATATAAATATACTAAACATAAAGCTGCTGCTAAGTCTATAGAAAAATAGCCTTTAAAGTATTTTTTATTGCAAGCTCTAAGTTAGTTATAATAACTTTAGGTTCTATAATATAGTATTAAAGTTGAATTTTATTAAGCTTAAATAGAAGCTACTAGTAGCTATCCTCTTCTTATAAGCTTAGTAGCCTAAAGGCAATATTTGCAATTAAATTTTAATTTATAATTATAATTGCTTTAAATAAATAGAGGCTATAGTAGTTAGTCTTAAATATATTATCTATTGCAATAAATTCTAGGAAAGTCTTTTAATTATTAATATAGTTATTATAGGTCTATATAGCAGCTTTAAAATAACTCTTATTATTATATTTCACGCTATATAGCAATTTGCAGTCTTAGAGCTGCTTTACAGCTTATTATATTAAATTAAAACCTTTAAGGTCTTTCTTGTAGATCTTTACAATTTAATTATAGAGGTTTTTATGCTAGAAATAAAGCTCTTTCCCCTCCTTACAAGCTTCTTTACATATAATCTTACTAATTTCTTATACTAGAAGAGCTTAGTATTTTATAAGGCTTGCAATTTGCTCTTTCTTCTTTATTATAAATTAATAATATATAGAATTTGCTAATACCTTAAGGGTTTAATTGTAATTATAATTGCTATTAACTACTTAGTAGGTCTACTGCTAGTTTCCCCTTTTCTTAGTAGTTACTAGCTTAAGCTTAAATTTACAGTTAGCTTTTTTTATTAACTATTATTAAATTCCCTAAGACTTTATATGCCTCTTAGTATTATAGTTGCAGAGAATATAGCTAAATTAAGGCTAGCAATATTTGCCTATATCTATATACTTAGTTATAGACTTTTTAATAAATGCTATACTATTTGCCTTTGCCTAAGCCTATAAATCGCTCTAAAGCTTATTAAAGCTGCTATAAGTCTATAGTAGAGGCATTCTAGGAATTAGTTAGTTAATTAAGTTGTTATAATTATTATAATTATTAGCAGGCTTATTAAATTGCAATACAAAGAGGTTATTGCTATTATTATTATTATTATAATTATTATAATTATTATTAAAAATCTTAATATAGTTAGTATTTATTGTAATAATATTGTTAATAAAAAAGAAGTTAAAAATAGCAGCTTTTAGCGATATTATGTTGTTGCAAGAAGGATGCCTTATGCGGCAGCAGCAGCAGCTGCAGCGTGTAATGTTTTTTTGGTTGTGCGCTGCGATTTTCGTGATAATTGCTGCATTGCCAGGGCGTTGTATGTGAAAATGTATAGAGGGGTGTGGCATTGAAGGGTGTGGGTCTGAAATCTAGGTGGGGCGGTAGCCCCAATAGCAATTTTAGTAGCCCCAATAGCAATAGCCCCTACGTCAACGCTTCGCCAAGCTTGATGCCCGTCACATCCCTGGCTGATAGAAAAAAAGGGTAGGGGCAGCCCCGGCCCGGGGCAGATCGCCGCGACGGTGCTTCTCAGACTGTTACAACGACAAGAACCGCCCGTGCCTGGCCAGACGGTGTTTCTTTTCAACTGTTTCAGACCCTTCCAAATGCTCAGTGGCCATCAGTCGACGCCACCTCGTCAGCCACGTCTGCGAAGATGTTAACCGAGCGGCAGGCTCTTCGTTGAAGTTGCTGCTACAATTCCGTACTAGCACCGAGTACGGAGTACCACAGCACCACAGTCGACGAGATTGTGCCGCGGATGGTTACTGGTGACTACTCCCTACGTATTCCGCAGCACGGGTGGGGACAGGCCCCTCAAGTGAGCTTCAGATTAACTTGAGGCCCATCCATTCATGCAAGGGACGCTAAAAGTCGCGAGGCACTCTAGTAGTACGTGTTGAATACGCACAGTATACGGCTCATGACGATGCCCTGACATCTAAAGAGCTTTTCGAACCCATGAAGACGAAAAATCCGTCACACAAGACACTAGTAGCATGGATCGACGACCAACAATGCAAGGAGTGGGCTGAATCTCAGGGGTGTAATTGACCCCTGAGGCTGCCTTGACTACCGGAGATTCGAGAAATCATCGCAAGGCGCCAGTTCTTCCGGCGCCGTAAGACCTCGGTGCGTGAATGCTGCAGCATTCCGTGCGACTCTGGTGTCCTCTTCCGCCGCCGGCCTAGGCACATAAATAACTATTCCCAATCATGGCGTGGCGCTACTCCGTACGGAGTACTTTAAGGCACAGTATCTCGTCCAGTCGGATGATGAATAGTGCTCCGTGCAACTCTTACGGTGGAGCCAAGCCCTGCCTAAGTTAGTAGTTACGGCTCTTGACAAGATCTCACCGAGTCACCACAGTGTACCAGACTCCATGTTGTGCCTTCCTGTTTACACAAGTTTCATGCAAGGCATAGTCTCACTTACACTCGGCTATGTAAGGTGACGGAGAAACAAAACATGATGATGAGTTTCCCGCTTATCTTGCTCTCGGCAAAGACGGCGCCGTCGTTTGTTGATGCATCCCTTGCTTCGGGCCGCTGAGCAGATCTATCCAGCCTGGAACCCTATTGCAGCGGGTGATGGCCCGAATTGGGCTGCATGGAGACTAGCCCAGGTCGCAACGGCAAATGCTTGCTTGCTTCCATGATGAAAAGCGACTTCTGTTCATGATTCTACAGCCTGGTTGGAAATGGTGGATGTCCCTGGGGACGGCTTGCTCTTTCGAACGGGGTGCATTCATTCATGTCTTTTGCGCCAGCACCAGTTCGACATCGTCACTGCTGGGCCGCTGCGGATCATCTGTGGTATAGGTTAGCTCGTCGCTCGTGCTTTGAGGGCTCTCGACTTGTCCACCAGGCGATTTCCCCAGCCGGCATCTCGAAGCCCGGGCGACGATAGATCATAAGAGAAACAGGGGACCGCCGTACCCAGAGTCCAGCCTCCATTTTTATCAGTTGGAATTCATAACCAATTCGATTCGAGTTTTAAAGACGCTGACTGTTCGGGATCACATCGAACACTCGGTTGCAATCATCTACATGCCATAGTCATCAGGTCCAGTTGGACGCGCCCTTCTCCTGGCAATATCTTCTGAACACTAATAGAAGTAATTCGATCAAGACAATTTTATTACAGATTGTCCGGGCTGGTCTCTACGCAATATAATGGTGACACGCTGGGTTTGTCATTGCTAAATATAACCGGTGGAACTACCGGATGCAGTCTGACACGATATATCAGCCAATCATCAAAGATATACCAACACACCGAGGTAAAATGGTGTAAGGCACGATGATCCAGCACATATTTTGGCTTAATAATTTTTCAAATACCACTATACGTACATCGTTCCGAGCAACTTACATCAGTCAACCTCACTGGCCGTTGATGGTTCATCCCCGTTCATGGTTTCAGCCGCGCCAGAGAAGGAAATGGTTAGCGCTCGACACAAACCGCAGCGAAAGATTAATTGAGAGTCGGAAGATGAGAGGGTACTGATAAAAAGTTGGCATGGCCCTTGGCTGCCATAGCGTCAATTCTCCGTCCAAAGCCTGGCAGTTGATGAGCTAGCGTTCGCGCTGGCTTCTCGACAAGATGTGTCCCTTGAGCGGCATATTTGGACGGGCCATCACGGCAAACGACTTGCGCCAGCCGGTGTGGCAATCCGGGCGTCAGCAGAAAGGGTTGTACAAACACCGCCTTGTTCTACAGCGCGAGCAGTAACAGCCGGGGGGGGGGGGGGAGTGCGTTTGAAGCCCGCCTTTGCTGCTTGACCTGACCGGCTGAGACTAATCCCAGACACGACCGCCATGCACAGCATCGAATGTGTCAACCGGAGGAGCACCAGATATATCCAGGAGATTTTCTTGTACTCCATTCTTGACTGATCGTGAGCCAGGGCGATGGCTCGTGCCGTGAACTGTGAAGCGCGTGCACGCCCTCTGCAGGCACCAAGTGAAATACAGCTTCGGTCACACTGCACGAATTCTCCGATTCGTCGATGGAATAGTCCATCCAATACGCCGTCAGAAATAGGAATAAGGGGGCGATGCGCGATTGTCATCCGTCCGTCAACCCTAGCGACTCTATTACAATAGCCAGTCTACAAATACATCAAACATCCTTTCTCAAGATGATTTATATCGCAAGCGCGCTGGAGTCACGACCCCCGCCGTTGCAGACCTTCAGCGCCCCTGTTTCTGTCGTCACATAAGCACGGGTAAAGTGCCGTAATCTCATCAAAGCCCCCGGAGTGACAAGAGGGTGGCGCGGGATTATCCAGCGATTGCGAGAAGCCAGGCAGGAGGAAAAGAGAGTTTGAGAGAGACAAGTAGAGACAAGTTTTGACGATGAAGGAGTGGTGGCACTATTCATCGCCGCCCGCTGCCACAGCCTCGGGCTCTGCCTCTGCATGAGCTGCAGGAGGTTCAGCCGCCTTGGCAGCTTCCTTGGTAGGCGCCTCGTCTTTGCCGTCGGTAGCGTCGCCGTCGGCGCCCTTCTTTTCGGAGTCGTCACCGTTGGCAGTCTCGCCATTAGTGACCTCGTCGCCAGGGACCTCTGCCGTCTTGCGCCTCTTCACGGGTGGTTGATCGTCTTCATTGCAGAGGAGGTACGTCGTTAGAGGCGGGCTCATGTCGCGGCGAGTGCTCTCAGTTGCTGAATATGCGACTTACCATGTACGCCATTCTCTTCGGCCTTTGCGTCCTCCTCGCCCTCGCCTCCATCATCGGCCTCGGCTTCGGCTTCGGCTTCAGCCTCCGCCTCATCGTCATCCTCTCCTTCTGCTTCCTCGTCATCCCCCTCAGCCTCTTCCTCCTCCTCAGCATCGTCGTCTTCATCCTCGTCTGCGGTAGAGACGTACCTATTACCGGGCTGGTTAGTCCACGTCGCTCGAGTACGCGTATAAGTGGCAGATGGGCTGAGCGGAATGGGCGCAGAATTGTTCTTGCCTGGGGGGCGGGGGTCCGATTCATGTCAATTGATTTTTCAATTGAGACGGAATTCAGTCCCAGGGCCAAATCGATTGACAATGGCGCGGTCAGGGCTAGGTGGGTGGCTGAAGCTGTGTTTACGAGGTCGGGTTTGGAAAACAGACTTACTCCTCTTCCTCACCGTCATCATCCTCGGGGAGGGAGACGAGCTCCTCCTCCTCCTCGTCCTGCTTTCTCTTTCGGGAAGACATTTTGGGATTGAAAAAGTGTGAAGGACCAGCAACGTGGGTGAGGCGATTTGGGGGAGAAGGGGGGGGGTGTAAGTGGGTGCCTGCCGTGCGAAATGGATGACAACCACAACACGACACACGAGAGGACAGAGAGAAGGGGAAAAAATAGAGGAGGAAGGCCAGGAAAAGCCGGGAGGGAGAAGGCTACTTGTACGTCTGGCTTGCGCTGGTACGGAGTACTAGGGCTACGGCAGCGAGGGACGAGGAGAGCGAGGACCAGAATGGCAGAGGAGGGAGGGGACGAGGAGCAGCATGAGCAGCATGGAGCCGACTCAGCAAGTGAGCACTGAGCAGCAGCACACAAAGGCAGAGCAAAGGCAAAGGTAGGGGGGTGCGATCAGGAGCTCCTGGTGCTTGGATCTTGGATACCGCCGTTTTATTAACGACACGCCCGTTGCTGTGGACAGGAGGAGGAACTCTTGGTCGTCCAACTCGGGGCCCTCCTCTGGGATCAAACTGGGCCGGACTGGAGTCCCAACAGGTACTTGGTCAGCCGGCAACACAAGTATGGGCAGGAAAAGTACCCAGGTATACTCCGTACACAACTTGGCTTCGACGTGATTGCCATACGGAGTACGGCGTACTCCTCAGTCACTTTGGCTCTAGACCAAAAGCAGCTCGCGCGTGCTTTTTTACGTCAGCCTTGGAGGGGCAAGACTCAGGGAGCCGAGCTGATCTGCTGGAGAGCTACGCCAAGGGTGGTAGCTTGAAGAGGTTGAGGAATGACGTTGAGTGAGATGTTGCGGCACTTTGCTGGGCTCCATGACCGGGCGACGGGTGGCGGAAGGAAGGCAAGTTGCGTACGGAGAATTGGAACATGAGGGAGGGAAAAAAAAAACAAGACACAATCAACCACGCCAGAGACGGACCGTTTGTCGGGGTAGTGTGCGATGATTCCACAGAGAGCGCGCGAGAGAGGAGCGAACCGGGAGGAGGCGAGCGAGCGAGGGAGGCAAGGCAAGCAATGGGTTGGGAACCAGAACCAGTCCACTCTGTGAGAAGGAGGAAGAGGAGGATGGCTGGCTGGCGGGCGGGGTGGAGGACGACGCGGAGGACTTGTCGGCTACCTGGATGCAGCGCCTCTCGACTTTGTCTGCTGGGTGGTGGCCTTGATGAGTCCAACCCCCAGTGCCAGTGGTCTGGCCTCGTCTTCCGGATGCTTGGGGCGCTCGTCTCGTCTCGTCTCGCCTCGTCACGCCTCGTCACGTCGTCACCAATTGCGGAGCTTGGGGCGTTTAATAAGGGCATATTCTGGGCACACGGAGGCTTTGGCTTTGGCCACCACGATAAACATGGCGCCAGGCCTCTCTCTCCTGTGCCCTCTGCTTCTGCTTCTGCCGCCTTGGCTGCTCGGCTCTTGCTCCCCTGTTGAGGTTGAGAGGGCGAGTTCCTCTGGAGACTGGAGACTGGGGCAGCGACGCTCCCTCCCTCCCTCCCTCCCTTCCCCTCTCCGACCAGGGACCGGGCTGTCTTGTCTGCCTGGCCGTCCTGCCTGTCCGGCCTGGCTCGTGTGCTTCGCAGCGCGGGGGGCGTGGGAATCGTGGAATCGAAGCCACATCCCAAGTCTGCGCAACAGGGTGTGTCTGTAAGGGCCGGGCCTGGGTTGGTCCAGCAAATCCACTTGTCGCTCTCCAGGCTCCCAGCTCCGTTTCTTTGTCTCTCCGTCTTTCCGGCCTGTCTGGCTTTCGACCTTGCGCTGCGCTGCGCTACGGCTACGGCTACGGCTACGGCTACGGCTCGGCTCCAACTCGTACGGCCAGGTTTGCCTCGTGCGGCAGGCTGGGCTGGTCTTGCCCGCCTCGTCATCTTTTTTTTCAAACGTCTTTTATTTTTTCCACAGACTGTCGTGAGCCATGGATTCATGGTTCTGTCGAATCTCTGCGCGCCCAACGGCAAACGCTTGTCGAGGCTGCTTGGAGGCTGAGAAGCTGCATTCGAGCTGAAATAGCTAACCTACCCTCACGTCGCCGCGAGGAGGCGCAAACCTCTCGAGGCCCGGCTTAGGAAGATGGAGCAGAGCAGCATCATGAAGCAGCGAGTCCGTCTGGTCGGCCTGTCCAGCCACCCTGCTGCCGGACCACCATCCGAGAACGGGACGCCACCGCTATCCATCCAGGCTTTGTGTTTTCTGTTTCCTTGACTTTTCTAGTCAAGCCGGGGTGCAGCAACTCGGGCACTGAATAACCTGTAGCCTAGATAGACGCCTCGCCCGTGATGCACGCAGTGACCACCACCCCCGGGCTCCGTACAAACTACAATGCGGCAGGCAATTGAGGATGCGACCACGGAGTATGAAGCACTGCTTCCGAGCTCGTCGCCGATGCGGTCGGCAGAGGCGCGGCGGCCAGAGTCGCATCATGACGGCTAGACAGGGCAGGGCGTCTCTTCTTTGACGTCTTTTTGCCTTTGCGGACTCGAACGTGCAAATTCCCAATCCATACGTGCGCCCGTCCATCGCCGTCGTCGTCAGGAGCAAACCGCTTGCGCCCGTCAAGGACATGGACCACCTGCGCCGACACGCAGGCCACCATTGCATTCTGCACTCGGGACGGCGGACCTGCGATTTGTCGTCGACGACAGCACCGAGTGCCGGTGCCGGCTCCCGCGCCACCCAACCCGCGGGTCCACGATGGAACGGAGCCGACCCAACGCCGGTCGGCCGCGGCCCAACCAACCACGCTCTGCTCTGCACGTCGCCGGCGCAGGCTTCTCGCGACCGCACACCGCAGCGCGCAGCTCGCATCTCGCAGCTCGCATCACCGCGCGCACCACGATCCACGACCGCCTCGCTGGGCAACCATGCCGCGCCCGCCGCCGCAGAGCTGCCCGTTCTGCACCATCGCCGACGCCCACCGGCCCTACGACCCCCTCCGCCCCCCGCCGTCCGTGGACCCGGCGCTCACGACGCCGCCGTCCTTCGTCGTGCTCTCGACCCCCCTCGCCGTCGCCTTCCTCGACATCATGCCCCTCTCGCGCGGCCACCTGCTGCTGTGCCCGCGCGCCCACCGGCCCAGAATCACCGACACGTCGCGCCGCGAGGCCCTCGCCCTGGGCGCCCACGTGCGCCTCCTCTCGGCGGCGCTCGCCCGCGCGACCGGCGTCCACGACTGGAACGTGGTGCAGAACAACGGCGCCGCCGCCGCCCAGGTCGTGCCCCATGTGCACTACCACCTCATCCCGCGGCCCGAGATTCGCGCCAGCGGCCGCCTCAGCGAGAGCTTCACCATGTTCGGGAGGGGCCGGCGCGAGGAGCTCGGCGACGACGACGACGCCGCTGCTCTCGCGGCCGGCATACGCGCCGAGGTGGCGCGCGTCTTGGCCGACGACGACGACGACGACGAAGCCGAGGACGAGGCCGGGCCCAAGTTGTAATTTGGATCCTGTGTCTGTGGGCTTTGTGCTTGGCGCCTGATATGCCCTGCATTTTGGCTGGCGGCGTTGGACTAGACGGACGCGTTTGGATTCTGGGCGTCCCCTTTCCCCTCCCCTCCCTGCGCAAGCACACGGCGGGTTGTCGTGTGGCATGTTGGATGTTGGATGGGGGGGATGGGTCTCGAGTTTGAGCCTCGCACACGGGACTGGGACACATGGGTCTGGGTTTGGCCGTGAGAGCGGGACGGGCACGTCGAGGTGGTTTGCTTTACGTATGGGCCGATGGCTGGACGAATTCGTGGGCTCACATTGACTAGGGACGGGCGGCGCGACAGTTGTGTTGTGCCTGGGTTACATAGAGAGACAGAGAGCGTCTAGACTGCCGTTTATTCATCCTCTTCAGGGCTAGGTCATCGCTACGAGTCCAGTCCGAGTCCCCCCAACACACGTGAGCCCAGACCGTCGCGGTTCCAGCAGCCCTCGCATCCGACTACTCGTCGTCCCCGAAAAACACCTTGGCCGGCAGCCAGGCGTCGCCGCACACCTTGAAGCGCTCCTGGATGCCGTCCAGGCTCTTGACCTCGTCGTCCGTCAGAGACCACCCGTCCAGGGCAAAGTTGGCCTCGATGCGCGACGGCGTCACGCTCTTGGGGATGACGCTCCAGCCCTTCTGGAGACCCCACGCGAGGAGCACCTGCTGCGGCGTGCGGCGCTTGGCCTGCGCCACGGCCAGGAGCGTCGGGTTCGTGTACAGCGGCGAATTGGTCGAGCCCAGGCACGAGTAGCCCGTCGTGTGGATGCCCTTGGATGTGTTGTAGGCCACGAGCTTGGGGGACGGGTTGCAGGGGTGCAGTTCGATTTGGTTGACCGCCGGGACGATCTGGCCGCCTGCGTCAGCTGCGAGGAGGGACATGGGATTCTGGAGTCGAGCGAGTCGAGCGAGTCGAGGGAGCGAGGCGGCGCAGCGGGCCGTGGCTCGGGCTTACCTTGCAGCTCTCGTCGGCCAGGAGCGTCTCCAGGTTCGCGATGCCAAAGTTGGACACGCCAATGTTGCGCGCCTTGCCCGTCGTCACCAGCTTCTGCATCTCGCGCCACGTGTCGACGAAGCTCCAGCCAGGCACGAGCTTCGTGCCGTCGCCGGGGACCGTCGCCGCGGGCCAGTGCATCAGGTACAGGTCGACGTAGTCGGTGCCCAGGTTGGCCAGGCTCTCGTCCAGCGCCGCGGCGGCCCGCGTCTGGTCCGGATTGTCCAGCTTGGTGGTGAGCCACAGGTCGGAGCGCGCCACGCCCGACGCCTTGATGCCTGCGCCGACTTGCTTCTCGTTCTTGTACGCTGCTGCTGTGTCGATGTGCCGGTAGCCGTGGCGGAGGGCCGCTTCCACCGCCGTCTGCACTTGGTCGGGCGGGGACTGCCATGTCCCCAGGCCGACGGCCGGGATTTTGGCCCCCGTGTTCAGCGTGTATGTGCGCCTGCCGGTGTTGTCGACGTCAGCTTGTCGTCGAGTGTGCCTGGTTGCGAGCGACATGTTGGAGCAGGGCAGTGATTAGGGTTAGGGTTGCTCACGAGGTTTGGTTGGCCATGTCGGTACGGACTCCGGAGTACTCTGTTGTTTGGACGTTGATGGAAAGAAAGAAGCGCAGGAGGGAGGACGAGGAGGACGAGGAGGACGAGGGAGCGTCGGTTTATATTGTTCCCCTCTCCGGGAACATGCCACTCGGTTTCCCGGGTGCTCCCTGTTGCAACAACTTGGTCGTTTGGTGACGCGCCCGCTCGCCTCGTATTCGTTACACACAACACCCAAAGAGTAAGGTGGTTCGGTAAATGGCGACGGACTTTTTGCCCGCTGCGAGCGAGGGCTTCTCCACACCTTTTCGTCTGTCCGTTTTTCCGTCCTGGCGGGGACGAACAAGGGTAGTTGACTACAGGGTCGCGTCCCAACATGTTCATGGCGCATAGATCGTTGTCTTCGTTGACGGGGACGCTTATTCCGGCATTGTCTGGTGGCGGAGGGTTGCGGTGCCTTGACAACGGATGTGGTTTGCTCTTGTTTGTATCCGGTTCGTTTCAGCGATGCCGCCGAGAGTCATGCATGAGCAGCTCCTGGGCTTGCCGGTCTGGACGCAGGGAGACGCACAAATAAGCAACTCACAAGATACGGTTTACATCATGACCACGCCGTTTCTGTCAGCCTCGACTGCGACAAACCTGACGCGAAGGACGCCAACGATACCCGTGTAAGCAACAAGCACCGACAGAGACCTGTGATCCGCGGCGACTCCGCAACAGAAATCATCGTGCTGTCGTGTACCATGTCCTTGGCGTCACAGCAACTTCGCCGGTTTTGCGAACCGTGAGCCCACGTGCCGCATTTACTAGTACACGCGGATGCAGTTGCCATACTCCTTCAACATCATTCCAACAATGACCAGTCCCCAGATTGCCGGGACAAAGCATACGAAGAAGAGGCTGGTTAAGAAAGCATCTCCGACCGCGAAGGGGTATCGCAACAACGCCAGTAGCCTCAGCGGCAGAATGTTGGCGTAAATCCAGGTTCTATACGACAAACGAACCGCCCAGTGGTGCAGGCTTCCGTACACCCGGCCGTGAAAGCCGAGCCGACGAAACAATTCTGGAGTAAGCAGCCGATTGCTCTTGGTCCATAGCTGTTGGAGCATTGATGCAGAGACCGCCGCTTTGCCTTGCGCCAGGAATAGAACAGATGCGATCAAGATACCCAACACTTGTTGGTAGCTTGTCCATATGAGTTGCACCACCAACTGCGTCACTGTTGTGTTGCGGCCATCAAGTTTCATCTTGGTGATGATTGCGATGATTCCAAAGGGCAAAACGCCGACGAGAGAGGTACTACTGACGTTAGCACGGCGCCACCACAGCAAGAAGCTATAACCATCTGTGGACCGTACATTACCATTTGATACGACTTATCAAACCGGCTACTATGCCGCTCAGTCTTTTGAGCTGCATGGACAGTGATGCATACGTCAGGTAGGACGCCGTCAGATATAGCTTCATCGGGAGAAATCAGCCGCAATCGCGCGTCTTGCAGGAATCCAGGAACCCCAGAAACCCACTTACGACCTCCGTCTTGCTGGCCCGGCAGATGAAGGGTTACAGGCTCTCCCGTCTCTATTTGACGAACTTTGCCGACTGTGTCGTCATATCGATGGCCGTATTGTGATGTTATTTCCCTCAACACGTCGTTCTCAACAAGGAATAGACAGTCGTAGTGTGGGACGAAGAGATTTGCAAGGAGGTCGACGACAGCCATGACGGCGTACGGGGCGACAGAGAGGGAGAAAGCTGCCATGCCATACAGTGCGACCTGGTCTCCCCTGGCGCGGACAAGAACAAAAACAGAGAAGCAGAGCTGGAGCAATGCAACCAGGCTCTTCGTTGTGTTTCGCTTTTTGGTCAACATCTCCAGCGTCTTCAATCCATGGCAGGGTTCTGGAAGAGGGTCTACAATTGAGTCAATAGGCACATAGGCCAGGACATATCCCGGCACTGCGTCATGCTTCTCGAGGCCGTATATTTGAGAGTCGGGATTCACTAGATTGGAGACTCGAGTGGTGTAAATCACCGCCGTCTCAATCGGATACTGAATACTGTTCCGTCCAGCAATAGTGCTTGGGTGTGAAACCGTGAGCTAAAAGAAGAGAATTCGCATGTAGAACTTGGCTAAACATACCTGTCTGACAAGGATACATCTTCAGAGACTGGATGCATTCCCTCAGACTGCTGTCCGCGGCTATCGTCGGCTGCCTTCATCATGCAAAACACATGGCGGGCTGTTAGGTCGAACGAAAGACCAAAATATAAGCCACAGAGCGCCGGAAGTGACCAGAGCACGGAGCGGCCCTGTCTGGAGATGCTGTGGAATATACGCCACGATGGATTGATCACCCGCTTGCCGTTAAAGGCCGAGTTGTCCACTGCCGCGTGGAGCTTCAGAAGCCGGCTGCTAGAGGCTGCCTGTTTGTACCAGTCGTCAGCCCTCACATACATGCAGAGGGCGCGCGCCAGAGTAGCCTTTCGTAGAGCTGACTGTTTGCGGCCCTTCCTGGCTTGGTAGAAGGCCGACATGCCGAAGACGAGGCCCGTTGACGGCACGAGCAACGCTCCCAACATGATCCATATGGTTGCGTAGAGCGTACTCGCAGGTGGCGTTTTGACAGTTGCCGCGTGAGCAACATAGTTGCCGATTATGAAAACAGCAATGCTGTTCCATGTCGCTGGAAAGCAGAGCAGACGAGGATCTCCATGCGTTGTTGTTCCCTCGGGAAGCGTGAAGTTGAGATTCTGCCTCTCTAGTCAGCTGGCTGGAGCGCTCTGAAACCCTCGGGATGGCGCAATCCTTCAAATAATGGATTGTGCTTGCGGACTCGGTACAAACCGCGAGTTTCATCATTGCAACTAGGTAGTGTGCTACATCGATCGCCCACCTGCCAACTTTTGTAGAAGAAGTGTGTCTGTGTGTTGCTGGCACAGTTCGCATCCATCGGAGTAGGTGCGGATCTCTTATATCTTCATTGTTACAAATGTCACGAGGCCTCAAGCACAACCTAATCGGAATGGTTTTCACGCCCACGCCCACATCGCTCATTCGATTGAGTGGTGACCGCAGCAGCAGCAGCAGCACGATGCAAGTCGTTGACGAGGCTTCAGGTCTGCCGTCCTAAGCCTGCTTGCAGCCACCCGAGACCGGCCGACGGGAATAAATTTAAACGCAGCTGTCAATCACGGTTACACGCATGCAAAGCACCCGCGGGAGCAACCGGTAGTAACCTCGGTGTAGAGGCGCAAGACCTCACTGGCCGGAGGGCCATCTTGGCTTCGATATTCGGGTGGCTGATTGTCCGCTATATAAAGAAGACCTGTACGGAGTACCTGGTAGAGTATTTCCTCGGCGTTGTCTCTTTGCAGCTGGGGTTGGCACTCTCGGTGGCCATTGGCCCTCAGCTCCCAATATTGCTGCAGAGAGAGATTCTGTCTGGGGTTCGCCAATGCAGAAGCCAAATTGGCTGTGGTAGCACTACGTCGACGGATTGTCGCCAAAGCCCTTTTGGGAGCCTCACAAGCTTTTCGTTTCCTTTCGCAGCCTCCCGACATGACCGCCGGGGTTGTGGTATCACAAATGATGTTTGTTCATGGTGTAGTTCTAGTTGGACCTGGTTCGCTGCCCTTGGCCATGTTTTGCCTCGACGAGAACGCCCAAGTCGAAGTAGGTTCCGTTTGATGGTATTGCGACTGCGGGTGACACAGTCTCTGAGAGACCTCATGACAAGGCTGGGCCCCGTCGCAGGTGACATTATGTTGTGCGACGGCCTCCTCTGATGGAGGTCCGAATGACGCTGCCCGCTGCGCTGACATGCACGCCGGTCAGCTGTGGCTGTCTGTACGAACGTCGTGGAAGTTGTTGGCAACGCAGAAAACCCGAAGGCTTGGGGGACTCTTGATAGTAGGCTGCTCATTACGCAGAGACCGGCCTTGCCGTGCAGAAGAGAGAGGAAATGGCGGCACTCGATGGTCCGTGTTTCGTACCATGCGTGAAGGATAAAGAGAGACAACGACCTCGATGAGCGAAGATTCGTCCAACACCAGCAGCACAGCAAAGCCTATTCAAGGATACACATCAACTGCAGGAAAAGAAAAAGGAAAAAGAAAATCAGGCATGCTAGTGCAGACAATGGCCTGAATAGACTGTTCGCGTCAGGGGACACACTGTCGAGTATAGCAAAAGTAAGTGAAGCTGACACGTCGCCCGGGGACTTCCGGACTTGGGTCGTTGATTGGACGACGCTGCGCAATGAGGCTCTACAAATAGTTGAAAAGGTTGCATGTCGTTCACGTCCCTAATCACATCGAATGGAAGCATAAGTGAAACGGGCCGCGCGCCCTGCGGTGGGTTGCATCACACGGGTAGGCTGAAGAGTCTAGCCAGATAGTTTTGTCTTGGGCGTTCCTGTTCGCTGCTTTTCCCATGACATCCGCGTCACTGATGACCACGAGAGAATGAAACTCGAGTGGGAGGGATGTTCAACCCCCTTGCTCCCAGCTTCTATTGGCAAAGTCACAGTCGATGACGGGCAATGTTGATTATCCGGTTTGATTCAACAAAAATGCAATAGTTTCTCGTTCTTGCCAGTGGACCGGTGCTCTGCTAGTGGGTGGACAAGCGACGGCCCGCGCCGTTTCACAGCTGCCATGGGCGGAAGTAGAGTATCGAATCTCTCGAAATCTTGTCTCTCTGCTTCAGGACCGTGTCCTTGCTCTGTAGCCTGGCCTCAACAAAGTGGGGGCCAATCCGACAGCTGCAGGTGTAGACCGTGACCAGGAGATAATCTGCGGCATCGACTGTTTCAGTATTGTCAACATTCACGCGAACCATGATGCAGAGGAAGATGAGCAGCCTAGCCAATGCGGTGGGCTTGCGATCCAAAACAGCGATATGAAGCTTTGGGAAAGCAGAGCTGCCTGATTCGACTCCTCCACCGAGGTCATAGAAGGATGGCGGAAAAGAGGTTACGACCATTTCCGCAGCACGCAAAGAAGAAGAAAATGTCATCAATTTTCGTTCCTGTGCCTCCGAGTGGCTCGTCCAAGACTCAGCCAGGTCGTGGCTGACACAGAGATATTCCGGCATACCCTGTCTTGATGATGTTCAGCGAACAAGGGGCAAAAGACAGCGGGAGAGCGGCCACATGCAAACATGGCTCGTATCGTGATATACGACCAAGGACTTGCCGCGTAGGAAGGCGGGTGTATGACTTGTCTCTCCTTGTGGTGGTGGTGTCGGGCTCGTCGGGTGAGAGCGAAATCGGCTCTCTGATATGAGCAATTTCCGCCCTGTAGTCGGCCATTTCACATCCTACGGTTGATAGACGAGAGACGGGCGAGGGGTCGTGGGGATCTAGAGAGGCGGCCGACACGTGAAAACATTGCAAAATGATGTGTGTACAGTAGAGCATTGGCGTTTTACCCTGGGCTGCCCGGTAAAAGTCGTCGCCTAAAGCTCTCTCTGGCTTTGGCGGTGTGACGACGCGTGTCGGTCTGCAACTGAGTCGACATTGCGCTGGAGTCGGTGTCAAATGAGCGCGCATTCATATGACGGACAGTACCTAAAGGTCCCTTGTCTTTATTCGAGTCCGGGAGATGGTGACATGAGGAGATGCAGCGGAGAAGAGGAAGCTGGGCAGTAAATACCAGGCTGAGACTGGCTAGGCAGGCGGTCAAGGACTCGAGGTAGAAAGATCAACCGATGCTGGGGGTCCACATGACTACAATTTTAACGTCACGACAGCCTTCGCCCAACCCAACCTAAGGGACACGGCATGCAACGAGACAACGCCAGTCCCGATCGCCTTTGACGCTGGCATGTGCCCGCAGCCCTAAACCTGGCATGTGCAGACATATAACTACCGCATGCTCGAGGCATACATGTGCGTATATTCCTTCGTCTTGCTGGTCCCGACTTACCACGGAGGAGGAGAGACGGCCTTGGCGTTGCCAAGTTCCGTTACGTCAACTGGCACTTTGGTACTGGGTATAGTCATCCCTTGCAAGTGAGCCCTGAAAAGTCAGCGCAGCTTCTCTCGAAATTAATTAGCGTGCAAAGCGCCGCATGTCGACCCGGACTATCGGGAACATGGACACACGCCCAACGTGTTCGGCGTTCGCGACGACCCATTATAGCCCATATGCCAAGAAGATCACCACCTGGGATATTGGGGCCTGGTCTATAGCAATGTCTTGTGCGCTGCCGCCGTGGCCGAGCTGGCAGACCCAGATTGGATCAAAAACCCGCCGTTGACGGGCAGCAGAACGGCCAGAGCACCAAATAGCTAGATATATTTACCATCCACGACGAAAAGACTTGCATGGACTGCATCTTGCCGCACACCGGGACATATAACCACTCTCGCAATGTTTGTTCTCGCAACCAACCCGGAATTTGACTCTGCCGGCGTCGGTGCCATTCGACGACGTCAAACAAGACCAGCACACGAGTCATGCTTGGCAACCGGACTTGTCCTCAAACATCTTTTCATTGGCGTGCCTGTCTTGGCTGCTATTCTGCTTGGGAGAAATATAGAGAGGACTTTTGATAAATTATAGACGATATAGGACCAAGGCCACTGACATATGTAGCTAGGTTTAGATTGAAAATTCCACAACATGACACGTAATTCACCTTGTAGACAACGTCATCTTGTGGCTGTAATATTGCTGCAAGATGCAAGGGAAGAACGTAATAAGCGTAGAGCAGGTCTAAGTTCCCATGCAGATACAAAAAAAAGCCCGGCATATAAGATAGCTCGCGCTCCTAGAGTCAGACAGTCGCGGTTACTTGGGCTGTCGTCTCGCGTCCATTCATTCTACCACAACCCATCATGTCACGACGGTGGCTCACACTCCTGTTTTGTCTCGGGCTCTGGCTTCAGTGCGCTCGTGCCGCGCCTCCCGGGATCCCGCCTGACCCCGACCGTGTAGAGTGGAAGGACGTCACGGTTTCGCTGTTCCGCCGCCCTGATTATCGCACCTTTGCCGACGCTGTCCTGGACAAGGATTTAAACTATTTCCACTGGACGATAGATGTTAGTCCACAGCACACCGGGGGCCAGTATGTCGATTCTTTCGACGTATCCAACGGGGTACAAGTTCGTCAAGGGCCCAAGGAGAACATTGAGACGAATCTCGCGAGGCCAGGGGCCACGTCCCCAGATTTCCGCTTCCAGTACAAGTACAACGTCGAGCCAGCCAAGGCGGTCACTTTGCAGGCGAGAATCAAAATAGGAAGTGCCGAGGTGTCGACGATTGACGTTTTGAAAGCGCTACAAGAGCTCGACATGCCTGGCCCCGGAGAGAGCTGCGTCGCCTGGGCACAATTGGCGGTTCGCTCGCTGCAGAGAGGAGAAGTAGTGAGGGAATTCCATGTCGAAACGTTTTTCGAAAAGGCCCTGGAGTACGGGTTCGAGAGATGTAGGGTGGTGCAAGATCCAAATATACCAGTTGAGCGAATTCCGCACGAAAACATGGTAATTGCCGAACTTGGCCAAGACGGAGATATTGTCAAGCCGGAGTCGTCTTACGCAGATGCCTCAACACCTCGCCAGGGGAAGAAGCCGCATCCTCACGAGCGCGGTAAGAAAAGACCATGCACCATACTTAAAAGAGAGCTTTGCGACGATCTGGAAACGGTAGCCGAACAGGGCTCCAGAGAAAGCTTCGATAGCCTTTTGGAAAGGTACGGACACGAGAGTCTAGCAAAACCTCAAGGACGGCTACACCTCGAGCTCCGTAGCAGGATGCAGGCATTCAGAGAGGTCCCGCGGTTCGAAAGGATCACGGCTTTAGCAGAAAGATTGGGCTCAAAAGCCTTGGTAGTCGGCGGGCTGGCTTTGTACGTCGCTGCAGTTGCTGAAACCTTCTCCAGCGATGCCAGCGTCCTCGATAAAGCTGCCGTGGTAACGTCCATCCTGCCCTTCATCGGCTGCGCGGTTCGGGCGGCGGATGATGCCGTGCGAGGTCATCTCGACACCGTCGCGATGGACTTGTGCTTCTTGGAAGACGGTCTTACTCTTTGTGGCTTCTGGGAAGTCGCCCTCTTGCTGCAAGCTGTAGAAAGCATCTACAAACTGTCCCAGCAGATGGAGGAGCAGCAAAGGCTCTACGATACGGATTACTTCTTGGATCACCGCATGGTGGGATGGGAAAACAAGATCACCGACCTTGGGCAGTATATAGACTCTCCGGAATTTATGTACAATGCCACCAATCTCTATTCAGCATATCAGGTGGGAGTCCTTTTCCAGGCGTCACAGCTCATGGGCGACTTGAAAGCTTCCCGCGGACTTGCACACGCTTCGGCACATTCCAACAGCACTACTAATGGTACCAACGTGGCAGTTGTGAAAGACGGCTGGAACGAGCACATCGACGCCGCGACACAAGACGAGATTGACCGACAGCTTTGCGCCGAGGCGGCACGGAACAAGGTTCGGACACAGAAACTCCTCGAAAGTCAGATGCTTGATGCGGTCAAGAAGCTCAGTGAGCGGTATGACGAAGCCTACACGGAGAGATACGTAAAGGAAGCGACAAAACCCATTGAGCTTCTCGGCTTCATCCCCCTCCATGCCTCTTATGAGAGCCCCCAGCAGCTGAGGGACGAGTTGGATCGTCTCAGAAGGCACTTTCCGCTCCAGCTGTATGAAGAACGCATCAAAGTGGCCATCGAAAGGGTCATTGGCCGTATAAAAACGCCCCCCCTATGCGCACGTCTCAAACAAGGCGACTTGTGCGAGGACCGAAGTTGCGCCAGTCCGCCGAGTCATATTGACAATGTCAAGATTTGCTCCCAAGCCCGAGAGAGACAGCCGTGTGCTGAAATCCCAGCACCGCGCAATCAATGCGGTATGTTTTCCTTCCAGCAACTTTTGACTGTATACCAGTCATAGCATAGGCAGTATTGACTCATTCATTCAGTCGACATGCCCTACTTGTGGCGTGACCTAGCCCGTTCTATTAACTTGAAGAAGGCACTTGGTACCTGCGCCTTTTACGTGTAAGTTCGCTCACCTCTTGGCCCATCCAAGCTGTACTGCCATGTACGACATTGAATGGCACTGGAGATCTCGAGTACAGCTAACTAAAGTTGAATACAGGCAGAGCGGTTGCTCTGGCAGCAACTTCACAGCATCTTCTCCAGGTGTGGATCTTCATCGTCATGCCAAGCTCTCGCACTTTGACCATCGGCTGAGATCGTTTGAATGCTCTGGAAGCTTGGTTCGTGAACAGATTTCCTGGTGAGAAGCTGCAGGGATTAACCTCGGGGACAGCGCTAAACAAGAGGTAAGCTAACCTAGGAATGAGGGAGAATCTTGCACACGCCTGTAGTATACTATCTTATATGCTTAGTTCTATAAAAATCTTTACTCTAGATGCCGGAGAGAACAGTAATTTCTTGCTGCAACAGAACTAGGTAAGTGTAGATGTAAGATAAAAGCAGACAAATCTCTCTTCGGAGGAGCTTTACGGCGCAAACTAGTAGTAGAAACACTATATAGAGAGCTAGATTAATTCTAACGTATACAAAGTCTTTTATAGCTGAATATTTTAGGGTGTTTTTGCGCAATTAAGCTAGATTGAACGACTGCTGCGATTTTATGCACTACGCTTTTGTATTACTGTAGTATAGCTGCAGTTAAATAGACCTCTTTAGTGGCTCCTTGCTAACTGTTAAGCTAAAAGAGTATATATTAAACGAGTCCCTCTTACTTACTTCATCGAGCACTATATAGAACTGTCGCGTGTATTATCTAGATGCTAGGCATAGCGCACTTTAGTATATCTTCTAAATTATAGTAAACTATATCTATAATAATTCTATATCTAAGCGATATTTAGGTTTTTATAATAATTTATAGTTATCTAAGAGTTTTCCCTAGTAAATTATTAATAGTTGTATTACTAATTATTAACAGTAAATATATATAAAAACTAAGGAAATAACTATTATATATAAATTGCTTTTGAGGAAGAATTATATATATTTTATATATAAATTTTAATAAGCTTTTAGCCTATATTTCTTTATATATATAATTGCCTCTGTGGCGCAGTAGTTAAAGCGCTATAGAGCCCTGACGGCCGCAGAGAGCTGGTTTGAACCCGGCCAGAGGCACCTAAATTTTCGGCCTAGTTACCTAGAAATTTAGTTAACCTGTAAACCTTATTACGTAATTAAGAGGTAGAATTAAGCTAAGCCTACCTTAAAAATTAGCTAGCAGACCTAGAGCTCTAAGGTAGGAAATTAAGCCAGCACGTAATATAGCTGCTATATATTATACTAAGGTAATAAGGTTGAGGATAGATAGAGAGGGAAATATGCAGTTTAGCATTATTTACGTAAAGAAAACGCCTTATATTATAATATAATATAAGGCCTAGATGCAAAACAGCAGCAGGCAGAGTTTCTTTTCCTATTAGAGAGTTTTCTAGGCTTAAAATAAGAAGCAGATATACTAGTTATATAGCTATAATAGCTATCTAGAGTAATAAATATATATATATAATTACAGTTAAGTGTTAAGAACTAGCCTTACAAGCAACTGCGTGTAAGCGTTACTAGTATTAACTATAAACTTAAGGAGAGGGAAGGAGAAAAGAAGAAGCTCTCTATTTCTTCTTTTCTACTTATTATATATATAAAGGTTTAATGTATATTTAAAAAGTATCTAATAAGACACTAACATAGTGCCTTATGCCTACTCGAGCCTACAGCTTAAGTCTATTACATTAAGAAAGAAATAGTAGCTAGAAACTAGTAAAAAAACTAATAGCTATAAAGGCTAAACTATATTATAAAAGAAAATAGCTACTAAAGTTATTTTAAGCTACTAGCTATACTTAATTTAGCAGCTCTACTATAGAATTTACTTGTCATGGTCTGAGCTATGCTCGACCTTAATGGAATGAATGCGCTGCAATGCAATGCGCGATAAGGGGACAAGCCCGTGCCGTGGACCTATATAGTGCCAGGATTGAGCAAGCTGTGGGCAGCTTGTTTAATACGTACCCTTTTGGCTTAACGGTTAGTAGTCAAGGGGGTCCGGCACACTACCGGGATAACTGCGGCTGGCACCCGCTATAGCCTAATAGAGCTAGTCTATTACATTACTTATACTCTTCTTCTCTCTAACTAAATAGGGAGGAAATTAAGCCTTTATAACTGTACTCTTTAATGTATACTATTATATATAATTTTATACTATACTACAGCCTCTATAGCGTAGTAGTTAAGCGCTATAGAGCTTTGTTCTGCTCTATAGAGAGCTAGTTTAAACCTAGCTAAAAGCACTTAAATTTTTAGCTTAGTTACCTAGGAATTTAGTTAACTTATATACTTTATTATATAATTAAGAAGTAGAATTAAGCTAAGTCTACTTTAAAAATTAGCTAGTAGAGCTTAAAGCTTTAGAGCTAGGGAAAATTAAGCTAGTATATAATATAGCTACTATATATTATACTAAGGTAATAAAGTTAAGAATAAATAAGTAGAGATATATATAGAGTAGTTTAGTACTACTTATAAAAAGAAAATACTTTATATTATAATATAATATAAAGCTTAGAGGCTTATATATATAGAGGCAAGTAGGTTTTTCTTTTCTAGAGAGTTTTTCTACTTAAATTAAGAGTTAATATACTAGTTATATAGCTTTACAGCTATCTAAAGTAATAAATATATACTATACTATAAGTCTCTTTTATTATATCTTAAGAATCTCTACTATTTTATACTTAGTAATTAACTAAATTATATAAGCCTTTACTATTATATTATAAGAGTTTTTTAAGTAGCTAATATATACTTAACCTTAAAGATATAATATAATATACTATAATATATTATACTATACTTTACTATACTATACTATACTATAATATAATATACTATACTATAATATACTATACTATAATTTAATATAATAAAAAATATAGCTTATAATTTATATAGTACTAAATTAAGTAAGCTTAAAGTACTTTATTTATTATATACTTCTTTAGCTTTATAGTTAATAGTTAAGAGGTTTAGTATACTACTAAAATAACTACAGCTAGTATATACTCTAGCTTAATAGAGCTAGTTTATTACAAAATCTATATAAAAAGCTTATATAGTAGAGAGTTATCTAACTTAAGCTTATAAGGGAATATTCCTTAGAGAGTTAGAGCTATAAGTATAGAGAGAGCTATATTATAGTCTAAGCTATACTTAACCTTAAAGATGTAATGCAATATAGATACAACAAGACAATATAGCCTGTAACCTATATAGTGCTAGATAAATAAAAGTTAGGCAGCTTATTTATTATATTAGCTTAATAGCTAAGAGTTCAATACATTACTAAGATAACTGCAGCTAGCACCTGCTACAGCCTAATAGAGCTAGTCTATTATAGTAACTGTGTCCCACGCCTCTGAACGCTTAGACAAGCGTTACGTCTCTAACAATATTCCAAAATATAAAGATTAAGGCCTAGAGAACTTGGCAAGTAATCTCTTTTGTAGTTACTTAGTTCTTTTCGGCCTTGGCGGATAATCTAGAGACAGCTCGTCTGCCGATGTTTCCGATTCGTATGCAGCATTTAAAACTGTTCCTTGGCTGGTGACAATTGTTGTTCTGGTAGCCGATACATTACTTCCCAAGCCCGAGCCCGAACTATCCCCAGAGGTCAATATAGTTGGAGACGCTCTCTTATTCGCTTCATTGATTGCGCTGTCTCTTTGACGTTTGGCCCAGTCCCTACCATTCCGGAACGCAGCAGCCCCTCGCTGAAATGTATTGTAGTCACCAGCAACGCACCAGGAACCGATATGCGTCATTTGAAAGCCAGGTTGTCCACCAATAACCTCAGGCGGTGTAGGATGATTTGCATACATTTTAAGCTGGCCACCGTGGTATATAGAGGTCAGCGTATATGCATTATTGTCGTATTTTGGCTCTGACTGCTTGTATGACTGCAGCTGGTGAAGTCCTCTCGCCCCAAGGGCGCCATTATAGCATGCTTGCCGCAATGCAACTTGGAGACTGCCATCTATTCCCTTTGCTTCAAACAGAAAGTTTGGCACAGCAGGAAGGTCTTGCTGAGTAGAGGGCATGATGTAGTCGCCTAGCTCTTGACAGATAGTCCTGTGAAGCTGCTCAGGACGCGCGCCATGAAATAGATCGGGGTTTCCAGGCACAAGGGTTCCATCAGTTAAGTGCTTTAGGTTTGTAAATGGGATTTGGCCAGCAGCATATTCCTTGTCCCCAACACTTCCCGCAATAATAGGAACAACATTTGTAATGACTTCTCTCTCCTTATGTGCCTGGGCGTCAGTTTGCTGAAACTCGTTAAAGTCTTCGTTTGAGAACTTAGATGGCGATAGGGACGCTCTATCTTGGGCTAATGCCTGGCGGATCTCATCTATATTGTCAGGCTTTTGCGGTAACCGGCCATCTGGATACCTATAGTTATAGGGTAGAATGTTATGCTTAATAAGGTGGAGCTGGAACGCGCGATCGTACGGCCCGGTTCTTTTTGTGCTTTTCGTTTTCGGCGTCGGAGTACTCTTCTCTGCAGACTGCGAGCCTCTTTTGCGCCGCCCGAGACTTGACTGTCTGGAGCTCATATCGTTCTGCGGAGCCGGATCAACAGAATACTACTAGACGTTGGCATGTAATCTCTAGACGATAAAGAAGCCTCTTACTCACTCCTCTTAAATCGGTTAGGTCCGGGCCTCCGTGCCTTGCCAAGACCTTGATGCGCTTCAAGGACGTTGGAGAATGGCGATGGATGATTTGACAGGCGGGTTGATAACCAACACGAACGGAGTGTTGACGTTGGCCAAGTCGATTTCGCGTGGGCGGTTGCCCTGGCACGGGAGAGCCCTGGGTTCTCTGCTCGTCGAGTGCTCGAAGTGCGTTCCGGGTAAGAGGCACCGTCGACAATCCGTCCCAGAATTGTCTTGGGGGAAACTGAGGATGATAAAGCTTTCGCTTCTTCAACACCCGACAGTCCGGGTCGCCATCTGGTCGACGCTTAGTCGAGCCTGGACCGCTTGCTTGGCTGCACAGCGATAGCGGCGGAATCATCCTCACGGAGGGAAGTGCTGAACTTGTCGCTCTTGTGTAGCGTTCACGAAAGCTGAAGGTCAGAAAATGGGTCCGACCTTTGGTGTCATGAAGTACGGAGTACGGAGTAAGCAGGTCTCGAGTGGGGAATGGTAGCCCCACACTTGCGGGACACGGCCTGTTGCCTAGGCTCCGGAGCATTTCCTGGCCAATCACGGCTAAGCGCCGAACTCACCTGCAGCGATGCAAGCGCCTCGTTCCCTGCAATTGCCTTATCGCGAACCAAAGTCGTAAGTGTCGCACGGCACGGCATGCCCAACTGGGATTATGGCCACGCAAGCGCACGGAATTAGGATAATGCGCACACAGCCCTTTTTTGAGCGCGTTGACGAGAGCCCTGATGACCTGATTGATGATGTTGCAGCAAGGTTTTCACAGGTCTTTTCTATTAATGTTAAAAGCTTTAACAAAGGACCTAAAATACCAGCAATCACTACGTAAGAGGCGTCTCAAGCTATTAGATTTTTAAAGCTGTGGAACTGTTTCTATACCTGCTAAGGAATACCCTTACAGGCCACTACGTGTAAGCGTTACTAGTATTAACTAAAAGCTCAAGGAGAAAAGAGAGAGAGAAGGTTTCTCTCCTCTCTCTTTTCGTACTATCCCTGCAGGTTGTAATAGACTCGAGCTTATAGCTCGAGTATACATTAGGCACTGTGTTAGTGCCTTGCCGGATACTTTTTAGATGCGCATTAGAACCTATATATATATAATAGTATAAAAAAGAGGGCAGGGAACTTCTCCTTTTCTTTCTTCTCTCTCTAAGCTTGTAGTTAATACTAGTAACGCTTACATGCAGTCGCCTGTAAGGCCAGTCCTTAACACAGGACCTGATGTGCATCCAAAGAGTATCCGACGAGGCACTAACATGGTGCCTTGTGCAACTTAAGCTTATAGCTTGGCATCGTCTCTGAAGGTGTCCCCAGGTTCCTTTGAGCGCTTAATAGCTTGATCTAAGTCAAACGTACGCGATGTGATGCAGCAATGCCGGTCGAGTTGGAGAGAATCGCCACGAAGGGTCTTTAGTCGTCCTGTTGTGCCGACAAAAGTCTGGCCTCTAGCTCAGGTGCTCTGAGCGGCAGAATGATATGTCGCAGAGGGTTGCGGAGTATTTTTCGTAGGTTCCTTTACAAAATTAAACTTGGTCGCACAAAAGGCCCGCGCAAGTCTCGCGTGGTAAAAGGACGTTGTCAATCAAGTAATTAGCGAACCCAGTCAGCTTCCCTAGCAGGCCGTTCTCAGCCTCTTCGTTCGAGAAATCAATATCATTTAGTTGATTCATCGACAAGCCGAGGGCATGGAAGAAGGCCTCGAGAACATTGTTCTCGGATTTTTCGGGGGTCGCATGTTGTAAGTCAGGCCAAGTAATTTCGGACGGCTACATTGGCCGTTGGAGGATATAGATAGGTCTTTCCCGCAGTGTTCGACAATGTAGTGGATATTTTCTTTTGTCAGGGTACGGTCGTCATCTTCTACGAAAGCACTGGATCATAATCCACGTTCTGTTGACGACAGGCGTCCTCAACGGCTCGCGTCGCCGCTTTCAACAAAGGCTTTATACTGCTTCTGCACCCTGTCCAACAAGCCGTCGAACGGTTCCATATGAGCAATCTCCGGGTACAGCGGGAGATGTGGGTGACCCGAAGCCGAACCCGTGGGCAGTGTGCCCGGGGGAACGTGGCTGCCGCAAAGTACGCCTGCACTGCGGCGCTCAATTGCGTCATCTGGTTCGGCACGCTGGTGGCTTCTCTGTCTTCAAACTTATCCCCCGGCTGGAGGGGGATGCTGAGGAAGTACTCGGAGTATTCGACCGTCATCCATATGGCGTTGTACTGGTCCCTCGGGGCCCCTGTAGGGTGGTGTTTTGTCTGTGTGTAGCCCGTCACCTGGAAAGAGTCGACGTAGACGCCGCGGTAAGCATTTCCTTGCTTCACGATGGTGATGGAGTCGCCGGCGCGGCAAAAGTAGACGTCTCCGCGGGACACGAGCTTCGCGATTAAGCTGGACCGCAAGGCCTCGACGGCCAATTGCATGACCGTGTCGTAGGATATCGATACTGATCTGTGCTCGAAGAAGAAGTCGGTTTTGCCATTTGTGACGGTGAGCGGCATGATGACGAGTGCGGTTTCGCGAATCAGAGTTTTGTGACGTACAAAACTGCAACGGTAGAACCGCCCGCCTGCGGCAAAAGTGGTAGCCAGGCGCGAGTTATATAAAAAGGGGAGGTCAAGACGACGAAAGAGTGTAGAGCCTCAAAATGGAAGCGTCATGGCTTGTGTGACTGCTGAGCTTAAATGCCTAAATTAACGCGCTATACTTTGGTTCGTCGAAACCATGGTGCCGGGCTGACGTCTGATGCGTTAGAGTTTTTCAATTCTCGATGGTGACTGACTGCTCTCATACGCCTCGACGAGGCTGAAGCAGAGATGGCATTTACTTGGCAGCGTCGATCCATGCCAGCAACGGCTCATCCGCCAACGAGCGCAAAGTCTAGATGGCATCAGCTGCATAGACAGTACCAGACAGACGAATTTGTACACGGTTCAATAATCAAACAGCGTAATTCTTTATCGGCCATGCTTGCCGGCACTTTGTGAATGAGGAAACCTGGGAGGCATGCCAAGCTTGGACCGGACCAGCCGGACAGCTACTCGCTCGCCGTGCGCTTGGCTTTGAGGGGTGTTCTTCCACGGATTTCATGACGGCCTAGGAAATCCCCCAAGCACCAAGGACGTCTCCCCGGATCAAGCGACCGTCCCTTCCAACGCCACGTTGTAGCCGCCTGACTCGTCGCACAACAAGACCGACAGACAAAGGCCCCAGAATCGTACAAAGCACAATTTCCCACGTGACTACGAGGAAGATGTCAGAGCTGGTGTTGCTGTCTGAACTGGATGCGAATATCTTGTTGCTCTCCGCGAGGGATGAGATGAGGAAACCAATCTCCCCCCGCGCCGTCATTGCGCAGCCGATTATTGATGCTGGGTAGATAGACCGTGGCTTAGCCTCTGCTTCGGCTGTGTGAGAATCCCCAGCCTCTCGACTTGTCCTGTCAGCTACCCCGGGGGCAGGTGAAGAGGCCGCGGGCCTTTGGACAAGTTCTTGTGTTTGCTCCGGCGCGGGACCTGGTCGATTTACATGACGACGGCCCCAAAAATGCTTCGGTCCTAGTTTGGGTATCTTGAGCAGCTGCTTTCTCAACTTTGCGGGAACAGAAAATCGACATGAAAAACGGAGCAACCAGGCGCCGCAGGCTGCCTTGCTGAACATCATTAGCACTGTATATATTATACCCTTCCAAACAATGTGGCCAGAAAACATCTCCGTAATCGGTATGGAAAACCCGATAGACGCCTGCGCACAGGTGTTAGCCGGATAGTGCGTACGCTTGTAGACAACGTACAAAGAACAAAGGCCTCATAATCCGATCGACTGGTTCGAGGTAAAACATTTCATAGGTCTCCAGGCCAGATAAGCTCTGCGAGTCATTGTCTTGAATGGCCCTGCGAGTGTTTGTGCTTCCTTCGCCGTCCCGGGGCGTACGAGGCTCTGCGGTGCTTCCACTCGTGGACGAGTTCGATACCCGAGGTGAGCCGGCTTCGGCAAATTGAGACACTGAGTCCCACCAAGTGATGGAAACTCCGGCCAAGTAAGCAGCGAACAGATTGGATGTGCCGGCAAAGGAAGCAGCCGTCACGCAACCAACTAATATCAGCGTGTGGAGAAGGAGAGCAGTCTCGCGCGTCTTCAACGTTCGACCTAGAAAACCCAGGGGCTTCCGAGCCCGCTGGGAATTCAACCACAATGTTGCGGGACGCACCAAAGCCAGGCATGCCACCATGGCGAGAACAACAAAGGCCGATGACACCAACAGTGGCCTGACTGTGGCGACGGCACTGACACCGCCGCTGTTTTGACCGAGGTTCGAGATGATTTGAACCATGACCAGGCCGACCACATCGTCCATCATTGCGGCGGTACTCAGAACAACGCCGAGCCTTGATTTTGCGAGGCCAGAGGCGCTGAGAACAGTGAAGGTGGTGCCAAGGCTGGTTGAGCACAGAGCTGCTCCTGCAGCAAAGCATTGGATCGGTGTGGCATGCGTAAGATGTTGAAGGACAAATGATGAGCCGATAGGCAAGCCGATCCCCGTGATTGCCACGCATATAGAGAGAAGAAGATTGGCCTTGAGCGATTGGAGGGATGTTGACAGGCCACCTGTAGCCCCTTGTTAGTCGGGCACATCGTCGGTGGCGGAAAGAACCAAGCGAACCTTGGTAGACTAGAAGCAAAAGACCCAGGTAACCAAGCTGAACGACGACTCGTTCAACCTCGACGCCGAGCCACTTTGCACCGGGGGTCCCCCAGGCTATGCCGATAAAGACTTGACCCAAAAGACCGCAGTACACTGCCTTGTCCAGAACATAGTTGACAACATTTAGAACCAGGAAGAAGGACGACTGTGTCAAAATAGTCACAATACCGGGTTCGTGATATGGCAGGGAGGCGGTCTCGGCTAGTTGTTGCATGACGATAAGCATACATTGTTTCTGAAGGAGTCGAATATTCACGAAGAGAGGACCGTTGATGGCCAGGCGTCGTCATGCGAAGGCGATCACGTGATTGGCCGGTTTTCCAGTCGTGATAACGAACTTGGACCAAAAGAATTGTCTCAAGCGCCGGTGTTATCAGGATCGACGTCATACTCTGTGCCGCGCCCTCCTGAACAAGGCGTCTGGCTTCCGAGCATCTTTATTGGGACTTGACTGGATATGAAATGCAGAAATCAGGACGTGGCTCTCTCTTTGTTGCCACGAAACCACTCCTATTCCTAGCGTGTGGCTAGCAGACATGCGGATATTTGAATGATTTATCTGCCCTGGCCTTGACGCGGTTAGCCTGTCAAAAAGAGGGAGCCGGATTGCCCTCTCCGTTGGGGGTCCTAACAATTGTCACTGCATATTCTCAGTCCAACTTGATCAGGCGCTGCCACTTGCGTCCAGAGACACACTTTGACACAAATAGGACTTTTAATACCAATGCCTCCGACTTGGCTGTACACGTGTTAATTGTGGCAATGGGTTAAGCGGAAGATTACTCACTTACACGCCACCGTCGATCGTGTAGGTAACGCAGAGCTGTGCTTCATGTACGCGATCTCGACCATTGACAACGTCCAGTTTAACCTGTTTAAAAGTCTTGGCTTCAAATTGAAATGTAGAGAGTTAGTAGGCTATTGATATACCCAAATAATAGTTGGGGGAGTGCCGCCTTCAAAATCGATTTTATTGTTACTAGGCTCAGGGGCCATGGTAGATTCGCTTGCCATGTTTTGAGCAAGAATTCACGCTTGAAACCTAGAATTGTAAAAGTCGTCTGCTAGTGTAGAAGAGTTGAATTAAATTCACGATACGGCATGGAGAAGTCTGTTATTTGTATTTGCATCACGAGTCGCCATGTGTTGCACGAAAATATCGGTCAAGCTTCAACCACATGACTAGTTGCAGTGCACAAAGGTTGCAGCCGTCGTGATGCCCTCATAGGCCACTTACAGGCTCGGGCACCAAGGCAGCCTCTTGGTTGCCTAGTCAGGTTACACACGCAGGGGCCTTGTGTACATGTAGCCCTTACTGGTCGGGTCCATCAGATAGGGGAACCGGCCTTGGAGACTAAGCAATATTATATGTGAATATGAGTCATCTACTCCAAGCCCTAGTCTCCAAGACCAGCCCGACGTGTGTTGAAAATTTCCAATGTTGACAGCAAAAAGGTCTCGAGGTCGAGGAGAGCCCCGGACTTGCTTTCCTCCATCCACGGTTCTAGACAGGCAAATCAAAGGTCAACTGATGAAATTTTACGGGAACAGGCGCCAAACACGGCTTCGTAGCCCAAACCGATTCCTGTCTCCCTTTGTATTTGTGTCGTAATCTATTGATCGCCCTGCTTGTAGTCCGCCCACATGTACATGAGCTCTCCGCCACGCGCTTGGAAAGTCCTTGTGCATACATACTTGAGCGTGTCTCCAGAAAAACGCGCGGTGTCGGACCTATACACTCTGGAAACTGTACCACCATAGCCGATAAGTGCCCGTCTGCTTGACTAACGTGGCTAGAGCGAAGCCGAGCACAAACTGCATCTAACGTCCCAGCTGTAGACGGGCTGGAGAAGCTGCAAGACGTGGACAGTTCTGTAAACCAGTATATAGAGAGGTTGAATCTCCCTCTTCTACTCGCTCGCTGAATCTGCCCTTTTCATAACCTGGGTCGTGGCTATCTAGACTTGAGCATATTGCCACTGGGGTCTTAGAACCTTACAGCAGATATTCAAACTGGACCACACGAGTCAAGAACCCAAGAGTCGGGCCCGCGCCCTGCGGTCCCCAGCAGAACATGTCTATAAGAATGCCGTGTTGGAGCGATTTCGCGCGCACGCCGAGGGGCGAAGCACCCTTTGTATGTGTAGCATGTTCGTGTCTCTTTTACAGCAATTTTCTACATGGATTTTGCCGAGTAATACAAACAAGATTACAGTGTGCTCTTTATCAAACTAGCTACACCCCTCCATTGCCTCATTAGCAGGCAATTGCACGTCGAGCTGTTGTGCGTCACAAGCTTCGTGTCGAAATCCCTGTTCCAGCATCAAGACATGAAACCAGCCAGAAACACGTAGCGGAAAGGAGACTATTCGCCAATTCTAGTAACCAACTACAAAGCCCGTTGGATTTACCATCACGTCTTGATAATCCTGGCAGTCTGGGTTGTCCCAGAAAAATCAGCGTAAAGCAACCGACGCTAGATTGGACACGACCAAATTAAAACACAAGCATGTCAAGTTGAGCGCAGCAGCTAGCGCCCAGGGTCAGAGTTGGACAGAACAAGGTCCGGCAAGGACGGGACTTGCCTGGGGTGACTGTGTGGGCGGCAACGGCATGATATAGCTTTTCAATACTTGGGACAGAGGCATCAGAAGAGGCACTAGACACTCGGCCACGGCTACGGCTGGGGCTGGTGATGCCAAGAAGATGCAACAAAATACTTGGATAAGCTCAACTTATATCCGACACATCTGGATATTTACCAACCACCATCTGTCTGCGCAACAAGTGACGCAAGGTAAGCGGGAAAAACTACACGACAAGCTCTGCATAGGACCTAGCCACGGAGCACGACATGTGCCGCCGACTTGGTAACCGAGAGCACATTGCGTTCCGAAGCGAGGAGATTTGCATCCGCGCCCGACACGACTGCCCTGGCGCCTCTGTGACGGTCCTCACAGCGGGAGCAGCTGGCATATCTTTGAGAGCGCCCTCTGCAGAGCTCGAGGCCTTGGCTCCCCGGTCTTCGGCGAGGCTTTGCTCCCAGCATGCTCCGACGCATGGGACCAGGTGGCCTCGGTATAGTCGTCGCGGCCGCGGTCGCAGTTCGTGAGGCCGTGGTGAGCGTACTGCGTGCTCGCCAGCACGACGTTCCACATAGCACCGCACTTCCACATGACGAGCATGAGGCGCCACATGAGGCGTATCTTCTGCGAGTGCTTGCGGGACAAGCAAGCCTCCAGGACGTCGGCGCAGTACGTGGCCTCGACGGGCAGGCGGGAGTCCTTGCCGTCCGCAAAGTCCAGCACGGGGCGTACGAGACGCCCAACGACGCCCTGGACATCCTGGAAGCCGGCCGCCTCGATGCGGTCCAGCTCGGCCCTCTGGCTGTCCATGACGGGCTGGCCCGTCTCGTACTTCAGGCCGTTCTGGCTCGTGAAGGTGCTGAACGAAGGCGCCGAGAAGAGCGGCTCCGGGCACACGGCGTGCTCTGGCGACGGCGCCACCCTGCTCATGAGGGCGACCGTTCTGTGTCGCAGGTTGTCCAGCTGCCACCAGTGCGTGAACAGTATCGCCAGCGCCCCCGTGTTGAAGGCGTCGTGTTCCGCGTACCACTCGACCGCCGCTATGACGCCGACGTAGACGCGCCACATGGCCCCGAGCGACAGATGGCCGCCGGTCAGAGAAGGAATCATGTTGCTGATCTCGCCGCACGAGATGTCCGGTCCAATGTCAATCAGGTCGTGGACGGCGCAGCCCGTTCCCACCATGGCCAGGCTGGCCTCGTCGCCGGGGCAGTCGTACCACACGTGGCAGAAGACGGCGTCGGCCAGCCTGTATCGTGCCAGGGCGGCCAGGTCATCCCAGATGGCGACGCACGGCCTTGACCGGAGATGCCGCCTTGAATCTTCCAGGGCCGCCTTGGCCTTGAGGGCCGTGAAGTTGCACCCTACCACCGTGACAATGTCCAGCAAGTGCTCGTTCAGCTCGGCGTTTCCGGTATCGTGCCCGCGCACGACGGCAAACGCATTGCTGATCTTCTCGGCGAGGTGCTTGTTGAAGCTGCCCGTCGAGTAGTCGAACATGAAGGAGGAGTCCATCAGAGCCCAGAGCCCGGATATGCTGCCGCCGTAGACGCCTCTGTCGTAGCCCAAGGCCATGGCAAACAAGCTCGTATTGCGCATGCCTCCCTTGAGGCGTTCGCGGTCGCAGAGTGCGTCGTACGCCTCCGTAGGACAGGTAGCATAGCCGCTGAGCTTGGGAGGCAGCGGCCCTCGAAGGGGCAGCTTCGGAAACGAAGCAGCCCGCGTGGACGTCCTCAGCCCGCCTACCTGGGTGTCCAGCCCGGACGCCATGGTCGCGTCTCTCATCTCGAGGAGCTTGGCGGCAGTTTGGTACAGCTCCACGCTGCACATGACGTTGCTCAGCACTCGAGCGTTGCGAAGCAGTCCTACAGAGAACATCTGGTGGGCAAGCTCATCCTGTGGACACCCCAAGATGGGAACGTGACCCTGGTATCTGAATATGCCCTCCTCCACGCCGGCTCCATCTGTGTGAGGATGGTATATCTGCACGGCCGACGCCTCCGTCTTCTCTGCACGAGCCATGCATTGCATCTCGGCTCTCTTCAACGTCCAGGCTGCTGCCGACGCGGCATGGGAGATGGTGCCTGGCAGCTTGCGTACCGCCGTGGACACCCAATGCTCCACGACAACGAAGCCAGGCGCAGGCGGCGCGTCCAGCAGCTTGGAGAGGTTGGTAGTCGACACATGGGTGACCGTGTCCGTGTTCCTACTCTGCTGTCTAGCAAACCACTGGCTAGGCAGCTCAATGGCATCCCAGGCTGGCGAGCGGCTGCAACCGCCGCAGTGCTGCGTCCCCGGAAAGAGAACTTGTGGTGCAAAGGGCTCTGCTGATTCTTTTTCCTCTGTGCCCGTCGGGCTCCGGCTCCATGACTTGGAAACACGGGCCGCCGCCTCCTCTGCCTGAGATACGATTTTCCGAAGCTGCTCGGCACAACCTTCCTCTGCGGTCTCGCAAGACCCTCCGCATTTGAATGATCTGCCGATGGGGGTTGCTGCAGGAGTATGATGTGCATTCCGGACTGCCCTGGCAAACGTTTCCGAGTCGTCACACTCTATGTCATCCAAGAAGACTGCCTGCTGTCGGTTCAAGTTGGAAATGCTTCCCCCTGTCGCAAGGGCTGGCAAGTACCAGTCTTTGCTCTCATATGTGAGCTCCATATCTAACTTTGGCGCAGCCATGCGAGACAGTCGAGCAGTGTAGTTATTTGTCTCTCGACAACGTGGAGAGGAGCGTCAATTCTTCGAGTGAGCAAAAACAAGACGTGCAACTTTTTGCAAAGCAAGTCTATGGAGATATGAGTATCATATACGGCGTGGAGTCATGACTTACAGACGGACCTCTTATGCAAAATCGTACAAGTAGGGCCGGCCTACACACGCATACACATCAACGGAAAGTCATGGCTCACGGCACCCGATCTGACGTTGTGAGACACGAGGCCATACTGAGGTCGGCAACGGTTCAAATAGTGTGAGTCTGTTCTGTTGTGACACCTGACAGAAAGCACAGCGTTCCCTCCTGTCGATGCAATCAACAGCTGAGAATGCCGTTGCCGGTCTCACTATTGTCTCGACTTCTGGACACATTACTCGTCACATCAGATGCTGTGTGGGCACCTGTGAGACATCCTATCCTGTTGGAAAGTAATGATACGCTTGCATGGAGAGACAGAGAGCCCTATCTAGTAGCGCCGTGATGGTTGATGAGCCGTCGGCAGCCGACGTATATGCGAGGCGTCGGTTCGTGGGCTGATATTCCACCTTTCTGTCGAGGTAGCCTAGGGGACGGAGCGAACTCCGCCAAACATGCTGTGGGACCGGACTGCACGAATACCGAATTGCAAGATGTAGTGAAGCTTGGGGATGCCTCTCAAGTGGGCTCGCACGCAGCGTGCCCTGAACTCGGGACAGCAAAGAGCCCGCCGTTTCTTTGTACGGACAAGCTATGTCTTGGATCCGTATATGACCGAGCCGTTCAGCCTTTCTGCCGTTGAATCCAGCCCAATCCACCGAGACAGGTCGTGACAGATGCGGTAGCCACGCAGTGATATCGGTGAGCGAGACGAGTGACTTCCGGCTATTGGTGCGGCCAGAGCCTCACGAGGTGTTGGACCAAGGTTCGGAGAAGCGTGGAAGGGGGCAGGATTGCCCCCAGCTGCAGTATATATTGCAGCAAAGCTTCCCCTCGGGAGAAGGGAGAAGATGATCCGTGAGCTCCCCAAGCACACTCGCTCTTGCCACCAAATCAAGTCTCTGCACACGACACTCTCCGTGAACCCCCATCTGACGTGCTCTTGACCATGAAGCTTTCAATCATTCTCTTCTCAATCCTTCCGGGGCTTGGAATGGCCGGCGCAGCGGCAAACGAGAACTTGAAACGCCAGGATTGTCCTCGTGGCGTCGATGGGGCGCTCAACGCTGGTGTTACGGCTGTCCGGATGGCCTTCGGAATGGGCGGGGCCCCAGAACGCCTAAACGAGGCCTTGAGCAGGGGCGAGGAGTGCTTTAGAGAGGTCGTGGGCTGCTGAATGCCGAGCCAACGACCGAGGTTCGCTGAAGGAAGTCTTGTTAGCTTCGGCCGTTGTATGGAGTTCTCTCTCGGGAGTTTAAGCTCGGCCGGCCGCTAGCGGGTTCATGTGCCTAATCTATGTCGGCAATGAGATTTGGAGGAATGTGGACATGTACCTACCAGAATGAATCAGAGAACAAAGGTCATGATATACATTGTTCCGGTTCTCCGTGGCATTAAAAGTCGTCGATTGGTTGATTGTGCCGCACCGAGGTCCGGCCCAACCAATAGCCTCGCCTGTTTCGCCAACCTGACAAAGCATTCGAGAGGCAGAGCCCAAGGCTGAAGACATTTTCTCCGTGTTTGTGCGCTTCCAAAAGACGATCTGAAAATGCCTGACCTCCATGCGTGCTCACACGATCAACTCCACCTCTGCCGCCTGCAGAACGTGCGGTGTCTGGTGTCAGCAGCAAGCAAGACATCAGCTCCCAGTCCACCGTTCGCTTGTCCAAATAACGCAATCATCTCGGCGAGGTGCGCTCGGCTGCCGTGTTTCTGATGCTGCGGATCGAGCCCAGTCTATCGTCGGCCCATTTTCCCGTCCCGCACCTGTGTGTATTATTTGACACCCTGTATGCAGAAAGAGGCTGATACGAGAGCATCTCACTCAACATGACGAGCCAACCAGACGGTTGAGTTGGCTCCAAATCCCAGCTAGCCAACAATCTAGCCAATGTGGACCGCATAATAGCGTGATGCCATGTAGTCGGGGAAGACTTCTTCCTCGATCTTGTCGCACTTGAGGCTTGACGTCCCCCGTGGCCGTCAATGCTCAAGTCTGTCGGTAAAACCGTCGATTGCCATCATCAGCATGGAATTTCTCGCTCTCACAACCATCTGATAGCCACAGCTCGTTTTTTTTCCATCACGACCAAAACCCTCATAAAGTGGCTGGGTCGTTCCACTGATAAGCTCCCCAAGAATTTCAAGCCGGCCACGAACCCATCGCATATATGGGATGGAACTGGAAGTTTCAAGCTGGGTAATCGCCGGGAATGCTCAACAGCCGCCCAGCTGCATGACTGCTGAATTGCGCACCACTGGTGCGGTAGTATGCAATGCTTGCCAAGGCATGTCTCAAGTATAGCTGAGGGAGGCTCGACGTGGCTCAGCTACGCGGTATCTTGTAAGGCGCGCATCCCAACAAGGGGTATGGGCCCTGGAACTATTCGTTTTGGCAGCGGTTTTGCAAAAAGTCGTTGAACAGGTGAGCTCTGACATGTTACGATGCAACAACCGACTTGACTACAAAAAGCGGAGGCCAACCCTTTCGCAAGGTTAGCTGTCGTCTTGGTATATCATCCGGAAGCTAGCTCTTGCTACCTTGCACGACTCGTATCTAATGCTGCCATGCTCTGGGATGGAGATACACCAAGTATGCAGTGATACATGTTGGGCTAAAAAGCTACATCTGGCTGCCGCAGCTCCATCAGAGAGCTTATTGTATTCTAGTAAGCGCCTGCCGCCGGACCCAACGCGACCTGCAAGTTGTATGAATATATTAGAATGGCCCGTACTGCCACTCCGTTATACAAGGGCTATTACAACGAGACCTAGGGCATAAATCACACTGGAGATATGAAGTCTTTGTGTACCAAGAATGTTGCCGAGACAAAGGACTTTGAAAACCAAAGTGTGTTATTACGGTTAGATTGAGCTACTGCTCCAAGCTTTGTTACGACCGACAGCCCTTGCCTAAATAGAGGGGAACTCATCAACTTCATGTATTCACTGAGCGCATAGAATAGAAGGAGAGTGTCATGTCACTGGGGGAATAAAACACCTCGGCCACAACATGAAGCATTGTCAAGCTGCGCAAATGGACAACTTTGTTGCCGCCCAAGTCCAATTTTCTTGGTTAACTCAACCAATGCGTGACGCGACAACATGTCATTGTAGTCCTCGATGGCTACACACTAGCAAAAATCAATTCCATGTATATGCTGCCCTGGGGCATTTCAACGCCAAACGCCACATCATGACTGAATCTTTCCCAGACCCTTGTCCAAATCGTAAAACATGCCATGCCCTTTGCCGTTGCCGCTGACCTCTATGCTCCCCCTGACGTTTACAGCTGCACCTCGTTCAAAATGCGCACCTCCTCACCCGGCTTGAATGCTGGTAGCCCGATGAATGGGCATGTCGAGCACCTGAACGCATCCCCTAGTGAGCAGTTGTTGCACGAGCCCGTCTTGCCCTTGACTGTGAAATCCAATTCATTGAGGTCGTTTGCGTCCAGCCTGATGGCTTCAAGGCCAGCGTTGGCTTGCGATCGGCGCTCCTTCTCTTCTGCTTCGAATTTGGCGGCCAGTCCGCAAGTGCAATCTTTGCAGGGCCGGCGGCGCTTTTGGGGTTGGCACTCGGTTGCTGCTCGAGGTTAGCAGTGTCGCTTTGATGGTTGTAGTATGTCGTGAGCACATACGCGCTTTGGGTCGCCTCTTGAGATCTTCTTCGTCTAACAAATTATCCTCATCAATCAACTCATCATCGTCGTCATCATCCAATTTGCTAAAGTCAAACTTCTGGACTGGTGCGGGCGTCTTCTTCTTGCCGAAGCGCAAAGGTATGACGACCGCCTCCTCCTCCTGCTTCTCGAATCCACCATCCGTGGCAACAAGGCCCGAGAGAACGGCCTCCCTGGACTCGGTCGCGCCCAGCTCACCGCCCTGAAACTGCAATTTGCCGCCGACCCTCATGGCGGGGACCAGCGAGGCAAATAGGTGGCGGTTTAGCAACTGAGCAGTCTCGGCGGCCCGTGAGCCATCGGCGTCGGTGAGAACGAGAACTAGGTCGTACGTAGTGGCGGGTAGAGACACGAAGCCGGCGGACAGTCGATCGAGCATCTGTAGATCGGTGTTGGCACGGTCAAAGGTGGTGAAGACTTGACGTAGCTTCTCCTCGTGAGCGGCGACAGATGGTGGGGCGAGAAGAAGATTGCGCTTCGCAGAGGTCGCAGCCGCGGAGGGGACGGGTGCAAAATCGTCCGTGGGGTCGATGAAAACTGGGTGAGGCGCCATGATACGAGGCCAGGTGCTATCGCTGTGAGAATAATGGGGTTGCAGGGCGATGCTGGAGATTAACTTGGAACTGGAAGCGTCTGTGCCGGGGTGTTGGTCGTTGATGACGACTTTTTCTGCCAAGCCGACGTCGGCAACTAATTAGTCAGGCAGCATTTATAATCGCCCCTTGGTCGGGTCTCTGATTGGCAGGCTCGGCCAGGGTCGGCCAGGGTCGGTGGCTGAAGTCCTCGGGTGGCTCCTTCCCTCACCAGAAGAGGCCCGCCCGCCTTGTCCTTGGTTGACGAGTCTTCGCTCTTCTGTTTGTCATCAAGTCATCGATAACCTTGCATGAGTCCACGACGGCAAGGTCGCACGGCCTTGTTGCCAACCCGATCTCGCCGGGCAGCCAGGGGACGGAGCATGCCGGCACCAAGTCTGTAAATTTGCCCGGAGTGCCTCGTGTGAAGAAACCCGGACAGTTGACTGCGGCTAACTTTTGCTCTTCATTAAGGCGGGCCACGTCGACGGAAGCCAATGCATCGACCGCCGATTGCGAGAGTACAAGTCCGAAACAGAACTGCGCCGTTTGCGACGCTATTATTCATGGTGATGGAATTCCTGCTCAGAAATGTTTCCGTTGGTTACTTCATACTATACCAGTCACCAAATTCAGCTCGCCCACCTACATCAATGGAAAGTAATTGGCGAGTCTCGTGTCCTCTATCTGTTCTTGTGTTTGGAACGGTCTAGTTTCTTATTTCCATTACGCCTATGATCAACATTGCTGTGATCCATGACGATCTTATCCGTAGATAATAACTGTTTTAGAGATTATTTTAGCCCGTTGAAAAAGTTCTTGTCGGACTTGAAGCTTCTGATGTCCGTAGATGAGCTATATATACCGGTCAGCAGTACTTTAACTAGCCGCGTTCGGTGTCGTTTCCCTTGCTAGCTGATGGAGTCATAGGCTCTAATATCAAGGATAATCCGGGCCTGTGGTGATTACAACCACTTCTTAGAAGACCAGTTTGATGTCTACCCATGGCATCATCTTGATGTATAGCATTACAGCGGCCAATATGGACATGCTAGCCATTTTTCACGACAATGACGACCATGCACTCTGTAAAGCAGCAGGATTCGGTACCTAGTTCCACGAGCCGTTTCTGAATTTAACTGTTCTAGGCTATTGACTCTTGCTGTTGACGATGGTTCGGAATGTGTCAAAGTCCAGTTGCGCCTGGAGGGCACCTTACTGGGGATGCCTGTCAATGCCTGAAATCAGATACATATGTGTTTGTGTTATCGACTGGCGTTCTGTGATTGACAGCAGCATCTATGCCATGATAATATGTTCGAACTGCGTTTGTGGAACGATGCTACTCCGGCTCCCATTGGTTCGAGACCCCTGCCTTGTTCGCGACCGCCTTCCGCTCCTTGTGTGGCCTCCTGACAAGATATTGAAACTTTCTTACAGCAACAGTCAGGCTCAAGATGCTCGGACTTTAGCATCCCGGTACCTCATTTGCAATGGCATTGTTCGGTGTCGCGCAGCCTCGCATAGATGATGAGCGTAACCAATTCATCGAGGCGGTAAGCAAACGCGAAAACGACATCCGGCAACTGGCAACCGCCCATCATCCGAATGCCTTGCCATGCGAGTTGTTTCCTCCGCCAGGATCGAGCCACCTTGTGAGGCGCGGGACTTTCAACATCTGCTTCTTCGTACGGTTTCGAACTGGCGAAAGATGGGTCGTTCGAATCCCAATGCGACCATGCCTGGCCGTCTCCGCACAAAGCAAACTAGAGAGCGAGATTGCTACCATGTCGTAAGCTCCCTCCATCTTCCTGTATTCTTTGTCGATGTGCTGACTGGTAGCAGACTTGTAGCAGAAAGAACGACGATTCCCGTTCCCAACATTATTGCGTATTCACTAGCCGAAACGTCCGATCCTTTGTCAACATACATTATTATGGAGTACGTTGACGGCGGGACTCTTTCCATACAAAGGCTGCAGAGTGCTACGGCCGCGCAGAGGGACAACTTGTACAAATCCCTGGCTCAAGTCTACATACAGCTCAGGCGACTGGAATTTCCCGCCATTGGAAGGCTCGCTTCAAGTCCTCGAGGGTTTCAAGTATGCCGAAGAGCCTTGACTATAGACGTGAATGGCCTGCAGATCGAGGGGCTTAACCCATTTGCTACACAAGCATCGTATCACGCCGGAAATGACACCCTAGATTCAGCAAATGAGTACATCGCCATGAGATTGCAAATCAGCTGGAACGCCTTTCTAAACAGCAGAAACAACATTGAACCAGGCATGGCCGCTAGTGTTCTATATCATCTACAATTATTCTGTAAACATGTCGAGAAGTGGAAAGATGCCACGCTCGATCGAGGTCCCTTTGTCTTGGCCCATGGCGACCTGGGACCGCAGAATCTGATAGTCGATGACAGCTTAGAAATCCGGGCCGTCATTGATTGGGAATGGAGCCGCGTGATACCCCTTCAACTTTTCACGCCCCCGCTATGGCTGACGGGTCGAGACAACCGTTTCGTCACTGCACCCAAGTCATATAAATTCTATCTGACGATTGCCTTGTCGCATTTCCTCGAAGCCGTCAAGACACAAGAGCTGAGCACGTTTAACCAAGATCGGCTCTTTCAGGAGTGGACCTCGAGAAAGGACAATGCCGAGCCCCTTGTGGCCAATGCATTAGAGAACTGGACTGATATTGACTGGTTCGCCTACTTATATCTAAGCCGGGGAGACGATGACAAGTTAGAGGAGGAAGTCAGATCCTTTATTGAAGCTGACCCTATTCGGAGCCTCATCACTCGCATGAAAGAGGACGATGCTGCCGCATACGCGGAGGGGATGCCTCCGCATAGAAATGAGAAAGCGTGCCACGATGCACCTCGAGTGCGTGCTGCAATCTCAAGGTTAGCCGGCTGGCTCTCGTTGAGTCACAGGGAGCTGCATGCAACACAACGTTTACCGCTTTTTGCCGGGGCAAGCATTGCTTTCTTCGGTGGACTATTACTAGGGAGAAAACTGCACGTCATCCCCAGGCTTGCAACAAGTTTATCTCTGCTTGTATCCCGTCTTGTCTCTGCTTCAGTTTATCCTTTTATGTGTGTGCTTTAAGGCTAATAAGAGCTTCCTATATATAATAGTGCCTGTGTGTGTAACCTATCTAGGCAGCTAAGGGGTGATGCCCTTTGTGCCTTATTGCCTTGTTGCCTAAGCCTAATAGTAGCCTATAAGAGCATCGTGATAGCTGCATCCTTTGTGCATTGCAGCTAGCTATGTGGTTGAGGCTTTTCCGTCAACAATACAGCTCTCCGCTACGCTTTGCGTTTTTTTTATCTACTTAGCACGTATTATTTTTGTGCTTGTGAAATGCTGTACGGTGCGCCTAGGCTTCCTCGATGTCCTGGCGGCCCAGCTCATGAAAATGCACGCAGGCACTGTTAAATAGCAGAAGGTATAGTCCCAATCGTAGTCAAGTTCTTAAGGAGATATTCTTGGTAAAAACGCATCCTCAGCCGTTGTATAGTTCTCCAAAATATTACCCACTCGTAATTACTCGCTCGCTCCAACAGGCACTTGATGGCTATGATGATCAATCTGGATCGCTCTACAGCCCTCTTGGACAAGTCGGCACTGAAAGTGTTAGGCTCAACTGATGATACTGTACGACCTGTAATGCTAGTTGTGGGCATTAGATGTTATTGATGCTTGCTTCTTCTGGGTTTCTATGATTAAGTCCACCCCGTAATGATGCCCCTCATTTGCCTAGGTCATAACTATGACTCACTCTACTTCCCCCCCTAACAGACCCCGGCGGGCTGATGCAGGTGAAGATGCGTATAAACCTGGCCTTCTAGGGACTAGGGGTACAGCAATGCGTTTATCCTGTCCCGTCTTACTGTCGAGGTAGTGTCTTGTTGCTACTCTGGCGGTTGGATTAGCAGGGATTAGTGTAAGTTCACGTGGAATAGAGGCAATTTGCGCCAGCTGCTGACAGGGGATCGGCGACTTTGCTAGGCTGTTTTTAGGTGGTCTACAATTAGGACAGAAATAGGATGTGGATATCAAACAGATGACAATGAGGAAGGGCGTAGGGACGAAAGCACGCGTTCGCTGCTGCCATCTTAACCAAGACCATGGCTTCTAACGGAGCAAGAGACCATCTCAGGCCACGAGCTTAGGAAATATAGGTCACCATGAAAGTGACGCCGCTATGGACAAGCGAATGGCCAGTACATTCAAGGGTAGCATCGACCTGAGCTTTGCGACTGATTACATGTTCTTTTTTCGAAGTTGATCCTGTAAAAAGAAAGCCAACCGTCGTGATTCGCGACCAATAGCCTCTGACCATCACGATGGTCACCCAACACCTGATTTCTTCTCAACCCCCTAGTCCGTAGAGTCATGTTGCCGTATCAGTTTCGCAACCACGCCGTTCCACTTTGCTCGAGTTGCACGCCCCCGGGACGGTCGGCTGGCTTACGCGCGACCTGCAGGCTGCAGCGAGGCATCTCCCCGTTTGATGCAGGCGTGAGGGGGCGCATTCTGCCAAGAGTGGTCGGTTGCATTGCGCCGTGTCGGGCCAGCGCTTCCACGCAGTCTGGTCGTCCCAGAAATCAAGCACGGGCGGGCCTCTCGTTGTAGTCCTTCACGTTGATACGAGCCTTCCCTTTTGTGTTACACGGCGCGGAATAGTCCTTCCAACTTACCGAAGGGTAATTGTGCACAAGTACGAAGTTGTTGTTCGAAGCGTTCGTAACCTGGGGGATCAGCAAGTGGAGACTCGCTTCTGCACTCGCGGCTTAAAGTGGGTCGCGAGGGCCGTATAAATAAATAGGACGTCGAGCCGCCGGGCGACCGACTGGACACTTTGCCCCGACATTCTTGGTCTTTTTTCATTTTGGCAACATCAATCCCGCACAGTCAGCTCGAGGACTCTGTTCAACAGGCTGACTGGCAAGCAGTATATGCCAGTCCACGGGGCAGCCACCACTCTCGCGCATCTGGGGTCAGGTGATTACGTGTTCAATTAATAGGGCTACACGTACGTACGTACGCGTGGGACGCGTTAGCTTTGTTGGCGACGAGCAGTCATCTATTGTTGCGCACAATGGAAAACACGCCGGAGCAACCCAATTTCGCCCGGGCTGCCGATGCACTCCACGTACTGGCCCGGGAGGTACAGCTGCGTCCTAATATTCCAGCGGTTCGGGAGGCGGATAGACTCGACATGATTGTCAATGAGTTGGGGGCCTTACGACGCATATTGGAGGTTAGCCTTGGCGCCATCAATGGGAGACTTGATGCGTTCGGCGAGAGACTTGATGCGTACGGCGAGAGACTCGATGCGTTCGGCGAGAGACTTAATGCGTTGGGGCGGTCAAACAGGGTGACGTAAGTCCTGTGCTTTCTGCCAGTAACGGTTCGTGATGCCGGCTAATGTACTTTTTCTGGCTAGTCAACTGAATGCTCCTATCTTGGTGTACAACAGCCACATTCGTCACCAGGGAGTGAAGCTATGGCCGTTGTATAGCCCTACATCAGGTGAATTGCTCGAGGAAACGTCAGTGACGCTTGAGGAACTTGATAATATGCCTAGTGAGTGACCAAGCGCTAATCAGAGTGTCTTGAGCTCTTGGGTACTAATTTCGTCGACAAATAGTCGCCCGCGTGACTGACCTGTTGCAACAATTCGGCTTTTCATCGCGAATGAGTGCGACCGTGAAGAGGCATCGTCTCAAGCTTAGCCTTGGTATCTTTCAGTCAGACATGCAAACACCTCCACGGGACAATGAAGAGTTCTATCAATTGAGGTTATGAAAATAGCGTTAATTTGCTTTTTAGGGCATATGCTCTAGTGAGGTTATGTTTTGGTCTTAAGCTACGCTCGGCCTACCTCTTTGTTGACTAGCTATGTTGTGTTAAATAAGCGAGCAGACAGACAGCTTTTGTTAGTCTATAAATATACTTTCAGCTCTTATATTTATTCTAATTTATATTCTATTATATAGTATATTTTATTTTTATATAATATATTATAAATATATTATAAAGTACTAAATAAAGTAAATTATAATACTAAAATTTTATTATTAAAATACTTCTATTATACTATTATATACTAATATATACTATAAATATCTTTATCTTTCTTATATTAATAAGTAGTATATATTATAATATATATATATATATATATACTAGTAGTCTCTACTATAGCTAAGTAAAACAAGAGAAATATATACGCTTTTATATCTACAAAGTGCTACAGTAAAAAGCCAACCAACTAAGTATCTGCCGACATAGTTGACGTATTTCCTCAGGAGCACACAGTTCCCGCCACCCTAATGCCCTACCAACAGTGAGTGAAAAGCACGAACAATATTCAATCGCGAACAAGGTTTCCGCGATGCGTTTCGTAAGGCAGAGACTCTCGAGTCTCGACTGTAGTTGTGCCACGGGTGTACGCCTACCAAGGTCCTGGGTCGCAGCTCGCCACCAATGCCGGCGCCATCTACATGCTCATAGAGGTCTTTCGAGGGAACACAATGCAAGATCTTGTGCCAGACCTTTGTGAATTGCCTATCAGTGCGCCCTTCTCCTGTTACCGTTAACAATTCTAACGAGGCGTAGTTGGCAAAACTAGAGCACGTTATAGCCCAGTGGACAACGATTAAACGTCTCTAGCGACCTTAACAAGTCCACCGATTGGGTCTACATCCGGAATTACGAAAACAGGGGAGCTAGAAATCGAGAAGCTATCTTCTGCTGTATCTGAATGTTTCATGTCACAAGGACCTTTCTCTGAGGCTATTGAGTACTTCACAGCCCTTGAGAAAGCAGCTTTGTACCGGGCGGGTGCCATGAGGCAGTCACGGTCAAAATCTGTCGCACTTCCGCAAACTGGGTGCGTTTAGTTTTCCTAGACATAGTGCAGTCTACGGCATTCTTTCAGGGGCCTCACACACGATATCTGCTTGACCACATGGACCTTGGCGCACAGAATATCATAGTCGATGATGATTTGAACTTCTTAGCCGTCATTGATCGTGAATTCGCGAGATAGTACGTTTGGCGTTTTATTTTAGGGAATTGCTACACGGGCATGACACTTTGGCTACACGGGCATGACTCTTACACGGGCATGACTTTTACCACTTCTGATTGGTCGCATACTTTCTTGGCCCCACAGATACTTCCTCGGAAAGGCGGTGTAGCCAACTTCACTAACAAGCTCCTACATCACCATGAATTGCAGTCACTTATCGTTGTGGGCGCGATTGGTCTTCTGCTATCTTGCAAGCCTGCATTTCGGATTAAACTACCGTCCTTGTACTGTTAGCCAGTAACTGTCAAATACTGGCAAAAGACGTGATGTGGTCTACTTAATTTATTGCCTCACAACGATACAATCTGGATCTTCGTCATCACTCTTAGCCAGTTCCCATTGACTCCTTGTCCTGCGAATGTTTCGTTGCGTCCTCCGTCCACTGTACCGCACGCCTGTCGTATTCCCAGCATTTAGGACTTTAGAAGGTCTACCTGGCCCTTGCTGGGCTGAGATGCCAATTTGGCCACCAGTTTGTGTGATGGTTTCTCGAGTAGCTTTATGCACTCTCCTAGCAAGAGTTGGCTTATTGAGACTTCCTGGCGGTCGACCTCGTCGCCCACTTGGTTGATTATCAGATCGGCTACTTGATGTAATAGCTAGGCTTTCTGGGATAACCTGCGCTGTATTCTTTGGCCTTCCACGTAGTGCAGTGGCAACTTTCGGGTCAAGAATTCGTCGGTATGGATCTTGAGATGCCGATTCCCGTAGTCGCCAGCGTGGGTGGACCTCCCATTTAGTGAAACGTGTGTCAGAATCTAGCTTTGCGTAGACTTTATGATAGCATGGGATTCCCAGCTCAATAGAGACCGTACAGTCGTCGTCGCAAAGTCCAATAGAGTCGGGGAAGGGATTCTTCCCCGTCGGCAGAAATTTGCGAGCAATACAGTATTGCTTGTTGATTAACCCAAGTCCTTTCGATGACATGGTTGTTCGTAGTTCACCAAGATAGTTTCCCATCGAACCTAGGTATTGTGGAGCAGTCAGGACATCATCCTGTCCACAGGCATCCTTAAAGGCACGTTCTTGGTCATGTATCATATCCTGCATTGCCTCGACGAGTCGGTAGAGGTGGCTCATGCCATTTAATAGATAGCTTTTGATATTATTGTTGCTTGCTTCTGTGCCGGACGTAACTCGGATTCCGAAGTTACGATAACGACGGATAAAGCAACGTGCCCATTGAGCACTAACAGGCATATAAGTCGAGTAGAGGTATTGTAAGATCGCTCGTTGGTCGTCGAACTCTTTACAAAGATCTCTCCATGCCTGCTCAAACGCTTCCTCAGTCTCGGCATAGAGAACCTTTTTCCACATTAAAACAACGCCTTGGTAAGTATGAGGAATCTTATCACTACTCGACCGATCTTCGATCAGATGCTTATCTGTAGTGCTCAACCCGCCATCCGCCTGTGAGGGAATGTCTTCACTGTCACTAGCGCTAGGGCTAGTAGTACTGTCCTCACGTTGGCCCGTCCACCTAGTCTTCGATTTAAGCAAAACGTTTGAAAGGATATGATGAATACAAAGCTGTTGCTGTGCATTTGGAAACTGATCATTAACGGCAGCTTTCATAGCCTTGTCGAAGTCTGTGATGATGACATCTGGTTCCCTGAGTGAGTGTTTTGTAATGAGCTTGCGAACACTCTCTGCAAGGAATTGGAACCCCTCCCTCCTCTCGTTATCTATTAAGCCAAATGCAGCATTGAACACAGTTCCAAGACAGGTTTGGCCAGTAGCCTGGAATAAAGGAAGCTTGAAGCGATTAGTGTTATATGTGTTATCAAAGCTAATAACCTCGGGGAAGCGCTTCCACATCTGTAGACAGTACGGAAAGGTCCAGACAAGACCAAGCAGTCTATCTGGATCATCATCGGCCCATTTCGCGATGTATGGGATCTTCTTCTCATCAAAGAGTTTGATCAATGCCGCAGTAGGTGTATAGCCATTTAGCTTCTCTCGGTTAATGAACGAACGGGCATTATAGATATCCTTCCGCAGGAGTGTTGTATCGGGGAATTGCTCCTCAACCATAGCAGCTACATCACTGGCTCGAATACCCGCGCGACGGCTTGCTGACTCGATGGTTGCTTTAACTGGTGTAGTAAGGCGGCGGTGGGAAACATGCGCAGATGGCGTAATACTCCGTTCATGGTTATGCTGGTGATGTTTCGGGTCTCTATGTTGTCGAAGAAGCCACTTGCCTTCCTCTAGGGCTTCAGCAATTATCATCCATTTGCAATCACACTTCCGAGACCTTCGGGTTCGAAGACCAGAACCCCCCGAGGCCCGAGATTGTCCAAACCGGTCGCATTGAATGGAGTACCTAATCAACCGTCCCTTATAGGAATATTTATTCCGCCGAATAATACCAAATCCGTTCTCCTTTGCAAATGCGTTGGTTGTTTTAAAAAGAACTTCGGCCGAGGGCGCTGGGTCGCCAGGGATTATTGGGTTCGGAATTGGCTCCGGGGCGGGAGATAGAGACTGTCGCATAGGCGAGGAACTAATATTTTCGGGCGTCGGTGATATTCGAGGAGGTTGTGTGGGTGACCTACGAGGTGGAGAGTACGGTGGAGGAGAGTCATATGCTTCGAAACTTAATGGTGACCATCCCCATCTCTCTCGCCAAGCTTGTACACGTTCGTATGATCGAGCAAGGTCTACAGTTAGCCTTCGACCTTCGCCGGTAACCTCTCGTACTATGCGCATTGCGGACTCGAACTCGGCTCTTGTCCTTGTTGGGAGATGCTGGGCGGATGGGGGTGATTCGGGAGGTTCAGAGGCGAATGGATCAAATTCTGGGCCTGGTATAAGCGCTCTGACTCGCTGGCTCCATCTTTTTCCACGGAAGAAGTCATTTTGAAGATATATCTCATAGTCAGATCGAAGGCCCCATGCAGGCTCATGGCGGCCCTGTGAACCATGGGGGTGTGGGAGACTTGAAAGTGTTTGCGGGAAAGAGGCGAACAGGTTATCGAGTGCATTTTCGTCCCCGAGGCCGTAGAACTGACCGATACTCGTAGCAGAGCTACTCGCGGATTGTGGTCGGTCTTCAACTGTGGAAGGACTAGATCTGCGTCGCCGACTGGATTTGTGTCGCTTTCCTCTTTGTGATTGATCACTGGGACTAGGGCTCCGCGACCTGCGAGGAGGTGTGCGAGGCAAAGACATTGACGTCTTGAGAAGAGAACAAGATTGTAGTGAAAGAATTGGTCGCTATCTCTACAGCATAGGGTGCCGTATTATGGTTTATTAAAAGCTACGAAAATGAAGAAAGCAAGCTCGAGGGGGTCGCCCCGACTGCGCGACCACTGGGTTGCTGCGTAGTAGCTTAGCCGAAATGAAGTAATTTACACAGAAGCAAGGTTAAAATGGCCCAGGTACTTGCGGCTGAGGTGGCAGAATCCAGCGTCGTTAACAGAGACAATGCGACCAATCAGAAGTGGTAAAAGTCATGCCCGTGTAAGAGTCATGCCCGTGTAGCCAAAGTGTCATGCCCGTGTAGCAATTCCCTTATTTTAATGTTCAGAGAGCGGAATCATATCTCGACAGGATGTTAAACAAGTTGATGAGAGAGGAGATGGTGCAGGTAGTTGTGGCAGACACCTGAAACTTGAACGGGCAAGCCTATGGCGGCAAAAGTCGTTTCCGAGTTCGCTACATTTAGCATTTTAATCTCGCCTCTTTCCAAACCTCTACTGGCTATCCTGTGTTGCGAAGTACACTCTAACCCTATTACTCTGTAGCTCCTGCCCTTTGTTTTGGGGGGGGGGGGTAAGCTTTTGCTCAGATTCAAGTGGTATAATGGCGCAAAGGAACGAGTGACTAGAGATCTACGATCTGTTTTGAAGGCAGTCCGTGCATCCAGGATGACGCCGCGTATAAGTTGACAGCCCCCGTGGGATAGGGGAAGGAAATAATTGACTAACTTACCCGTCTGAGAATCGAGCAATACGGGTTCGCAGCCAGCACGTTCCAACTTCGACACAACTTCCCACATGAGATTTGCGGAACGAACGCTCCCCAAGGTCTCGCGGACTACCATCTGTAATCCACGCCAGCAGACCCCTCGGCATTCACCATTCCATAGCTGAACAACGATGACGTCCGCTTTCGAAGCACCCCTCATAAGCTGGGAAATTTGTCCTCAGTCCTCCTGGATCTTCGGTAATCTCCGAGGGGCACACCAAGGGACAAATCTCAAGCATCGAACGAATGCGCTGCAAATATCAGAAAGACGTTACAAAGGTTTGTTTCTGTAGTTGACTGGCCTGGTTCCCGTGTACATTGTTTCGGTAGGATTCCGGGCTAGCTGTCGAGGTTGTTGAGAGTTGATTCTTGTTCTCCTCCATCTCCGAGATGCGCTGGCCTACCGTTAGGTCTTGCATACAATAGCCTTGATGGCGTCTTCGAGTGCAGACCTGCTTGGTGTCATCAAGCAGGACTCAGTCCGAGCAGCAAACTCCGTGGGAGGGAAGATCGAATGCGTACAGAGAAGAGAGCCACAAGGTCTGTCGGAAGAGAGGTTACTGGGCTACCTTGACAGTCGATTGCTTGGGGCGCTTTGTAATGGACTCGAGCCGTGAGCTCGAGTATACACAGGGCACTATGTTGTGGCTTGTCGGATACTCTTAAGGTGCACATTAGAGCCTACTTTATATATACAGTAGTATAGAGAGAGGACAAGAGAACCCTCTTTTTTTCATTTCTCTCTTCAAGTTTACAGTTAGTACTAGTGACACTTATATATAGTTGCTATTAAAGGTCAACTGCACCACGCAAAGTGGAACGCGCTCTGACGATTGGCAGCGCAAATTGACCTTTTATATTGAATTAATTGACTGCGCAAGATTCATATATTTTGCTGACAGCTATAACGCTAGTCCCTAACAAGCGTTCTGTTTTGCTGCTTATACTTTCAAGTAAATTTAAAGCCTACTAATATAATAAATACTATTAAGAAATTTATATAAATTATAGAAGTACTTTTTTAATTAACTAATATCAGCGGAAAAATATACACGTCTTGCGCAGTCAACTAATAAGGTCAGTTTGCGCTGCCAATCGTCAGAGCGCGTTCCACTTTTGCGAGGTGCAGTTGACCTTTCGACAACTAAGAGTATTATACTACATAGTTATACTAAGCATATACTCTAGAGCATCGCAGTAGGGCCGCTAGACTAAAATCAGGGCGAGGTGGGTTATTGAGCCTCTAAGCAAAAATAGTGAGCTCTCCGGGGCCCGGGCAATTGACGTTGGAAAGCTCTACTCACCGCCTAATTCTGCCGGACCACCACCGGCCCCGCTATTTGGCCGTCCCACCTGCAAAGGCAAAAGCAAAAGCAACCAACCCGCAGCAGACCCAACGTCGCCGGCAGACCTCGTCGACAAGTCAAACCCATCCAGCAACCCCGTGGTCCCGTCCAGAGCAAAGGGGAACCCACGAAAACACACCGAGCCGCGAATATGCCCCGTGAAGAGTACCAAGTTCCCACTGCCGGGTCGACCGCCGTCCGCGGCAACACCCGCGACGACCACGCCTCCCGCTCCGTCATGACCTACATCTGCGGCGACTGCGGCTCCAACGTTTCCCTCGGCAAGGATGCGCTGGTTGCGTGTCCCCATTGCGCGGGGAGAGTCTTGTACAAGGAGAGGACCAAGAGGTTTGCCCTCCGCCTCCGTTCTCCCCTCCTGATACACGGCCGCTGACCAGTTCGCAGGATGGTGCAGTTCGAAGCTCGATAGAAGGGCTGTCCCCGGCCGGCCGGCCGATGACGAGCAGGAGCATTGATTTGTGGTGTTTGGAGTCATGGACAGAACGCGGGTATCGCAAGCGCATCAGGGGAAAACTGTTTACAGAGTAGAGAGTGGTGGTATCAAATATCGTATGAAACAGCATCTAGCCATACCGGAACTCCATGACCTTTTCGTCTCTTTCTGTTTCAAATCATTCGTAGCCTCGTGCCCGCAGCTTCCTCCAGCTACCGCTGCTTGTGTAGATATTTGGCAAAACTGGCATCTGCCAGGATGGAATCTTCGTTATCGCCCATTGCGGCCTGGTAGCGCTCCTGGAGGCCTTGTTTGGCAGCCTCCTCGTCCGAGTCCTCGTCGTCATCGTCACCGTCACTGGCCACGTCGACGTCCGAGCCGTTCCCTACACCGCTTTGTTGAGATGCCTGACCGGGTCCGACAGCCATGTCGGACATCATCTTATCCAACTCCTTATCTCGCGACTTGCTCCTCTGGTTCTCCCTTTCTTGGCGCCGCTTCTCCAGTTCTGGCAGGTAGTCTCGCAGAAACTCCTGCTTCTTCTCCTCCACGGCCTCGAAAAACTCGTCCACCCCGGTGCCCAGCCTTGAACTTACGCCAACCATGCTCAGGTGTGAGTAAAACTCCTCCAGCATCAAGCTCATGGAGTTGAGCAGACTGCCCATGTATCCGCTTCCACCATGACCGCCGCCCTCAACACCGCCCAACGCGTCTGACTCTTCGTCTCGGCGAAGCGCCTCCTGGAAGGCGTCGAAATCTGTCATCCACTCTCTCGCAAAAGACGCGTCCTTTACGTCTGTCTTGTTGAACACCAGGACCATGGGCAGCTTTGTCTTGTACAGGATTGAACAGGCATACAGCATGTTGGACATGAAAGTAGACGTGGACGCTGTTCTCGGCGTGTCGATAACGTACGCAATCACGGTCGGGAAGGAAGACGCCAAAGACTCTAGAAGAATGGTGCCTGACGCAGACCACACAAACGCCTCGATTTGTCCGGGGGTGTCGACGATGATGCGATCGATGGGCTTGCGCTGGGGATTCTCGGCATCGGGCTTCGCTCTCTTCTCCAACAGGTTGACAATCTGGTCGACCTTGGTGGCGAACAAGTTCAGGGATGTGAGGATGCCTCCGTTGGGACCAAGGTTGTACTGCTTCATGACTTCTTCGTAGTTGACCGAGTCGCGGATGTCGATGTTCGGGTCGAAGGGGACGTTGAGCACTGCCGGGTCGAGGTTGATTACGTAGGGTGGCTGGGCCTTGCTGTGGAGGTGGGCATTGATGCGCTGCATAAAAGTTGTTTTACCAGAACCTGCGATAACAACAAGTCAGGGATGGCAGTTGGGTAGGCGGGCGAGGCGAAGCGTTGGTGATGTACCTGCCATGCCGACGCACACGATGGCGACCGGCGGCGATGCATGGGCCGATGATGCCATGGCTGCGCTGGCTCTAGTATGATTGCTGACAGAGTGCAGACGAGGCGGAGCGTAGTGCAAAGTCTCAACGGCGTGTACTGAGAGATGTTTGGACGGAAGAGGGTGGATGGTGCTCGATGCTCGATGCTCGATGCGTGACGCTTGAAATTTCGATGCCATTTGCCCCGCACGAATGAGCCAAGACTTGTCCAACATTGAGCAGCAGCACCCCGCCACCGCTCTGTAGCCAAATATTCACAGATGCGACGCGTCTGGCAATCTACCTCTTTTCCCCCTTTCGATTTGCCCAGCACATGGCACCTCTACAACTCTCGTGTCTTGATTACACGCGCGTGCGACAGCGTGCGCCTAGGTGTGGTCACGGAAGTGTCCGGCGCAAAGAATCCGTCGGCCGACCGACTCCAATCAACGCATCTATCCCCGATAAACTAATACTGATTGATGAGCAGGCCCGGAGCCGTAGGTGCCTGCAAGCAAGCATTCCATTACCCCCAATTTGTTCGTCTTTCGATTGCCGCCCCCCTTTCCTGTTCTCCGCCCTTCGCCGTATTTAGCCATCGGTGCCGCTGCTGCGAAACGTAGCGCATAATGCTGCGTAGTGGTGCGTCAAGTCCAACACCGTCTGAGGCAGACTTGTTGCCTGAATGATGCTCCTGACCTTGACCGCACCCTCGTCTTCGATTAGAGTGCGGATAGTGTGTAACAGCTCAGGGCTGAACTCGCTATACCATCGGTACTGCCATGTCACCAACCTGATGACTGCCGCTACGGTGTCCCTCGTGTTCTTCGTCTTTTGAAAAGCCCTGAGTACACCGGCAAGAGACTTGGGGCTGAATCGCAGGGATAGACACGCTCGGTAGGCCTCGACAGCTTCGTCAAAGTGTTGCAGACGTTCCGCAAGGGATCCAAGTATCTCCCACTCCTCCGCAGACTTTTTATACTGCATTTGCTGCGCCCGATATTGAGCCATTTGCGTCCGCCAGATAGTGTACACACGCAAGTCCTCATACAATACCATAAACAGGCTGTCCAGCCATCTCTCACAGAGGCGCTTGGTGTTGAGTTTTGACAAATGTTCCTCATCCGGAGTACCCTGTGCCAATATGTTACTCTTGTTTCGGACAAGCACTGAAAATTACGCCATCTGCTAGTACAACTTACATTGCCCGAGTCGGTCTTGACTTCTTTCGGATCAATGGCGTGTGGCGGCTTTTCGACCCCCCCAGCCTCGCCGTTGGTCGCCCTCTCTTCTTCAGTCTCTCCCTCTTGCGAACGTTTCGCAGCTTCAGCTTCCAGTCCGGTTTCGCCATTCGTCATGGGATCAGGAGTACCTCGGAGGCCTTCAATGCTAGCGTTTCGTTTTGAGGGGGCGGAATGTGATGCTTCCTGTTTCTCCGTTCGATACTCATCCTCCATGACAAACACATTGCTGCGAATCTTTAGCAACTGATCCCAGCCAATCTTGGCAGTCATTTCTGTTAGAATACTGTATGCCTGCTTGAAAGTGCCACGGTAGCCTGCAGCTCGAAGACACAGCAAGCTGGCCTCGACTTGTTCTGAAAATCTGGATTCTGGTTCGCTGTCAATTTCGTCAAGTCGCGTCTCGGGGAGCGTCGGCAGAAACACGTCCCTCGGTTCAGGCATTATGGGAGTATCCTTGTCCTGATACGTAAACATTGGGCACGAATTTAACGTGGTGAGCGCATTTTCCCAGTCTTCCATAGCAACGTAGACCTGTGCTAGTCGTGCCCATGTGCCAAACTCGCTTGGAGCGGCGATGGTGCTGCGGTCTGCACAGCCGAGTGCCATCCTCAACCTTTCCTCTCTCGCCTCTGGCGTTTCAGCAGTCTGTGCCTTCCTGAGTAAAAATTCGGCTTGTGTATCGAGCATGACATAGTCCATGGGCGTCTCCTGTAATGAGTGATACAAGTTCTTAACGCCAGAGACCTCCTCGTTACCCATGAACATGACTTTGGACAAGAGTGATGAAACCTCGATGCTCTGTGTGCGAAGCTTTTCGAACAGGTTGATACCCGATGCATAACGGCCGGTTGTTTCAAGGTACCTGAGAAGCCCGGTGGTGAGGTGATTGGAAACGTTGGTCGGAACTTGAACCACAGAATCGGACCCAAGCTGCCAGCCTCTAAAGAAAAGCTGTTCTGCCGCATTGAGAAAGCGTTGCTCCGTCTCGGTGTTGATCACGGGGTTAAATCTCCGTACTCCCATAATCTTTCGAATGGTGTCACCACTGCCATCATCCGCGTACGAGTATGCTCTTAAGACGCTGCAGAGATATGTCTCCAGCCACAGCTCATCTGACGCCTTTCGCTTCTCGCCTCGCTCGTCGACGCAATAGCTCTCAACGGTGCCGGGAATTGATACGTGCACGCGCATGTCCAGTCGGGAAAACGCATTGTAGCAGCTATGATAATGTTAGGCTATGGACATTATTGCATGGCTCATGGTCATCTCGGCCTACCAGTACACGCCCTCCACTATCTTCGATGTGGCACCGGGGCCGTTATCCTTGTACGTGAGCGTGTTGATGTAGGCGGCCAGGCTGGCGGACGAGGAAGCATCAACGCCAGTAACGTGGTGGTAGATCCCAGTCTAGACAGGTTAGATATTCATCACATCAACCCCCCAACATTTTGCATACCTGCTTTCCCGAATTGCGCACGCCTTGTTTGAGGAGATGCACCAGGTCGGGCGGCCCAAGCTCTCGCAAGGCAATAAGGGATTCGGTTCTGGCGTCAATCGACTCGTGGAGGACCTCCTCGGTGATCCTACATTCCTGTTAGCGCCCGCGAGGGTCATTGAATTATACCTGAATGCGTACTCTGGTACAGCCGGGGCGACCATAGCTATGGGAAGCCCCTGAGAGCTCGACGGCAACCGACTGTGGCCGGCTTATCGGCGGGTGTGGTCAAGTTGGCTGATAAAAAGTGTGTGAGACCTCTTGTTGACGCCGAAGTCGAATCAGAGTGTCGATCGTGGCCGTGGAGTTGCGCGGGCCCGGAACAGAACAACTCGAGGTCGTGAGCTGCGGAAAAAGGGCAGTCGCGAGGCGTTTCAGTCAATAATAAATTGAGTGGCATTGAAACTTTGACTTGGCCACATGTGCCTTCTCAAGCCTCACCCACCCCCCAGGCAATGCAAGGAGCTGTGCCACAGTCCAGCCATGCAGCCAATCAGTCCTTGCTAGCGGAAAACGCCACACGCCAAGTCGACCGACCAGGGATACGTAAGTAATTGATGACGGCTGGCGCGACGCGACGGCTGTGCCAAGGCAACTTGAGCATTTGGACATGTAGCTTCCAATTACTCCGGTCCGACCTCGTATGCCACATCGCATTACACTTCGAATGACGGCGCCATCAGATTCGTCAAAAATACATTGCGACAATGGTAATTATTTTTCCTGCCCAAATAACGTACCCTCGAGCTGACACCACTCTGCAGCCCGCCTTCCGGGCGATCAACCTCGAACCCGAAGAAAACGAAGACGAGCAAATCGACACTACCAAGGAATTGCATGTATGTCGCATAACACTTTCACAACGTATTATTCAGATACTGATGCGTACGCCAGGTTGACAAGGCCCTGCAAAGGTTCCAGGCTGCCCTCAAGCTCCATGCGCAAGGCCTGAAATCCCGAGACGCCGCCGATGCTGCATATCAGGAATTGTTCAAATGCGAAATCTTCGAATACCGAGAAGCAAAGACCGACTATGAACGAGCGGAAAGACAAGCCGACGGCCGGCCTGAAGCCTCCACTGTCGAGTCCTTCTCGTCCACCCTGGGTATGGATGCTGGCGGAGCAGATGGAGTCGCAGCGAGTCTCGCCCAAGCCTTGTACATGTCCTACAAAAACTATGGCCAGTTCCTCTTGGACAAGCTCAAGGATAAATTCGAGGCAAACTCTACAAGGCACAAAAAGCGACGCATCAAGTACGGGAGCGACGACAGTGACAAAGTCGTCGACAACTGGATAGCCGCCCTGGACCAGGACCCATCAGATCCAGAGCTCTGGAGAAAGATGGCTCGTTTTGCCAGTTCTTTGAACTCTGGTCGCGTGAAGCGATACTGTCTCGAATCTGCGGTCGAGCTTGACGACGATCCAGCCATCATGGAGGTCAATCCCCCAGCCCTCGCGGAAGGCTTTGCTGGCCAACAGCTGAAGGATTATCTGCAAGTCCTTAATGACGACATGGCGCTATCGCATCCCATCATGGCACCTTGGCTGAAGAGAGAAATGCCAGCCCCTTTAAAACGTCATATAGACCCGATTCCGTTCCTCCCTGATCCCATTGCCGTTTTGACCCCTCCGCCGTCGAGCCCCGAAGTAGACGAGAATATCGACGACGGAAATAGTGAACGAGGCTCCTCTCCCGCATCTGCGACTGGGAGCTCCACCGAGCCAGTTGGTTCATGGTCTGAGCTTGGATTAGAATTGATGAGGTGTATCCAAGACACCAAAGGAGCTTTGAAAGCTTGCCGTTCAGTTCTGGATGCAGCGCAGGCGGATACAAAGACGACAACGGAGGCCGAGGTCGAATGTGGAGTCGCGCCTGAGCGAAAACCAGAGCCAGAGAAGGACTTGGAACCCAAACTCAAGGCTGAAGACAAGGTCAATCCCACTGTTGAGGAAACTCCGGTAGTTCGGAGATCAACAAGACACGGCTCCAGGGCCAACACCAAGTCGAAAACAGAAATAAAAGAGGACAATCCTCCTAGTGCGCCAAAAGAAGCGCCAAGGGAGACGCCCAGGGAACCTGACCACGATTCAAAAGAACGATCTGCCTCAGTCTCGACACGAAAACGGTCTCAGTCGACTGCCGGTTTGCCTGATGGTCCGGATGAGGATAATGCGGCCGAGAAAAGGAGTAAACGCGTCCGCCGCCGCACAGAAACAACTCTGACCGAAGAAACAAATGACGCCATCACCCAAATCTCGGCGCAAATCCTGCCATATCAAGAGGCAGACCGCAACCTATTCCAGCTTACCAAAAATATACTGGAAAACATTGGCGTAGACGATCGCTCGACATTATCTTATTTACAGGAACTCCTGGACTCTTGCTTCACTGATAGCAGGCCTCCCAAGTTGAGTCACAATTGTGCCAGAGATTTACAAGGCGTCATCTCAGCATTCGATGAAGACGTGGCGCAAGTTCTCCTGAACAAGAACGAACAGGCCACGTTGGGCTTGTCATCGTTCCTGGAACACGCCAAATCGGGTTCGCAGGACCATGACGATATCCCTCCATTTGATGAGGCCCAGGGTCTGGAGAAGTTTTCAGAAACGGTCGCAAACGAGGCCCATTGGATGACGAGTGACGACATTGCATTTGAATGGGTTCGTTCTGTCAGCGCCAGCTATTCGGCCTCGCAATGGTCTGATACAATGAAGCTTGCTGTTGTACAGATGCTCAACCGAGCCGACACAATTCTGTATACTCGAATCAACGAAGTTTTGAACGAGCCCATGGTTGCCGAAGAACAGCTGGTCGGCCTCAAATCCGTTCTGCCCATGATTTTTGAATTACACATCGACATCTATGAACGCATCACGAACCCCAACAGCGCCGTCGACTTTGCCACACGGATGGAAACCAAGTATCGACTCGATAGGTGGCTCAACACAATGTCAACTTTTCTCCAATTGCTGGACCTCCCCCACACAGACCCTCTTTGTGTCAGATTCATCTGGGCGTCTGTGATGGTATCATCTCTAACCGAGAGCCCCGTCCGGGACCATATTCTTCTCTTATGGACCTCTCTTCGTGACTTCCTGGCTGCCGAGGACCTAGAGGCAATAATTCTACCCAACAACATTGTCATGCCTGTGATTTCTCCGGCCGCTGCAGATCGAGAACTCTCAAAGCTGAATACGATGGATTTCTTTTTGGGCCTCTTTCAAGATGAGATGAAGGACCCCGTGCTGGTCATTGAGACACTTGAACCCGTCCTGAACCCAACTTCGGTTTACGTATCTGAAGAGAAGCTAGATCGCTCGGCAGCCGACAAAGCGGATGAAAACGAGGCCGATGGCGTGGACACACGAGGCACAACCAATATTCACGGCAAGGCTGATGACGATGAAAACGATAAGAAGATTGACGATGTGGTGCTGGAGGACGATGCACAAAACAAGAATCAACTGGACAGCGAGGGAAAGTGTGATGACATGTCCGACGACTCTGAAGACCCAACTGTCAACCGAAAGCCAATATCGGAGAATGCTACCCAGGGCATGAAAGACGTGTGGAAGTTCCTCACCAGTAGCAGTACAGAACTGCGACTGTTCTTGTGGTCGCGTCTGGGCGATGCGTACGAAGCCATCAACTATCCCACCAAGCGGTTTTCGTGCATTCTCAAAAGCATCGAAATGGTGGTCAGCGACCTGGAGGGGGGGACGTATGCCAAGATGCCCGATGATTCGCGAAAACACCTGTTTATGCGGACTCTGAAATCCTTGGATGAACTTATCATCCAGGCTCTGTCGATGTCATTGAATGATGGGACATCTTTTGACATTATTGATGACGAGCATTTGAAGTCTAGCTCCGCCACCGTGGCCAAAATATGCTCATTCCTTCACGTTGTTGCCCTTTGCGAAGACGAATCTCGACTCGGCATTACCAGCCTGCCTGCGAGCAACAGCACGTTTACAGCCCTGATGAACAAACTGCGAGATATTCAGGTCCGCGCCTGGTGCCTCCTGTTCACAATGTTCAAAGCCGGGCTATCACAAAAGGAAACAACTAGACCGGAGAACGAGGTGGCGGACTATCTCGCTGCCATTCACAGAGTCATTGGCCTCCGCAAGTTCTGCAAGGCTTCAAACAAGATCTTCCTCAAAGTGATGCGCACAGAACTCCTCAAGTTGCGAAAAGTCGAGACTTGGGAGGATCACCTGGAACAAGTACTCCACGACTTGTACGGCCTGAAACTTGGCGTAGGCGTCTGGGAGGTGCAAGATCATGGCTGTCAATATGAGAAACTTGAGAGGAGGCAGGCCATGCAACTGGTCGAGAAGATTATGATTCTCGCAAATCGCATGACGATGAAAGATTTGCTCAAGTCAGACCTAAAGACCACGATTGAGCACATGCAGCAGAGCATCGGACAGACCAAATCGACGCCACAGATGATCCACAACTTGCGCAATTTTACGGAAATGCTGAAGAAACCTATCCATCCGCTCAGGCTGTACCAGGCCCTGGCCGGCAATGTGTTCGTCGATGCGGTGACTGTCAACATTCCAGAGGGCGCTCTCGCCCGGCATGGCTGGTTCTTCTCGCTGGGCATGATTGCTCTCACCAAGTTCAAAGGCGTAGACTTGAATCGCCGTCAGACCCCGGGTGCTACAGACGATCTCCGAATCGGAGCTACCTTTTTGAGACTGCAGCTGCAGTTTACTGCCGACAGGTGGGATGCCTGGTTTCGACTTGCGGAGTGTTTCGACTATGAGCTGGACGAATCCGTCTTGTGGACAGCAGACAAGATGAACAAGGATCGGTCAGAGCTGGTCAAGTTCCAGCGGAACGCAATCCACTGTTACACCCTGGCGTTGTCGCACTCTCGACACCAGCGCGTAGCTGCCACCGATAGCGATCCGCTGCACGACTTGTACCATAAGTTTGGCATGAGGCTCTACTCCTCCAGCCGGGAGCCGTTTGCCATGGAACCGTTCCAGCACTCGGATCAGGAGCGGTTCTTCATCGAAGACATTGGCGCCGGGACCTTCAAGAGGATCCTGCACGATCAAATGTCGCGGTACAAAGTCTGGAAGTTCGCCGCCGGGCTGTTTCGAAAGGCCATGGCAAGGAAGCCGCTCAACTGGAAGTACGCAAACCCTTTGCCCCGAATCAAAACTTAAACTCAGTGGCTGACAGGCGACAGAAACCCGTACATGCTCGGAAAATGCCTCTGGAAAATGTACCGCACTGCGCAGGATGGCCTCGACAGCAGCGACCAAAAGAACCCCGTCACCATGAGGATGGTTCTGGACACTCTCAAGACATCGATCGAGGTGGCACAAAGTGGTAGGAAGAGTAATAGCAAGAACAGCGACCTGATCCTGGAGCCGCACTACAAGTTGGTTTCCATACTTCACAAACTCGTCAATCGCGGCGACATTCCTGCGGCAGAAGCCGCCGCGCTGCTGGCGCAACAGCCCATGGGCGTCGTTGTGAATCCTAGTGACCACTTCGCGTCCTTTTCCGAACCGGAAGACTGGGAGGAGTACGTCATCCGCAACTTGACCAAGCTCCGGGAAAAGGACAAGTCCAACTGGCAACATCGCATCGTCATGCGCCACGCCAAGATTCTCTTTGACGAGGGCCCCGTGGAGGGAGCAGACGGCGACGGCACCGTAGAGGCCAAGGCCGCATTCGCCATCCTCAAGGAGAACATGTTCACCAAAACAATGGTGATGAACGTGTGGAAATGTGACGCCGAGCGGCCCGGTCGTCACCACGTCTTCACGGAGCAGTACGTCCGCTTCATGACGAAGCTGCTGGTCATCATGTCGGACCGCACAAATCTGGAGCTCCTCTTGAGACGACTACGCAAGAAGGGAGCCGACTTCTACCATTTTGCAGACCTATGGCAGTACAGCTGCACCGAGTACGTCAGGCTGTTGCGGGCAGCGTACAAGGTCCCCGTCACCACCGACGAAGCGTTCAAGCACATGTCCAACGAGGAGTTTGAAATCTTGAGCGAGCGAATCACCGACTGGGCTGGTGGTGACGGGGCTCCAAACACGGCCTTCGAATGCATGAAGGAGGCCATCGAAGCCAAGAAGCTCAATGGAAACCTGATGAAGGTGGCGCCGATCGACGATCTCATCAACGACTGCTACACGACCATCTACGTGGATGTTGCGAGGACTCTGCCGGGACTGGAGCCGGGGAGAATCATACAAGAGCGCAATCACGCCAAGGAAGTGGCGGCTCAATTAGAGGCCGTGTCTCAGCTCGAGTCGAAACCAAAGAGCTCACTGAGCACTCTGCTCAACCCGCCGAGCGCAGGGGACAGTGCGGCCGGGTCCGTTACGCCAATGGAGACGGACAAGGCAGAGGCGATTCCGCGGGCGAGGAGGCTGGCGGGCGTGCGCCGGCCCGAGATTCTACGAAGGGCGGAGCAAGCCGTGGTCCGCGCCATGGAGGCTCCAAAGTCGGCCACGACCAAGAGTCGGGTCGGCAGCATGTCGAGCACGAAGCGTGGCAGCCAGACGCCCGCCAGGCGCGGCGGCAGCGAGGGCCGCAGTGACGACGAAGACGACGACGGCCCCGACGCTCAAGTGCGGCGAGAAGCTGGCGAGGACGTCGACGAAGACATGGGCGACGGGGAGGACAACGAAGAAGCAGTCGAGGACGAGGAGCATGACGATTCCCGACTGGACGACAAGGATGAGGACGACCAGCCTAGCATCCACGATTCTGCCGACGACGAGAGCGATTTGAGCGACGTGCCGGAAGGGTATGACGACGACGTGCCTCCCGGGTTGTTGTTCCCCAATCTTCGAAGGTCCGAGTCGAGCGGGGACGACGCGGACAGCGAAGACGCCAACGAGGATGAAGAGGAGGTCGAGGAAGGGGACGGGGAAGAGGAGGGTGGCGAAGAAGTAGAGGAAGAGGTAGAGGCGGAAGAGCAGGAAGGCGAAGGGCACGACGATGACGAAATAGAAGTCGAGGAGGAGGTTGATGAGGAAGAGGAAGGCGAGCAAGGAGAAGCGGACGAGGCGGACGAGGACCAGGACGAGGACATTTTAGAAGATGATGAGGATGCAGAGATGGCGGACGCAGAAGAGGCCGAGGCCGAGGCCGAGGCTGAAGAGGAGGAGGAGGAAAACAATGACAGCGAAAAGGATGAAGAAGGGGCAGAGGAGGATGCGGATGAAGAGGGCGACGAAGAGGCAGAGGAAGACGGCGACGAAGAGGCAGAGGAAGACGGCGACGCAGAAGAGGAAGACGGGGGGGCAGGGGAGGCAGGGGAGGCAGGGGAGGCGGAGGAGGCAGAGGGAGAAGAGGTCTAGGGCGAAACATGCTTCGCGATGCCGTCCCGACGATGTTGCACGCACATGAACCCGTGCTTCACATTCATGACGTGTGTTCCTGTATTCCTATCCTAGACGAATGGCGTTGCTGGCCTGGAAAAGTCGCATAATGAATCTGGTCATCTGTTCAATGAGCCTGCCATACACCCGTTTGACCGAAGGGGGAATAGGCTGCCCAGTGCAGGCCCGGGTCTGCCGCGATGTCAAACACCAGAGTCCTCGGTAGCCTAGTGGACGGTGGGGGAAACATGGTTCAGCTGTATTGCAGGGTATTGCCTATCCGAGCTGACGAGGCTAGCTAGCCCTCCTCTCTATCCATGTCGTCGCGACGCCTCTTGCCGGTGGTGCCCTTTGCCCTCCTGCCCTTGGCGTCGCGCTTCTCGGCCAAGCTCTTGACCTCGATGCGCGCGTGCCGTTGGGCCTCCTCGACGCGGGCCTGGAACGCCAGGACCTCCTCCTTCTCCGTGGGGTAAATGTCCAGCTTCTTGCCGAGCGCCGCCTCGATGCGCTGAAACACCTCAATGTCGTACTGGGTCACAAAGGTGATTGCGACGCCGGACTTGCCGGCTCGAGCCGTGCGGCCCACCCTGTGGATGTAGGTCTTGGAGTCCTGCGGCAGGTCGTAGTTGAGGACGATGTCGACCTTGGAGATGTCCAGACCGCGGGCGGCCACGTCGGTGGCGACGAGTATGTCGCGGGTCCCGGAGCGGAACTTGTTGAGCGCCCCGAGGCGGGCCGACTGCGAGAGCTGGCCGTGCAGGGGGATGGCGCCGAAGCCGAGGGCCCGGAGGAGGACCGCGATCCTCTGCGTTTCCCAGACGGTGCGGGCGAAGACGATGACGGACTTGCCGGCGAACTCGTTGACCAGGTAGACGAGATACGTGTCCTTGCGTTCCTGCGGGATGAAGAGGAGCTTCTGGAGCAGCGTGGACACGGTCTGGTACTTGTTGCTGCTGACGCTGACGCGGACGGGGTCCCGCAGACTGGCCCGCTGCAGGCTCTCGACCTTGGAGCTGAGCGTCGCGGAGAAGAGGTAGGTCCGCCGCTCGCGCGGGATGAACTTGAGCAGCCTGTCGATGGCGGGGCCAAAGTCCATGTCGAGCAGGCGGTCGGCCTCGTCCATGACGAGGTACTTCAGCGTGCGCAGGGAGAAGCCCTTTGTCTTCTCGAGGTGGTCCACCAGCCGTCCCGGCGTGGCGACGACGATGTGTGGCTTCTTCCCGAGCGCGATGGCTTGGGGGACCATGTCCAGGCCGCCGACGATGACGGCGCAGCGGAGCGAGATTGACGACCCGAGAGCCTCGAACGACTGCCCAATCTGGTGCGCCAGTTCTCGGGTCGGCGCGAGGACGAGGCCGAACAATGGCTGGGGCTTGTCGAGTAGAGCTTGCAGGATGGGAAGCGCAAACGCAGCCGTCTTGCCGCTGCCGGTTTCGGCGAGGCCAATAATGTCGCGGTTCTGCAAGGCGACGGGGATGGCCTTTTCTTGGATGGGCGTCGGGAACTTGTAATTGAGAGATTCACAGGCTTCGCACAACGAGTCGACGATTCCCTAGATTCGTGAGCCGGGGCTCGACACAAGGGGGGCACGGAGGCATCGTTGTTTTGGGGGGGTGGCTTCGCTTACCAGTTCTTTGAAAGTCTTGGGTTCGGTGCCAGAGGGCACCTGGCATCCAGGCTGCGTGCCATGGAACACTTTCCTCCTTTTTGAATCGCCCATGGCTGGCAACGTACGTGTGGCCGTGAGAGATGGAGCGAGGGCACCAAGACGATGCAGTTGGGACGTCGGAGAGAGGCGTGCGAAGGCTCTAGGCAAGTCACGTGGACCCAATTGAGCCTGCCTTGTAAGTTACTCGGTGTGAAATCAAGCACCTGTTTATTCTGGTTTTGATTGGCTACTTGCACCTGGAAATTGACGACCGACTGGAGCCGTCTTTTTGTGCGGCTGTCGGACAAGAAAATTTTAGCGGGGGCCGGCCTTATCGCCCACGTGGATTGGGTGGATTGGGCACGCCGCAGCCCGTCGCAGAGCTGCCCCACTCACTTTTTCCTTCGTCCGCCGAGTTCAATTCTTCTTTTCCACGCATCCATCGTGCGCATGCCACGGCGTCATCCATCCCCTCGACCACGGTTATCAGCCGAGCCGTGCTTCCACAGCCCGGAATCATGGCGCGAAGACGAGCAAAGAAGAGGACGCACGTCGGCGCCAACAACCCAGAGACAGGGTCGGCCGGCCACGCCACCGCACGCGACCCCAAGAGCATGGTCATCAGGATCGGGGCCGGCGAGGTCGGCTCCAGCATCAGCCAGCTGGCCGCCGATGTGCGCAAGGTCATGGAGCCCGGCACGGCCAGCCGGCTCAGGGAGCGTAGGGGAAACAAGCTCAAGGACTACGTCGTCATGTGCGGGCCCCTCGGCGTCACCCACCTGATGCTCTTCTCGCGCTCCGAGACGGGCAACACGAACCTGAGGCTGGCGCTTGCGCCGCGAGGCCCGACAATGCACTTCCGCGTCGACAAGTACTCCCTCTGCAGAGACGTCCAGAGAGTCCAGAAGCACCCGAGGGGCGGTGGCAAGGAATTCCTGGCGCCCCCACTGGTAAGTCGATCCCTTTGCTCACGCAACGCACACGACGGGCAACGACGTCGCTGACCCGTGTCAACCTTGTGTCGTGCGTGCGCAGCTGGTCATGAACAACTTTGCCACGCCGGGTGCCGACTCCAAGTCCAAGGTCCCCAGGCACCTCGAGTCTCTGGCCACGACGGTCTTCCAGTCCCTCTTTCCGCCCATCAACCCTCAGCAGACGCCGCTCAAGGCAATCCGGCGAGTGCTCCTCCTGGATCGCGAACGGTCCGAGGAGGACGACGGCACCTTCGTGGTCAACTTTAGACACTACGCCATTACCACAAAGTCCACCACGGTGTCGAGGCCTCTGCGACGGATCAAGGCGGCGGAGGAGTTGATGGCAACAAAGTCGAGCAGACAGGGACGCGTGCCCAACCTCGGCAAGCTCCAAGACATTGCGAACTACATGATGGGGGGCGAAGCCGGAGACGGGTACATGACGGACGCCACGAGCGGCAGCGAGGTTGAGACGGACGCCGAAATAGAGGTTGTCGACAACGCCCCCAGGAGAGTCGTGTCGACAAAAGCCCGCTTGGCCGCTGCGGAACACGGCGGCCCAGAGGCCGAGGACGAAGTGGACAATGTCGAGCGGCGAGCCGTCAAGCTCGTCGAGCTGGGCCCCCGCATGCGTCTGCGACTCACCAAGGTCGAGGAGGGACTGTGCGCCGGCAAAGTCATGTGGCACGAGTACGTGCACAAGAGCCGCGAAGAAGTCGGGGAACTCGAGAAGCGGTGGGACAAGAGGAGACGGGAAAAGGAGGCGCGGCGGAGGGAGCAAAAGGCCAATGTTGAGAGGAAAAGAGCCGAGAAGGAGGCGAGGAGGAAGGGGGGGCCCGGCGAAGGCGGAGGCGGCGGAGAGGAAGACGACGAGGACGAGAACTACAGCGACGTGGACTTTGACGACCTTGACAGCGAGGGCCTGGCGGGAGACGCCGAGTTCAAGGCGAATGAGCAGATGGAGGAGGATGTTGAGTGGGAGGGAGAGAGGGAGGAAATCGGACGCGACTGACGTGTATCTAGACGGTCATGTCACATGTACACGTTTGACTGCACCGTGATAGTAGGCGGTGTTGGGTTGTACGAGGCCACGCCGATGCAGCCAAAGCGGCTGCTGTCCGTAAAACCATGTGCTTTTGCAAAAAGATGCACAGGCGGAGCCGTCATCGTGACGGGACAAGTCGACGCCGCTGTCTCCACGCCGCCTCGCCTCGCCTCGCCTGGCCTGGCCGTCCGTCCTCGCAGGCAGAGCCCGTCCAGCCCGTCGACACAAGGCACGTCGGCCATGTTCAACCCGTACAGTAGAATAGAATTCATCTGCCCGGCCCTGGGACCGCTCCCGCCAGATGATGCGAGCGCCTGACCTGCCGCGGCAAAGACGAGACGGCCCGCCCCGGTCTCTGCGGCAGGCGTCTGTCCCGGCGTCGGCCGTCGAAACGAGCCCTCGGGTCGTGTGTCGCGAATACCGATACCGGGCTGGGCCGCCTCTCGAGCCGACGCTGCCGGCTCCGTCGTCAGCCTTGAGGCCCTTGACGGCCGGGGTTTGACGGCCGGGGTTTGACGGCCGGGGCTTTTGAAACAAGGCAGAAGAAGATGGAGAATCCAGAAAACGGAAAACAGAGAGACTCCTCTATTGCCTTGCCTGGGTTTGTTTGTTACTGTGCTGTGGATTCATTTTTTCCGAGGTCCCCTAGCGCAACAAGAAGCAGAAGCGGCAAAAGAAATGAACAGAAAGCAGAGGAGAAGCGGAAGCAGAAGCAGAAGCAGAAGCAGAAGCAGAAACACAAACCTCCCCTGGCCGCCGCCTCCTCTGAGCATGTCTCAAACAACCCGCACTGTACCGTAAGGAATACCAAATGCAACTCCAGCCAGCCCTCCAGTGTCTCGTTCCCACCAAACACGTGTGCTGCCACAGCAGGTTCGGCCAGACGACGCGACGGCCACCTCCAAACCTGCAGTCGAAGCACCAGAGGCCTCCATCAACCCTGGTTTTGCTTCACCCGCCCCTGGCACCGGCATCTGGCGTGTACGTGACGGCTGGCCGGGAGACCTTGCCCCCGGTGCACAAAAGCGGCGTTGGCGAAAACGGGTTGCACCTGCAGCTTTGCCTCGCAGCCGCCGGCGTCAAGTCGCCAAGAGACTCCGTACTCCGTACTCCGTATCATCAATGAATCAGCGTGTCCGTCTTGCCCGGACATTTCTGCGCCGCCATCGGTCCGACACGGGAAGACAAGGTCTGCCGCCCGGACCGAGGGTCGTGCCGGTGCACTGCTTGGCATTCACTGGCGTGGGCGCGCACAGGCCTCGACTTGGTTCTCGATTTTTATCTTGGTTTTTGGATTTTTGCGTTTTTTTTCTTCCTCTGGTGCGACGCTCAATACGACACCGAGCTCGACTTGGCGTGGCGCTTCCCCGGGCGGCCGTAGTCGACGCCGTGCATGCCCTGGCCGTAGTAGGCCATGCTGTGCTCCCCATACGTGTCCATGCTCAGGCTGGGATCGAGCATGCTCTGCGCCCAGGCCGGGTCCATGGGCACGTCCTCGAACATCATGGCCTCGGGGATGCTCGACGACCCCTCCGACCACACCGTCGTCGCGTCCCACGGCGGGTGGTGCCCGCTGCTGCCTCCGTCTGGGTGCGGCCAGTGCTGGTAGTACTCGCTGCCCGGGTAGAAGCCCTGCTGCCCCACGAAGTCGAGCGGCGTGTCCAGGGCCTCGGTCGACGCCGACGAGGACGAGAGGTTGAAGGACATTTCCGGCGGCGCCAGCGACGACGCCGAGCCCTGCTGCTGCTCCGCGCCGTCCATGTCCGCCGCCCGGCTCTGCTGCACCGAGAAGACGTCCATCGACCCAGAGAAGGCGGGGTTGGGGCCCAGCCCGAACGCCGGGTTGAGCGGCATCTTGACGCGAGGCTCCAGCTTGTACTCGCATGGCACGGAGCGGTTCACGCACCTGCTACCTGCGCCGTGTCTTGTCAGCACCGACGCGCCCGCCTGAAGCAAAACAACACGACAGCGAAGGAGGTAGAGACAGCGACGAAAAGAGAGAGAGGGAGAGAGAGAGAGAGAGAGGCGGAACAGGGGAGGCGGCGAAAAGGGGGCAGGCAGGGCAGGCAGGTCCGTGGTATTGCAGAGTCGGAAACCTACAAGAGGGCTTCTCATAGCCACACTTGACCTTGAACGATATGCACCGCTCGCAAGATCGCTTCTTGGTCGGTATAATCTTGCCAATCGACTTCTCGCACCGCCGTCTATGGCGTTCCCTCAAGTCTCCTGCTCCACGCGTGTTAGCACACACACTCGTCGTCCCAGCGCGGCGGTTAAGCTTGTGGAGAAGATTTTCTGCGAGGCCCAGAGGGAAGGGCAGGGCAGGCCGGGCGGGCGACAACAACCAGGCCTAAAGATAGACTTACTCCGACTGAACTGTTTTAGACAGATGTGGCATACGTGGACGTCCCCCGTGTCGAGCTGCGCCGACGAGCCCGACCGAGCGTGAAAAGAACCAACAGACACCATGGTCGTCCCTGAAAATGTCTGGCCCTCCCGAGTCCCTTTGTTCTTTGGTCGCACAGAAAGGCACGGCACAGCACAGCACAGCACAGCACAGTAAGTACGGCACGGCACGGCACGGCAAGGAGTAGGCAGAGGCAGGCAGGCGGGCTGGCGTTCAGGCGGGCAGGCAGGCCAAAACCCAGCAGGAAAAAAAAATAATCAATAAATAAAAAAGGAAAAAAAAAAACCTGTCGAGTACTCCGTGGCAGGCCTGGCCCAAGTCGAGCCTAGGTGACACGGCAGAGCAGATGCCCCTTCAACGGCGTCAAATGACACCTAGAGTTGCAAAGAAAAAGAAGTTTAAACCTCGTCTTGCAGAAACCGCTTGTTCCTCTCCGCGGAGAAGGGTCGCAAGAGGCACAAACACACGAGATTCTGTGTGATGGATGGTTGCTGCCAGAGCGGCCCGTGTCTGAGTGAAAAAACAAACGTCGGCTTCCTCCTCCTGCATATATGTCATACACCTACGTTGCCTGGAGAGCCAATGCGCAGCGTGGGTCCCGTGTCCGTCCGTCTCTTGGTCTCAAGTCGTCTTGACGTCGTGCGTCGTCGTCGCGAAATAGAGTGAAACAGGCAAGGCGGCGGCCAGGTGGACAAGAAACGTGTAAAGATTTGGGAAGTCGTGGATGAATTGCCACGGCGAGCAGTAAGTTTATTACGACATTGGAGACCCTAAGTGGGACAGGGAGATGGTGGGATCGAATCCTTCTTATTGACTTCTCGCCACGGGCTTAGCAGCGACAAAGGCCATGTCGCCTATGGGTCTGCTTCTCTTGATTCGGCCTAGGAGGCAAAAAAACAACATGACGTGAAATAATAAAAGACTGCGTATATTAAGCGGCCAAGACAGCCCAGCGAGGCGCCGGGCTAGTCATGTGTGTGCGTACTCCGTACCGAGCACCCCCATGCCCATAAGAGCCGAGTCCGTTTTCTGCTTCTGCTTCCCATCTGTACATTTGTACAGACCTTCAGAACGGCGTTTACAACGCGATGCCCGTCCCACGGCCATCTTCACGCAAGCGAAGAATTGCCTGACTGGGAGGGGGGGGAAGCTTCAGAGAACGCAAAGCAAAAGGGGCAATAACGGACCGGGTCGCAGTCGCAGGGCCAAGAACGGACAACTGGACAACAGGGGCGTGTGTTTCTGTCCCGAGTCCCTATTCTCTCCAGTCGACGCGCCTCGCTATACAAGTTCCCGCTGGCATCTGTTCGGTACTCTGGACTCTGCTGGAGGAGAGCAATCAGCCGTCTCCGTAATCGCGGCTGGAGACTCTTCTGCCCACCTCCCAAGGCCTCTGTCGAGGGCAAGTCCGAGAGCACGGCGTGGGTAACTATCTTGTTTCGTCTTGGCGTCTTAGGCCCAGGTAGCATGTGTCAACTTGGTGTGAGAATCATTGGAGAAGTACTACTCCATCCACCGGCGTATCCAAGACCGGCCCCCATGCCCAGCCCGCCCATTCGTCTGGTCGTTCCGGTTGTCAGATGTGTCAGGCAACGGGCCTGTCGGTTTGGTTGCATCAACTTCATTACCCAGATAGTGTTACACCCTGGAAGGGTGGGGGGGGCCGTTGCGAGTGTCACGCAAAGCGTAAGAGCCCAGGGTTGTGTCGTGTCCGCGTGTCCAGCCAGACTCCATGTATTACGGCCGTGGACCCCGTGTGGCCATACGTACTTGGCCATGTGCGTGGACGGAACACAGAGTCTTTTGTGCCGAATAAAGGGCCAATACTCGGTGCAGAGAGCGTGTTCGGAGTGCTTGCTTCCAGTTCCACCGTGCTGGCCTATAACCTACAACTGTCTGGGGAGTTCCTACGGCATGCGGAACAGGTCCCAGAGACGCATCAAGGCGCCGTCGGCTTGCCTCCAGGGCGAGTGGACCGGGTCGCCGGGGTACGACGGCCCGCAGATCGTCGTGGCCGCCACACACGACTAACCTCTGTTTGGTTCTGTCATCCAATGGCTTGTTTGGCAGCACGGAGTACGGAGTAGCCAGCTGCTGGTTGAGCAGGAGCCGCGGCCCGCGGGCCATGTCGAGCGGCGCGCCCGTGTCCATCAGGCTCGGCCAGTCGTGCTGCACTTCCTTCCGGCCTCACGGTCATAATAGAGAAGGCGAGGAGGACTCGGGACTCGGGGCTCGGGACTCAGGGCCCTTTGGAAGACCAACAGGCCAGATGCATATCAAGGCGAAGAGATGCTGTCCCCGCCGTCCGGGAAGGAATCGACAGGGTAACGGCATGGCATCGGAAATGGGCCTGCGGTACTTCCGGGGCATCCGCATGGACTCGACCCCCCAAAAGTCCACCTGCCCTTTTTTTTTATTTATTTTTTTTGGGCTACCTCATCAGAGCCCAGCGTCCAGCCGCGTAGGGAGGAGACTCACGTCTTTTCGCATCAACGGGAACACTGCTCGCGGGAAGGAGGAGACGCGGGCAGCCTAATCCAAATCCACAGCGGGGAGGAGGAAGAAGCGCTCGGCTGGCGGCCGAAGTCATCGACAGAATCTCGCTCCCACGTACGCTCTTGCATTGCCGCTGCCTGATCGGAACAAGGTTCCATGCTGTTGGCCCAATCGACTCTGGGGGGTGGCTCCTGTGCCTCGACTTTCTTCCAGCCTGGCTGCCGTCTCGCTGGACGCGAACCGGCTACGGAGTACGCGGAGTGCGGTCTGCGGACATGGCAAAGCCCATGGCTCAGCTGAAAAGCTTGGTAGCGTCTTTTAATTCTCCGTACTGCGCGCAGTCGAGCTGTATCGGAGCCGAATATTGCCTGCCGGGCCCTAAATAATGTTCCCCCTCCCAGGCGTGCCCGCGTACCTCATTGGCCTCGATGCTGCAGCCACATCCATTCCCGCCTTGCCATTTCTTGGGCGTGCCGAGTGCCCTCGTCGAGCGCTGACCGCGGCTTGCCGCCCCAGGCAGACTGTCGCTCCCCTCCACCAATTGCAGTTTATGCCTGCGCCAGCATATCTGAAGCTTGACCGACGTGCGTGCAGCAATAGTCCGCACTGGACACTTCATGAACCGTAAACAGATCCACCGCGACGGGGAGCCAAAAACTACTAGCCGGCCTGGGGCAGCTCCGGCGAGTCGAGAGTCGAGAAGTCGAGAGTCGAGAGTCGAGACGCAGCGGACCAGGCACCCCAAGAAAACTTAATACGTAGCCTTGATTCGCCTCGCCTCGCCTCGACTCGACCCTGGTCCGGCACTCCTAGTGTGGCTGCTCCACTCCTGCACTGTCCCGTGCCTCCATTTGTTGTTTATTTCGTGACTTGTTTCAGACGGCGCCTTGGCTCTCAAGTGCAGGGCGAGGTCAAAAACTGTGCCTACAGTCCGGCGTACCACCTTCTCCGTATTTTGGCATATATATAACCGATCAGGGACAGCCTACAGGCATGTCCTACTCCTGCAGCGAATCGTGAGCGAATCTGGACAAGGATACATGAGACCGCGCTACCGTCCGTCGGAGGCCGTCTTTCGACGTTCCAGTTGTGTCAGGGCGTCCGCTGTGACACGCCAACGTACCATGCTTAAAAATAAGATCACTGCCGTGCATGAGTCAGCGGAAATGAGAACTCGATGGCACCGTGCATGCGTTGCCCGTCTGTCCTGTCCTGTCCATGAGTGTGTGTGTGTGCTTCGCCGCGACGCATACTGCGACGCTTATGCTGAGTCTGCTGCAAGGATAATTGATGCGCGTATTGCATGTTTGACAAGAGAGCCAAGTTTGTTCGGGCTCTGTGCCGTCTTGGCGTGGCAGAACAACTTGCTTCTTTCAGATTGCGAACCGCCTCGATGAATCTGACCCTCGAGTTTTCCGCGGGACCAATGGGGACGATTGATTTTGAGTTCGCGTCTGTGGAGAAGCCCTGCCGCATGTCGCGAGCCCCCTATTGCCTGGCCTGGCGACGGGTTGTGTACGGGCGGGAGGGAGCACATGATGAGAAGAGACGGACGAACTGCGGTACATCCGCCTCGTTGGTCCGGTCCGTTCCGCACGAGACGGACAGGCAAGAATTTCTACATCTTCAACACTGTTACTCCGTATAGACATCAAGTGCGGGTAACACCTCCCCAGCGTCGTCGATTCATCCGCGTCTCGTGCTTGCATGGCTGTCATAGCCATGCCGGTGTGGTGGAGTGTCCGCGCCGGCACCCAGGACTGACAGAGAGAGAGTTGAGACGAAACGAAAATGTCAAGCGTTGAGGGCTTTTGCGCCGGGCTACCGGCTTGGACAGCTTCCTCCCCAGAAATATTTCTCAGAAAGTGTATACAAATCCCAGTGGTGAGTGAGTCGGTGACGAGCCGAACCAATCTGCCACGGGCAAGCCAGCCACGGCCAGACAGACGGCTGCCCAACAGAGCAGCCATACCACTGCGGCTTGCTTGCATTAGGGGCCATTAGGGGTGGCGCAAATCAATCCGTAAATGGCCAAAATAAGGTCCGTAATCCAAGGATGAGCAGTCGTTGCCAGATGGGGAGTGCTGATTCTGTCGGCATCATACCTCGTCTTCGATGTGCCAAACGAATTGAGGGACAGCCACCATCACTTGGATGGAGTATAGCGTACGGAGTACTTGGACAGGACATTGGTTGGCCAACCTTTTGGCGAATATCGACATCTCAGACGGCATCAATATAGGCGAATCAGACCAGCCGTTGCTTCGTCCACCACGAGGGTCAAGACATGACACGCATCCAGACAGACACAACGACGAAAGCCCCAAGGGCTTCACTGAGGTCGATGTAACATGCTGACGATCCCGCGGGTCAGCACGGCTCCGTCTGGAAAGCCGAGTCCTTGGAACGTGGGACACGTCCAGATGGCTGATGGACTTTTCGGCAAATGTTTCTCAGAATTCTTTTACTACGGCGTACTTGTTGCGGAGAGACCAAGCCCCAACTTGACAAAGCACAGCGGTCCGTCCGCACCTACTAACAGCTAAGCGATCCAGCATCAAGGTTGAATTGGCCGTTTCAGGAGCTTTCTTTTGGGCAGAAATCGAACAGGCAGAGCGGATTGCAAAGAGCGGCAAGGAGAATACCACTGTGACCGGTTGTTGCAAAGTCAACAAATTAAAAATCGTCCGATAGTGGTTCCATCCTGTCGGCATCATGTCGTGGGACTCGCACAGGGATCCTGGAAAAAGACGACTTGAACGGTTACATCATCTCGGACGTATCGGCTGACGGGGCTGTATGCAGTCACGGAACCACAAAACAGAGTGCGTCGGTTGCCGCCCGACACATTCTTGACGGGGCAGACGGCCGCATTGTCAAGATCCTCCACTGCAAAGAAGTCTCGGGTTGCTTTGTAAGATGGCCATCCGTCGACCCCAACCATCAAGGCCGTCCTGGCGTTGACGACTTGCCAGCTTTTTTGGCAGCCAACCATTTTGAAAACGCAGTCATTCCACAGCGTCGTCGTTGGACATGACCTCTCACGGTCCGTACGAGGCCAGAATGACGGATTCCTTTTTCGCTACCTTGCGGGTGATGACTTCAGGTTCGGCCGTCATGCAAGACAGCGTCGCGTACTTGGGGCGCTCGGCGAGGCCGTGTGAGTTTGGCTGGAGTGACTCGACGGCGTCTTGATATGCCTTCCGGCGATGATCCCCAGATGCTCGAGTTGCGGCGATGCCCAACAAGCGGCCGGTTTTGGGATCAATCACGTCCTCAATCTCACCAGGATGAGACTCGTCGAGACATCTCAGCTCGCCGTGGTTGAAGCCGGTTTGATCCCTGCTCTACCTGCCAGTGTCATCGGACCCAGATCCGAGGACAGCCACAGCAATTCTGACTAATGACGTGGCCGGGTCGTACATGGACGCCAGAGCACACGACCCGGAAACAGCGGGAGCCATGGCGGCGACAACAGCAGCGGAGGCCGGCTTGGCGGACCCCTGGGCGGCAGGCTTGGCCTCGTTCATGATGCGGGCATCGAGGTTTCTAAAGGCCGACTTGAATCTTGATAGCTGAGTCAATGACGTCGGAATTGGCTGATGGGGCAATGCGGCTGATGTCGTGCGAGACATGGGGAACCAGCGCCTGGCGAAGGACTGCTGACGTCGCCCAACCGCTGGATGGATGGATGGAACCGGCGAGGCGTAAGATAAGCATACATGCATACATACATGGTAGTTAGTCTGTGCGGTGTACGGAGTAAGCAACTCAGGACTGCCCTCACAGGCCGAGGGCTGTGGGACGTGGGACGCGGGACGCGGGACGTGGGACGTGTTGTGAAGCGTCCCTACTCCAGAGCAAGTCGAGACGTGACGTGGGGACTCACGCGTGACCGTCTGATTTCCTGCCTTCAACCCCCTTCCCGACAGCCACGGCCCATTCATCCTCGACGGCGCAGTTGCTGGCTACGCGAGCCAGGTCGATTCTCGCGGCAAAGGCGAAGCTGGTTGCCCTCGAGACTGCACAGTGTACGCCTTGCTTGACAGGGGACGTGACGGGAATGCGGCCCTCGTCTGCTGGGTCGACGAGGGACGGCACCGTGTGCGATGCGCCGGACACGGAATAGAAGGCGCAGGCTCCGGCGGCCAGGGCCCCGAACGTCGCTGCAATCACGGCAGGCGAGTCCCCTGGAGGTGGCTGAGATGGAGATGACGATGACGAGTTAGGTCTTGACGCTGAAGCAAAGAAACACGCGGATGACGCGGGGAAGGCAGGTGCCGCGAGGTCGCGAGGCGTGCTGTGGTGGTGGTGCATCGAAACATGATGAGCAATGGAGCACGCAGAACAGAACAGGGGGGGGTACCGTGTTGCACGGCCGCCTAGATGGATGGGAGGCTGGGTCCGAGATGACTTCGACATGTCCATCCCAAGTGGCCTCGGGTTCCGGAACGTCAAACTGGGGCGTGCGTGAAGAAGATTCAGGGTTTCAATCAAGGTTTGGAAAGAAGGCATCATTCAGGCTCAATGTCGACATGAAGCGGACGCTAGTCGGTGCTGCGAGACAGGGCAGCGCGAGCTAACTTTACTGCTGCGTGGGGCGCCAAAGGTTATCGGTGCCGCTGTCTGGCCCCTGTTGACGGCATACCAGGCCCCGACAATCAGCCAGAGGTCCCCACAGGTCGGCTGACACTCAGCAACTGCGGTTTGGGTCAGAGCCCAAGCAAGTAAGGATTGGTTGGTGCATCTGGCGTCCGCCCATCGGCCAGTGGCTGGCGCCGAACGCCAGAGCTCAGAGCTGCACAGCGTCTCGTCTTGCCTGCCCGGGAGGTTGCATGTACTGTACCAAGTTGACGTGCGCTGGTCCTGGTCCTCCCCGCATCGACGCTACCTGCTCGCGTGTCGTCTTGCTCAACCTGCCATTGGCCTCGAGTCTCTGCTAATTTCCGTGCCAAATAGACCCTCTCACCATTCGCAAAGCTCTCACATACATGAACCCGACTAGCCCGGCGGCAAGTGAATGCGACGTGGCGAGGCGTGCTCGTGGCACCACGCACCACCATGACGACCGCGGACCGCATACGGACACGCCAGACCATGCATCACGCACCACGCACCACGCACCACGCACCATCTACCAAGGTAAGCAGTCAGTCGTACCGAGTACCTGCCTGGTGTTGGGCACCAGACAGACCCGTGTGCTCTCTCTCTCGTCCTGAGCCCTCGTCACCCTGTCGCTGGCCCACCGAGTGCTTGTTCCTGGCAAGCATTGTCCACCGACGTCCATCTACTCCGTGTCCACGGCCCGTAGCCGCCCTGTATTATAATCCCTACAGTGTACTGCACTATCCTGCCTGCCTGGCCTGCCGAGCACCTGCCCAAGACAGTATCCCATTGATATCACGGCCCACTGCCCAAACGAGCACAAATGCATCATCCCACTCGCCGCCTCCGTAGTACCGACCCATCCTCCCGCGGTGGAGGCATCCGGAGGCAGGCCAACACCAGACACCTTGATGTCGCTCGTGTGCGTGGACACTACGTAGCAGCACCATCTACTTGGTGAATACGGGACAAGTCTGCCAAGAAGAACACGGCCCTGAAAGCTGCATTTACCAAACACTTGCCAAGTCTTCCGCGAATTAACTAATGAAAATAGACTGACTGGTCGCGGAGATTGCCCGTTCTTGACCCGGAATCGTGGTCGTGCATATATGGCTGCAGGGTAGGTCGGCAGCCAGGGACATTTGCCCAATGCAACTTTTCCCAATGGCCATCAGCTATCGGCTAGTCGTCTGTCCAGTGCCAATCAAAGCTGATACTTGCTTCACTGGTGTGCTCCTTGTTTATTCAATTCGGCATTCCGGTCGTCACGTTGATGTGTGCATGTATTGCGCTTCTTTTTGCCAAGTTGATGCAGCCGTCCCGCATCCATCTGCTTCTGCATCACCCTCGTACGCTCACCACCACCACCACATCGCATCTCTGCTGCGAAAGAACCCTCGAGACGATCGACAGGGTTGAGTCGCCGCCTGCTGGCAGCCATCGAACATTCTGGAACTGATTCATTTCCCCAAAGACCATTGTCCGCCACCCCCCAAAACTTATGCTTATCCCACCGCCGCGCAGCCGCTACCCGGCGCAAACGCCAACTCGTCACCACCCGTTCCTCATCAAAGCTCTATACGAACGGTCCCGTACAATCCCAGCAACGATACCACATCGACATTTCTCCGAACAACGGCCCCCCCTTTCCTTTCGGGACGGGGAACGGGGGAACGGGGGACCGGGGGGGAAACCAAGGGCTGTTACGCATCGTTTTCCCCCCGCCGGAACCCTCTCCCCCGCGGCTCGCCCGCGTTGCACAAACGGCTCGCGATGCTACCGCACATGGCCATGACACCCGAGGTGAAGGACGAAACCAGACTGAACCAAACCTAAAGAGAGGCTAAATCCCGGCATCTTGGTGTGAGAATTCCACCGAGCTTCGGCCATCCGTTACACTGTGCTACCCCAGAATCGGATGGCCATGTGGTCCGTCACCAAAATGTGTTGGTCTGAGAAATTGCGACGGGGGCGGTTAAGCAGACCAGTATGCGTATGCGGACGGGCGTCTTTGAAATAAGTGCGCGGTCCAAATTTTGTAAGATGCCAACGCTAACAATATCGCCAACCGACTGATTGCCCCGATACTGGGCTCCCGTCCAGACAAACACCGTTGACATCACACCATCTGTGCGACGCACTCATGGGCAGTGCGACGCCAAGGACTCCCGCCGGTACCGTCTGCTTTGTCGACGTCGACTTTTGCCGTTGTGACCAATTCGTCTTGCCCCATTCCCATTTGCAGCAGCTCCATCCGTTCCCACCCAGGCTGACTCGTGTCGTTCGCATCGACGCTACAACTCGCTCCTCTGCCAGATGTGCAATGTTGACACTGGATTTGAAACGTTCGACGCAAGGTTTCCCGTGGTCTCCGATGATGCCGGCCTGCCGTGCCGAATGACAGTGTCGCCGGCTCCCTCGTCCTTGCTGGCGCCGCGGCCCTCGCCGCGCTTTGCGCATCTGGCACGCCTTGTTTTGCGTGTGCTGCCGACGAGACTGCCGAATACTTTGGGCCTGAATGCTTTTCGGGGCAGCGCGTAGCAGTGTGGGACGTTGGTGACAATGATGGCGGTGCTGGCTTAGCGAACGTACCAATAGATCTAGAGGATGCTCTCAGGGTGCGCGACGCAGTAGTACCTAGTCAGTACTGCGGCAAGGATCTAGCCAAGTGATCAGAGTGCTCATCATCTCGGTGTCGCCGTCGCGTGGCTACGTACGACGAAGACGCCTAGGCCAAATATTGCACAAATGTTAACCTTTCTTTGGCGTGGTCAGTGATGAGTTGTACTTTGTCGCGGGTACACCAGACGCACTTTCTCCAGGGAGTTGCGATTGCAGCAACAGTGGTATGGGAACGGCGAGCATCCAAAGATCAGACGAAAGGTGGAAAGCAAACGACATGATGGGGTGGTTTTGCGACGTCGTGCAGCCGGCTGGCCCCCATCAGGGTGTCAGTGCCCATTGCCCCGACAAGGGAAAAAAGGCCGACATCTGGACGGACGTGAATTTCCTGCGAAAACCCGAAAGTAATTGCGAAATGGTTGGCACCAGTAGTCCAAGAAGAAGGCCTCTGTTACGGCCCATCCCAACAAGACGTAACCAAACAACAGCTTGACTTGTAATTGTCGTCTCAACCCTGACCTGCCTCGACAGAACTCTGTCAGTCAAGTACCCCATCGTGTTGCATCATGGCCTGGCAGTGGTCTCTTACGTCAAACTGATAAACAACAAACACATGCACACCTTGCACAGCATTTGTAGAACCACCATGGACTCCTCAATTGTACACGTAATCTTGCTTCCGTAGATGCGATCACCCATCTCGGCTCCGCTCATGCCACTGGTGCCGTGGACGGCAGGATATTGGTGTGGGGACGTTTTCCTTGAATATTGACCCATACCATGACATTGCTGTAGAAGCCCTGCACCTTGTCAGCGCGGGAAGATCGCCAAGACGTGTCTGGTCAGCGCCACATGTCGCCATTCGCCGCCGGTGGGCCAAAGACGGCGGGCCATCGTCAACAGACCAGTTGACTGACAGCACTAGTAGATGCCCATCGTCACCAAACCGAGTCGAGGACATGTCTGCTTGCAAAGGCAAGGATCATGAGATAATCGTCCAGTTCGAAATATCGAGTACCGCCGAGTCGGATCGACCTCGAGACACTACACGACAGTCAGTAACATACTTGTGCCGACCGTGGACTTTGACTTACAAGCGGCAGAGTGTGAAGAGGCTGGCCAAGCCGTATCACGTCCACGACTCGGCTTGCCTCGGGTCCGACATCTCTCTCCTCCCCGCGTCTATCTATCCCAGCATTCCTACACGAGAGCTGCAGGGCCGCGCAAGCTCCTGAAGAGAAAGTGCGGCTCGGCGAGCGGGCCAACACCGCCGTGACTACAAGTCACGGCGGGAGGATCGGTTCCGCGGTGGATTTAACAAAACGAACGGCGTCAGGCCTCGGAATCACATATTCTAGTGGGAGGAAGTTCGGCGACGGAACACAATGCGTAAAGGACTTGAGAATTTTGAGAGATTAGCCGGACCAGACACAAGTTGCGGAACCGGAAGCATCAACAAGTGGTGGCATCAACACTAGGCCATTCGAGATTTGCTGATCCTGCGCCTTCAGCTCGACATGCTTCGAAGCGTCTTTGGTGCTGTCAAGTTGCACCGCAGCCAGTGGGTAGCTCTAACAAACGAATCAAACGCCACGAATGCATGTAACTTGGCGTGAAACAGATTCTCGGCATAGCCGCATCATCTTGACGAATTGGACACGTTGTGGCGCTCCACGTTTTGTACCGAGTAGTAGATACTACTCCGTAGACCATGCGAATCTCGCGCTTGAACGAGCGTCTATCGACTTATTGGTCGTTTTCCGAGTGTGATTCGCTCCCAACTTGTTATTCTGCCCTCGTTTCTTGACTCAGATATTGACGTGCTGCACTGAAGGTCAGGCAAGGTTGAGAGATTCTCCGACAGGTATATTCGGTATCTCGCCGTACGAGTTGCCGGACGGACCATCATCTCAGCTGTCAGACCGGCTGCATTACCGGCGTCCATTTGAGCATTTTAATTCCGGCCCCCATCAGGGTGTATTGCAATGGTTCCCAAGTGGACAATCTGGTTTCCGAGCCTGTCTTGTCCCACGCCACAGGTCACTACGAATGCGACTACTGACTTGTGCTCTGTTTCTTTCCAGACGAGGCTCCAAGGATTGGGTCCGATGCATGAGGGCAGCGGCCAGATGTTCATCATGTTCACACTGGAACCCGCAAGGGCATCTTTTTGTAGTGCAACTGAGTGGATTGTTCTTCTTCTGGGCCCCCTTTGTCAACACGCGTTCTGCATAGCGAAGATTTCTCCCGCTACAATGTCAGGATCGCCATGAACCGCTTATTTTGTGGACGCTTTGGGTATTCCGGTAATGTCGGTCAGCAGGCAGATTTAAGGGGAGGGGTAGAGACTGAGGCGATTAGTATGCTGAGTTGAGTGCCCATTTTCCCCGCCGTTCGTCGTCAAAAAAGGCCAAAAAGCACTGGTGGTAATGTATACCATTGTGCTAGCAATCTTTCATTAATTAGCACGTAATGAGATTGCCCGCATCGTGCATGTATCCTTGCGCTGTCACAGCCGCGGGGGGAGGGGGGGGGAACCTATGACTCTGGAACGGTTCCTTTACAGGTCAACACTAGAATGTTCACCAACATGTGAGAGTGGAATGTGTATTGCGTGGGGTCTATTCATGTACCTACCTGAGCTATTTAATCGAGGCGGCCCTGGATTCCCGCCAATTTGCTGGCTGGGATATACACGGCCTCGTCGCAGTTCCGTGTAATGATGAGCCCTGTACAAGAGCCCGTTTGTGCCACAGTAGACGTGAGATTGACGAGCTTCCTTGGTGTGCTCCGTAGTGCAAGGACTGATGCAAACAAGTTGCAAATAGACTGTGGTTGACGATGCTGACGGGTCTGGTCACACAAAAGCAGCGCTTTCATCTAATACCAGTACACTCTGTCAAGATATTTTCGAATTAAATTTCAGCTCTGTGATTTCAGCTCTGTGATTGATCTTCTTGCGAAAAAGGGGGTTCAAAAGGCGGAATGGTCGTCACTATATGTTGACTAGACTGGACAGGCGCTTTGTCGAGTGAGGATCCGTCGTCTATCATCGAAATTCATGTAATATGGCAGAAGCAACTATCGAAGATAACCTTGACAGGATTAGGGCGACAGATTTGAACGTTGGTCCTAGTTCGACCTGACTTACATAATGACTAGTTTGATAGCCAGGAGTGGAGTGGTAAAGATCCATCATGCGGCATGGCAGACCCCAAAATATGTGAGTGCTCATCATTCACTGAACGGATCACGACAGGTCAAATTGTTGTGGATTGACTGCTGTCCGGAGTATATCAATGAGGGCACCATGGGCATTCTCCACGCCAACCGACTTAAGTCGGTGCATAGCCTGACAGCCTTTTGCATCTGGGGAACGACGAGAAAACAGCGTCCTTTCCAAAAGTTTGCTGTCGAAGCAAATTGTCCGCCATTATGGGCCGGGGATAGATGTCGATGGAGTAATTAGTCGTGATTCGTGAATAAAGGCCCCTGGAGCGACAAGGGGTCTGGCAGTCTCGTCAAAAGTTCTCGTTTGATTCCTGCCAATAGCTGCACCGAGTATTCCGTATCCGGTTTCCGGACTCTCACCAGAGAGCAGGCGCTGTAACTTCAGCCGCTTCTTGAATATCGAGCTTCGTCCATGTGCCTGACTGCGGCTAGCCGTCAGTTGCTCACAATCCCCAAGGACTGGCCAAATCACCCCAAGCGCTGTCCCGTGTCGTGTCGTCATGTAGCTTGACTTGCTAGCCCATGTGGTGATGTGGAAATCGCAGCAGAGACGGTGCTTTGTCGTGCATACGGACGGCGAGTGGAATGCGGTGATTGACAGCCACCGAGGTACATCGGAAGAGTGAGTGTTGTTGTTCTCTTCTGGTTCGTTAATAGATGAGTCGACATTTCTGAGACATGGACGTGGCGCTGCATGCAGGCAAATGGACACTTATTACGGAGTACGGAGTACGGAGTACTTTTATTTGGAGTGAAACATGGCGATGACCCCGTTGTGTGTGTAAAAGTCGGTTTGCTCACGTGCTCGAGGGTCGGCCGCTCCTGCCGTTTACCTAGGCAGCCTTTGCGTGAATCCTGGATGCGCCGCTTATTTTTCTGCGACGCAGTTCACTTATCGGTCACTCTGCGTCAATTGACCTACATGATCTCACAATTCTACCGTTGGCGTCGCATCAGCGGGGAGAAATGAGCAGCGAGGGCTGAGTACCCCTAGCACCACTGGGCAGTGGGCAGAGACCGCTATGCCGTGCGGTACGCCACCATCCACAGCGAGTAGGGTCCGCGACGTCGAGACATGCACAACGCTTCGTCATACGATCCTGAACCATCACGACTCGGGGGCCTCGTCAAGGCAGGAACCGGCTGACAATGGAGCTCCCGGGGCTGGTGCCATCCAGCAAAGGAACCGCGTCTTGAGGTTTCTTGCGAGTCTCGATAGTCGAATCGACCAATTTGCCAAGTTCGAGGCCATGGGCGTGGAGAGGGTCTCTGAAACGGGTCGGACGGTGACGGACGTGGAACAACGACACACGGGCGATTGCTTTTGACCGCCGCCACGGCCATCTCGGCATCCTCGGGCCCTAGCCGGCCCGGCATTTTGCTGAGTGGGCATCGCCGAAGTGGCTTGCCAAGCCGCCGGGGAGATGATGAGCTGCCGGCCCGATGCCATCTTTGCGTCCTCGGTGGGCCACAACGAGCACCCGGTCGTCGTGGCGCCGGTGGAGATGACAGGGAGCAGTACTCCGTAGCACTCCCGAATTTGACAGCATTGCACGGAGTAACTTACATATACGTTATATGCCTACCTAGGTAGGTAGGTATTGCTTTGTACTCGGGCACGAATTCTGATGCCATACGGAGTACGGAGTAGTTACCTGATATGGCTGGCATAGGGCTTTTGGAGCCACAAGCCGACGGCTGCTTCTGAGCTGGAAGGCCGCCCGGAAACGATGATGAATTGGAGTTGGGGAACGAGCCATGAATCGGTTGCCATTTCCATCGGTTATCGTATCAGAGCAATCAATTGATGCGTCACGTATCGTTCATCTCTATTTGCTACAAGGAAGGGGAACGACGAAATTGCTCATGCCCACATGGCATCGGCAACCTGCATGGAGGCGCACCCTTCTCCCCCTCATCTGCTGCGCATTATACGTGGCCCAAGGGCCAAGACTGAGCTCAGCCATCCTCGCGTATTCCTCAGCTGTCCCAATTCGATCCATTTTGCAGTTGCATACTCGGTACTCGGTACGTGGAAACAACATGACTGCACAAGACTGGTCCCGCGCGTTCCACGGCGTCGTCATCCACACCACATCGCTCACGAGCCTGACGATTGTCGAAGACGCGCTCCTCACGGTCTCGCCAAGCGGCCGAATCGCCTCGCTCGAAGCCGGCGTCCGTCCGGATCAGGTCCCGTCGAAACTGGCCTTGCTCGAGGCCGCCGCATGCCCCGTCACATACCTGCAGCGCGGGCAGTTCCTCATGCCGGGCTTCGTCGACACGCACCACCACGCTCCGCAATGGCTGCACCGCGGCCAAGGCCAAGGCCTGCACATCCTCGAGTGGCTGGACCAAGTGGCCTTCCCCAACGAGGCGCGCTTCGAGGATGCGTCGCACGCCCAAAGGGTCTACGGCAAGGTGGTGGAGGGCATGCTGAGGCAGGGCGTGACGACGGCCAGCTACTACGGCTCCAAGCACGGCGCGGCCACCAAGACGCTGGCCGACATCTGCCTCGCGCGCGGCCAGCGAGCCCTCGTGGGCAAGTGCAACATGAGCCGCAACGCGCCCGACTACTACCGCGACGCGGACGAGCACGAGTCCCTCGCGGCGACGCTCGACTGCATCCACCACATCAGGCGCATCGACCCCGAGGGCGTGCTGGTGCGCCACGCCCTCACGCCTCGCTTCGCCATCTGCTGCGATGCCGGCCTCCTCTCGGGCCTGGGCGACCTGGCCAGGCGCTACCCCGACATGCCCATCCAGACGCACTTCAACGAGTCGGAGCAGGAGCGCCGCGCGACCCTCACGCTGTTCCCCGGCTTCTCCAACGAGGCCGACCTCTACCAGCACTTTGGCCTGCTCAACGACCGCTCCATCCTCGCCCACTGCACCATCATGACCGACTACGAGACGCGCCGCCTCGCCCGGCTCGGGTGCGGCGTTGCCCACTGTCCCACGGCCAACATGACCGTCGGGGGAGGCTTCATGGCCGCCCCCGTGCGGGACTTTCTGCGCAGCGGCATCAAGGTGGGCCTCGGCACCGACTCGGGCGGCGGCTACTCGTCGTCCATGCTCGACGCCATGCGGCACAGCCTTGTGGCCTCGTTTGCGCGGGACTCCCTGGATGCGCGGGACGGCACCGCCGCCGTGTCGCTCGACGAGGCTTTCCACATGGCCACGTTGGGCGGCGCGCAGGTCGTCGGGCGCGACGCCGACGTGGGCAACTTCCAGCCCGGCAAGGCCTTTGACGCGCTGGTCGTCGACGTGCGCGGCGACGCGGGCGGCGTCAACGCGCCGCTCGAGGACGACGACTCGCTGCGCACCATGCTGGAGAAGTTTGTCATGACGGGCGACGACCGGAACATACGGAGCGTCTTTGTCGGCGGAACAAGGGTGCATGGCGTGTAGGGGAGGAGGCAGGCTGTCTGGCCGGCCGCGTAGTTTTGCACCCTGCGTAGTCTCGAGCTTTGGACGACGGGTGCTGCTGGTCTTGTCGCGTGCGTGCCGCTACATTGTTCGCATCTATCCGGGTATCTCAACGTCTGAATCGGCCAGAAACAAGTACGCCTGCTAGTTACATGTGTCCAATGCCAAAATCTACCCATCGTCCTCCAGGCCATATTCCGCGTCCATGTCGGCATCGTCGTCGTATCCGCCCTCGAACTCGCCGCCGCCACGGCGCCCCTCCTCGTGCTCCTCGTAATCTTCATCTCCTTCCCGGGCTTCGTCGTCGCCGGCAACACTGCCCGCCGGGTCTTCTTCGTTGGCGTCGTCGCCGCCAAACGTGCTGCCCGCCAGGCTGGTCTTGCGACTCGTCGCCGCCGATCCCAGACCGGCCGCGTTGGGAATGTCAAAGATGCTGCGGATGGCATCGTAGTTGATCCGCTTCGACCAGGCCCTGTCTTTGGCAACATTGACGGCAGCTTCGGCCGCAGAGCTCGCGGGGCTGGTCTGGCCCTCGCCAATCCTGGCGCGCTTCCGGCGGCGACGCGTCTGCTTCGGCCGCTCCGCTTCCACCTTTTTCCGGAACAGCTTCTCCTGGCGCTGTCGCAGCCAGTCCTTGTTTTGGTTCACCCAGATGAGCTCCTTGATACGGGCCTCGTCCGGCGAGAGCAGACAGTTCTGCACCTCGGGGTCGTCGGCGAACTCGTCCTCGGTGACGTCCTCGGCCATGGACACGGCCCTGGACGGCCGCTGCTGCAGAGCCCAGTGGGAGTGGATCCTGGCGCGCTGTTCGGCGTTGGAATACGCAAGCGCGTGCTCATAGGTGAGCGGATCGTTGAACATTTCCTCGATTTGGCCCTCGAGCTCTCGCTCGTCCGCCTCCCAATCCTCGTCAATGGGGAGTCGCGGATCCGCAGGGCGTTTGCCCTTGCCGGCAGACTGCTGCTCGCCCTCGCCCTCGGCCTGGTCCGGCTCGTCGTCGTCCATGGCGTCGCCGAATTCGTTGGCCAGTCTCTCCAGGTTATCCGCCGCGTCGCCTCTGCCCGCGCCCTCGTTGTCGTCGTCGTCGTCGTCGTCGTCGTCGACGCGGATGCTCGGCACGTCTTTTGCAATCTGAGAGGGCATTGGGGGGATGATGAATCCGTCGGCGTCGCGGCGAAATTTGATAGCGGGCGCCTTGGACAAGTCGGCGCCTCCTTGGGCCGTTCTCGGTTGACGAAGGGCCGCGTCGACGCCGTCCTCGCCGCCGTCGCCGTCATCTTGATTCGCGCCCTGCCTTGTCTTGCGCGACTTGGCCTCCGCCGTCCTTCTGTACTCGTCTGACTTTCGGTAAAACGAGGGCGGGTCGTGCGAGCTCTCGAGAAAGTCCTGCTTCAGAAAGTCCTCGACCGACATCTGACTGGACTCGGTGACGTTGAACTCCTGGAGCCTGTTCTGGATAGTGTGGTTGGTCACCTTGACAATGTAGACGACCTCGCGGACCGTACGGCGGAAGTTGTGCATGCGGGCCGCCATCAGCAGACAGGCGCCGCAGATGCCGGACGGGCGTCGACCCATGACCATCCAGTCTCGGCTCATGCGCTTGACGAGCCTGACGGCGTCCTCGGCCACCTTGGCCGTGTCCTGGTGAAACTCCATCTTGGTTGCGAAGCGCCAAATCAGGTCCTCGGGGTACACTGGGATGAGGCCGTCGTTGCCGATGGGCACGACCTCGTTGAGCTTCTTGAAGATGCGCCCGAGCTTGAACACGTTGAGCTGCACCAGATCCGCGAGGTCAATCAGCATGACCTTGCAGGGGGGCTCGGCGCGGCACGCGGCGTACAGGCAGACGGCGGCGACGCTGGAGAGCGTGCGCCCCTGGATGAAGTTGGCGCCCGAGGCGAGCTTGAAGACCTGCGTGCCGGCCGTGACGAGGCTCTCGCTCACGTTGAGCTGCTGGGCGTAGCCTTGCATGAGGCCGCGGGCCTCGCGGATGCTCTTCTCGCGGTCCTCCGTGCCGCCGACGCGCCGGAAGGCCGGGCCCATGCTGCGGACGCCGGCTTGGTCGGCTCCGACGAAGGAGCCGTGGACGACGGCCGCGCCCGAAGAGGACTCGCCAAACTGGACTTCGGCCACGATGTTGCTGTCGTCGGCGACGCGGCCGCACGTCTGGCAGGTGCCGTCGACGACGTTGGGCTTCGGGCAGGCCTTGTTAGGGCACTGCTGGCGAGCGGGAACGGCGACGCTGGCCGCCGAGGAGGCCGAGAGGGACTGGCCCCGGCCCAGGGCCTGCTGCATCTGGCGGCGTTCCTCGCGCTCCCTCAAGGCCCGGACGGCGTTGGGGCGTGCAAAGGCCGACTTGGCCGGGCTCGCCGCGGCGCCGGGCTTTCGACTGGGCGTCAGAAACGAAGACATGTCGTCGATGTGATGGGGTGCAAGTCGTGCAAGGCAGATGCCGATCCAGGGATGAGAGAAGGGTGTGGTGACGCCTTGGATTTCCGGGCCAGAGAAGAGAAAAAAGGCCGAATAAAGAGTCTGTCTGGCACGAGCTAAAAAGCCAATCTATCCCGTATTACCGCACTGTCCCGGACGAGACGCAAAGGCTCTTGACGCCTCTCCAAGACGGCATAGACCCGGAGCGATGGCGGTCTATCATGGGATGAGCATGAGTGCGTGTGGTGTCGTGTGTATGCGTTGCGAGGCTGCACCGTGACGGTATGTTTGAGGAAAACCGCAGAAAGAAGGAAGCGGGGGAGTTGCCGTCCCCGCGACGACGGGTGGTCAAGTGGGGATGGGCACGGGCAAAAATTTGCGTCGCGTCGCTGACTCGTCGTCGACCTCGACCATTCGAACGCCGTCGCGGGCGGCGAATCTTTGGGGACAGCAGGGGGACCATGAATAGGACGGTCATGCGTAGCTTGATGGTTCTTCAAGGACCGAGAGAGGCAGACGACGACGACGACGACGACGGGGTTTCCTTGTCGGCCGTGTCCGCTCTGCGTCGTCGTCACCGACCAAACGTCACGTGTCTGCATCGGGCTGCGCGGGATGTAGGGTTAGGGTTGGGCTGTCACGGGCGTCTTGATCATCCTCGATGGAGAGTACGCAATGTCTACTGTTTGGCTCTCGGCAAGGTAGCGATACAATACGGAGTACCCGGTGCACGACTCTCCGCTCGACAAGCGTCAACGCAGATGTGCAGACGGGTCACTGCTGCACCGACTGGCAAACCATCCACGTGCCCCCCGAGCGTGTTTCATCCCGACGACGTTGGCCTCAAGACGACCCAGCCCGCCGCTTCGCCAGCGCGATCCGAGGCAACGCCGCTACTCCCAGTGGACGGCAAACTCGGTAAACGTGGCCTCGAGACGGTCCGTCGTGCCGCTAAAGGGCCTCGCAATCGCGGCAGCGACCTCGAGCTCCCACCCGTCGCCGGCGGCGGTGCCAAACGGCCACGCGATTTCCCTGAGGGGCGTCTTCTCGCCCTGACCATGACCACGATCACGATCACGGCCATGAGCGCCACGGACATGGTAGACCCACAAGGTCGGGCCCGACGCTGCGTCCCCGGTGCGCTCGACGGCCACGGTGACGGGGCGGGAGGCGTCGCGAATCTCCCGGCCGCAGGGGACATCCGAGACGCTCCAGTCGGAGTAGTTGTCTGTGCAGACGACGGAGAGGCGGGGCGCGCCGTCAAAGAGCTCGACGCCGGCCTTGATCCATTTCCTCTCGCTGCCGTCGCCGTCGGTGAACCTCAACAGGACGCCCGCCTGGTCGAACTGGTGCGTGTAGGCGGCGGCGAAGGTGACGGTGGCGGATTTGAAGCCGCGAGTCGGGCCCTTGGAGTGCACGCGGTAAGGGGCTGCGCCGATCAGAGACGCGATTCACCTCTCCCTTTGTCTTGTCCCGAGCTGGGTGCTGCGCGGGCGAGGGCGAGGGCGTAGGCGTACCTGTAAAGACGTCGTGCGCAGGACCTCCCGGCTTCTTCCACATGTCGGTGTTGGCGTCGGCCGCAAAGGTGAGGGGCGTCTCCATTCCGAGGCCGTGTAACTTACTCGGTATCTCGACGGTGTACGATGCGATGCGTCTTGCGAATGCGAGCGTATTCATTCACATTTGTCGTGTCGTCGGCAGAGGGCGAGCGTTGGGGTTTCTATTCCCCGCGCCCGGTACCGACACAGTCGGCCATTCTCGACTTGTACTCCGTACGACGACTGCGAATGATGGAACTGCCGGGTCCGTCTACTCCGCGGGTGGCTGTGCATCACACAAGTTGCAACAACACAAAACGGCTACTCCGCCGTCTCGGCGCGGCGCCGGCGGCCACCTAGACGCAACGAGCACGGCGTACGGACAGCATGGATAAAACGGCACGAACAACAAGGACGAGATTTTTGAATGTCAAGTAAACGACTAAACAGGCGATGAGAGGAACATGTGGAGGAAGCACGCGTCAGCAGACTCACGCCGCAGCCGCAGCCCCTGGCGAGACCGACGATGATGCCGCGCCAAAACTCGGAAACTCGCGACATTTTTTTTTATTTCTCCCTGCCCCCCCACCCAAGCGGCAGACTACTTCATCGCCAGCCCCTTCAGGCCTCCCCACGTCGCGGCCACGACATCGTAAAAGTAATACCACCTAGGCCGCCACTGTCCGGTCCCCCCCTTGGGAAACACGCTGGCCATGTTCCGGAGATAGGTCGACGTCAGCCTCCACAGCGGCCGGGGCGCCATGCTCTCCCTCTCGGACGCGTCCAGCTGCGGCGCGGCGCACGTCATCTTGTGCCTCTGCAGCTCGCGGAGCACGCGGACCATGACGGTGGCGGCGCAGTCTGCCGCCAGAGTCCACGAGTTCTCGGCGTACCCGAAGGAGAAGACGAGGTTGGGCACGTCCTGCAGCATGCACTGCTTCCAGGCAAACTTGTCGCAGGGGTTGACGGGCTCGCCGTCGACGGAGAGGGCGACGTCGCCGCCAAACTTGAGCCGGATGCCCGTGGCGACCACGATGGCGTCGGCGTGGAGGACCTGGCCCGACTTCAGGACGATGCCGTGCTCGGCGACGGTGTCGATGTGGCCCGTGACGACGCTCGCCTGCCGCGAGCGAAGGGCGGAAAAGAGATCCCCGTCCATGACGATGCAGAGGCGCTGGTCCCAGGGGCCGTACCGCGGCTGGAAGTCCCTGTCCCAGTCGGCGTCCTTGGGGAGCTGCATGGCCGTCAAGAAGCGCAGGACGCCCGCCGCCACGGTCGGCATGTTTCTGCACACAAACAGGAGGAGCTGCGACTGCAGCAGCCAGCGGTAGCGGTTCATCCGGCGGGACGCGCTCGCGGGCAGGACGGCGGCGAGCAGGCGGGCGATGGTGCCGTACTGGCTCAGCGGGAAGTACCAGGACGGGCTGCGCTGGAGCATGGTTACGTGCTTGGCTCGCCCGGCGACGGCGGGCACGATGGAGATGGCCGTGGCGCCGCTGCCGATGACGACCATCTCCTGGCCGGTGTAGTCGTAGTCTCGGGGCCAGTGCTGGGGCGCGATGAGCCTCCCCCTGAAGTTGTCGATGCCGGGGATGGCCGAGTGAAGCGGCTGCTGGTAGTCGTAGTATCCGGTGCCGAGGAAGACGAAGCGGCCCCTGAAGAGCTGCGGCTGCTCCTGCGGCCGCTGCCGAGCCGCCACCTCCCAGCATCCCGCGGCCGAGCTCCAGTTTGCAGAGACGACCTTGTGGCCGAGGCGGACGTGCCTGTCGATGCCGGCCTGGCGCGCAGACTCCATCATGTACCGCTTGATCTTCTCCCCCGACGCGAGCGACTCCCTGCCGGGCCAGGGATTCCACGCAAAGCTAAAGGTGAAGACGTCCGAGTCGGACCTGATGCCCGGGTAGCGCCAGATATCCCACGTGCCGCCCATGGAGTCGCGGCTCTCGAGGATCACGTACGAGGTCCCGGGCGGCGCGCCGTTCTGCACGCGATACGCGGCGTTGATGCCGGAAATGCCGGCGCCGATGATGATGACGTCAAAGTCCAAGCCGTTGGACGCGGCGTCCGTCTTGGGGTCCATGGCCTGCCTGTCGTCTCACGATGCCGGCGCGACGAGGACGAGAAAGAGTCGGCGGCGCACAACGAGGCAGTCGAGCCTTGTGTCACCTCCTTTTTGCTTTCTGACACAGTGCCTTGGGCTGCTCGGATCGGCACATGCAAGAAAACCACACACTCGGCCAGCCGAAAGTGTAACCACAGCTCAGACGCCACCAGAGTCGTCGGAATGCAGATGCAGATGCAGACGCAGACGCAGACGCGGTCAAGACAACACGGGACGGGCCAGTGACCAGCTGCATCGGGGGAGAGAATCAACGCCACTGCCCCTCACGCCTTTGCTGTCCCATGCCGTCTGTGAGATCATGTGAGCACAGAGCCGAGCGAAGGCGTATCCGTATCGAGGCGTGCTCTCGTGTCGACGCGTGGTGAAGCCACTCGACCAGCCGGGCTACCTTGTACCGGGCACATGACAAGACAAGGCAAGGCGCGAGGGGAGACGGCACACAAAATTCGGTGGCGTGCCCAGGCTTACCCCGCGAATATCTGGCCAGCCAGGATGACGAGGGGGTTGGAAGACGCATGGGGTCCTTCACCATGCCTACGGAGTAGAACGTCTTGAGAATTGCCGCATTTCAGTCACTACGAGGCCGTGGCTGGCAGAAGGTCGCCGCCACGTTCTAGTGACGGTCCTACACAACCCCCTTCCACCAGGTGAAGACGCATCCAGCGTCTCTCTCTTTCCGGACAAGAGTCGCGGCAGCGTGGCCGTCGATCCACTCGACGCACAAATCGACAAGGATTTGCCCAGGCTGCCTTGGACACCGACTTTGAAGCGGCATATGCCGAGATGCTATGCGCGGCGGCTCGCCTCCAGGTTCAAAGCCGTCGGCACGTCCAGAGGAGGAAACACGCGGCGATGCGACCCCGACCCTTGCTGCCTGACGTCGTGCTGATTTGTCCCGCTCGTCCGGCAGACATAAGCACTAGTCCGGTCCCAGTCACCGACACACGAGGAGCCCTGGAGACGTGTCGACGACCGGGGATCAAAGGAGGGAGAGAGAGTGTATAGTCCCGGCCGCCGACCTGGCAAACCAGCAGCTGTCCCCGAGGCCTCTCCTCCACAGACGGGGATCTTCGTCAGCGGCCGTCCCCGAACATGGCCGACTACGCCAAGCTCCCGGCTGGCGCAACTCTCGCCGTCACGCCCTTCAAAGCCCACGTCGACGAGGAAAAGCTGCGGCACTTCAGAAAGCTGCTCGAGCTCTCGCCGATAGCGCCGGCCGTCTTCGAAAACACCCACGCCGGAGACAGGTACGGCCTCAGGAGGGAGTGGCTGGAAACCGCCAAGGCCGTCTGGCTCGACGACTTTGACTGGCGCGAGCACGAAGACGGCATCAACTCGTACCCCAACTTCAAGACGGCGGTCGGCGACGCGGCCGGCAACACCATCGACGTCCACTTCCTCGCCCTCTTCTCCCGCAGGCCGGATGCCGTCCCCGTGGCCCTGCTGCACGGCTGGCCCGGCTCCGCGTGCGACTTCCTCGACATGCTGGACCTCGTGAGGCGGCGCTTCCCGCCAGAGGACCTGCCGTACCACGTCGTCGTGCCGTCGCTGCCGGGGTACGCCTACTCCTCCGGCCCGCCCGCGCACGTGGACTACGGGGTCGACATGGCGGCCGGCGCCATGCACAACCTCATGGTCGGCCTGGGCTTTGCCTCGGGCTACCTCGTCCACGGCGGCGACCTGGGCAGCTTCGTGGCCAGGATCATGGCGCTGCAGTACCCCGAGTGCAGGGGGATGCACGTCAGCATGATGGGCGTGCCGCCGCTGGACGAGAACCCCCCCCGGACCGACGACGAGAAGCAGGCGCTGCGGAAAGCCCTCGAGTTTCTCGACACGGCGCACGGGTTCGCGCTGCAGCAGGGGCAGCGGCCGGCAACCGTCGGACTGGCACTGAGCGCAAGTCCCTTGGCCCTGCTTGGCTGGTGAGTGAGCATCGGCGGCGGCCCCCTTTTTCCCACCTCCTCCTCCTTGTCAAGCAACCGGTTGCTCACCCGTCGGGCCCGGCCAGGATCGCAGAAAAGTTCCTCGCATGGGCCGACGGCGGCTTGGCGCTCGACAAGATCCTCGAGAGCGTGACGCTGTACTGGATGACGGACACCTTTCCCCGGACCATGTATCACAACCGCGGAGTGCGTCCTCCCCTCCAATCGCCCTCCACCGCGCGCTGACTGCTACTTGGGCAGCTGGCCAGTGCTCCTGACGAGCCAAAGATTGCAAGAAGGGGGGGGTGGGGGCACGCGTCCGACCGGCACTGACGACGTTGGCGGCCAGGTCTCGAAGCTCACGGCCCTGCAGCTTCCGTACGTCGCCAAGCCGTGCGGCTACTCCCTGTTTGCTCGTGAGATCTTCCCCGTCCCCGAGACCTGGGCGCGTCTGAGCTGCAACCTCGTGTCCTTTAGCGAGCACCCGCGCGGCGGCCACTTTGCGGTAGGTCGGCACGTGTCCTGTCCTCTCCCGAGGCCGTCGCGAGTCGATGCTGACGCCGTGTGCTCAGGCCATGGAGCAGCCCGGGGCACTGCTCGCCGATGTGGAAGAGTACATCCGGAAGGCGTGGCCGCGCCCAGACTAGACCGTAGGCGAGGAGGAGAGCCCTTCTTCCCATGTTTATTCACCGCCATGGGGGCTGTCTGTTGAGATGTACGGAGTGGACTGGACACGTAGCGCGCGGCTCGGCATGGCATTCGAGCACTACTTGGCTGGGACTGTGGTCCACGAACTGCGACTCTGAGGGCTACGCATGGAATCCGAGACTAGTGTCTTGTAGGTACAGACGCGTCGACTGTTGACCAGATACACGTAGAATCTAGGACTGCTCTGTTGCGGCGTGTGTGATTATGGTGTTGTGATTCTCAACTATCGACAATACAATCTAGACTACTTTGTTCCGGTGCGCATATCACGCTCGACTAGCCAAAAGACACAAGACTGCTTTGCACGCATCCACTTCCCATGAAAATCCAGACTCGTCCCCTGTTCTCGTGTCCATCAGAGATGCTCCGACTCACCAGCTTCACAGGAATCCGAGACGTCCTCGGGCCCTCCTGCGCACTCGCGTCCGTCGCTTTGCCGCGCAGCCCCCGTCAGCCAGCAACGCCGCGCCGGTGGTGAACCCCCCCCTGCGAGGAACAAGAGGCCATCCGCAATCTCGCCCGGCTGCCCCGAGCGCCCCATGGGCACCGAGGTGCGGACAGCGTCCTCCAGCACGTCGCGCACGCCTTGCCGATGCCGGACGCTGCTCCGGTGACGAGTGCGAATCCAGGCACGTCCATTTGGACATGTGGCACGCGCTTGCCCGTCGTGGCAGACGAATGGTTGTTCCGTATACCACCAGCTTCAGCAAGTTTCGGGCGTTTCGTGTTACGGCTTGGAGTCTCAGATGGGCTTCCCCTGATTTATATGGCCGGCGATGGCATGCCGCGGCCGAGTCTAGCAAGCCACTTGTTTGCAATTTTATCTTATAATATATAAATTAATATAAAAGTAAATGCCTAGCTACTATATTTTTATTATTTAAGTAAGACTTATCTTCCTTAATCTTTATATCTCTTTTTTTCCTTCTATAAACTTAAACTACTTTTATTATCTTATTAAATTATTTCTAAACTAGTTTATACTACTTAAAAAAAAAATCTTATAAATATAAGTTATTACTATAATACTAGTAATACTTAAACTTAGAGAAGCAACTTACTAATAAGCTTATCTTTAAGTTAAAATTTAATACTATAAGTCTTCTTTAGTAGAAATAATAAAAGTAATAATTAGAACTAACTTAGAAATAATTCTAAGATAGCTAGCTGATTTTATTCCCTAGGGAACTATTCTACTATTTTAAAGTAAATAGCATACTATATAATTAAGTATAATACTAACTAGATATATATATAAATTAATTCTTATTTATTTCTTATAAATATAGTAATATATAACTAAGTTATTACTTTAAAACTATTATATTTAATTTTATAAAATTAACTTAGAGAAGTACTACTTTAAAGATAATAAGAAGTAATTAAATAATAACTTAGCTTATAAGTTGCTATAGAAAATAGTTTAAAACTAGTTATATAATAATTAATATTTATTTTATATAGAATAATATTTAAACTATATTAATAGCTAAGTACTATTATAAATACTATATAAGTCTATATAGTAAGATATAATATCTTTTAAGGTAATTTCTATTTCTACTTTTATACTACTAACTACTACTACTATTACTACTATTAATACTATAGTTTAAACTATATATAATAAAGCTACTACTATTAATACTAAAGTAGTAGCTACTATATACTACTAACTAAGAATAGTATATATACTACTTAAACTACTTATAAAGTAATTAGAAAAGAAATTAAAACTAATTTTAATAAAATACTTTTAAGCTGCCTACTTAGTTACTTTTACTCTTACTTTTGCTTTTACTTCTACTCTTGCTCTTACTATTATTATTATTATTATTATTACTATTACTACTACTACTACTATTATTATTATTATTATTATTATTATTACTATTGCCTCTACTTTTATCTTTAAGCTTCTCTCTCTCTCTCTCTCTTTCTAAGAATAAAAAGAATAAGAATAAAAATAAAAATAAAAATAAAGTTAAGAATAAAAATAAAGATATAGAAATAGTATAAACTACTTACTAAATAATTATAAACTAGTTAAGAACTAATTCTAGCTAATAGAATTTACTTAGTATATTACTAAATAATATACTCTTTACTATATAGCTACTATACTATAAAAATAGCTTTTTTATAATTACTAAGATATACTATATAGTAAGTTTCTAAAGGCTAAATATAGCTTATAATATTTATATATTTATTTTATATAGT